CAAGCGACCGTTTCTCCTCTTCTTGGCACAAACCTGTGCCAATGCTGCCAACTTCGAGCGAGACGGGCAATCACGTGCCATGTGCGCTCCCGCACAAGAAGCACCCTTGAAACTTCTTTGGTTTGTCCCCTTGGTCTCCTTGCTTGAAGACGGCTTTGTATAGTCGGCTGCCGGCCATGGGTGTGGAAGACTTCCTTTGTCTCCCCACCTTTGCCTTGGAACGGCTTCTTGCCCTTGTCCTTGGAGCTATCCTTCTTTTGGAACTCAACAAGCGACTCGGCCACCTTTAACGCCCGATCGATGTCCCGAACTTCTCTCCGTTGTAGCTCAAGTTTGGCCCAACGGTTGAGACCGTCCATGAAAGTAAAGAACGCCTCCTTGGGCGAGAGATCCGAATTTCAAGCATCAAGTCCGAAAATTCCTTAACGTATTCCCGAATTTGGCCTTCCTATGGTGCAGACGACGAAGCTTGGCCCGGGCCGTCTTCCGCATCCACCGGTAGGAAATACTTTCTAAACTCTTCCTTAAAACCATCCCACGTGGTGAAGACCGGGTCTCCATCCCCACGGGTTTCATCATACGTTTCCACCATGATAAAGCACTATCTTTAAGATAAAGAGAGGCTTGGAAGAGTCTTACCGAGTCGTCCATGATATTCATAGCCCCAAAGTACCGTTCCATGCTGTAGAGAAAGTTCTCTACGTCCCTCAAGCGACGGCTGCCCTTATATTCGTCCGGCTTGGGCGCCTCGAGCCTTGGAACCGTCCCCACGGCTCGGTTGTCCCTTGCACGGCCACGGTGTCAAGCCGTGCCTTAAGACGCGCCGATTCTGCCCGAGAAGTCTCCAGCTCCCCATAAGCCGGTTGACGTCGTCTTGGAGGGCGGCAACACGAGCAAGGCTTTCCTCCTTCGACTTGTTGCAACGTTCCACCATTTCGTTGAGCGTCCCTAGCATGTCGTCCTTCATTTGCTGCATGACCTCTTGCAATTCCCTGCGAATCGCTCCATGCGAGCTTCGACGACCCCGCTACCACCTCGGGGTGCTCGTCCCAACGGTCTTGGTGGTCGGCCACGCAAGCTCTAGCTTGGCAAGCCGTTTCTCGAATTCCACCATCGGCTCCCTAACGACCGACTTCTCCTTGCGGCTTCCTGCGGGTGGTCCTCCCACCTCACGGAAACGTGATCCCCTCAAGCTCCGACCCTTGAACAACCTCCGAAGGGTTAGACATAGCTTATGCACGAAAGAAAAGCAACAAACGGAAGCGTAGACGATGTAGCACACCAAGTATCGAGCCGAGGCTCGATACCAACATCACGGGCTTACTTTTTCAAAGTAACGGCCGTGCGGCACTAGCACAAAACAACTAACGATCAAGTGCTAGCTCAGCCTTAAGACCCCAAAGCGTGCAAAGCTAGGCGAGACTTTAAAGAACGGAGGCAAAGAAAAACTTAAGAAAGGTTGAAAGTGAAAGAATGATGAAGGCACAAGAGAGCTTAAGGAATGCTTGAGAATTCTACTCAAAGCTTGGATGATTACAAATGAAGGGGGCATGGGGTATTTATAGGCAAACCCCAAGTCCTAAAGAATTCTAGAGAATTCTATGTACATAATAAAATAATGGGATTCTAGAGAATTCCTACAATAAAATATTCTAAGTTCAAAATATCTACAAGTCTCTAGAATCTTCCACACGGTTCTAGCAAACTCGGGTAGCTTCCACACGGTTCCACTCGTTTCTAGAGAGTTCCGGCTTCTCTAGAAAATTCCAGAGTCTTCAAGATTTGACTGGAGAATTCCACAAGGTTCTAGACCGTTCCGTCCCATGTCCGTCTACGAAAATAGCCCGTTTCGCATCAAACCACCCGAATTCGTGGTGTAGAAAAACTGTCTGTGACACTTGCACACACACGAAAAAAGGATTACCTTAGCTAAATTGGCGTGTTCGGCGGGGCGGCGCAGTCGGGGCAGGTTGGTGACCTGCGATTCCGGTAGCCACGGAAGTCGTTTAGTTTATCATGGGGGGCAAAACCCCCCAAATAACATGTCGTTTGCTTCTTTATCTCTGGATAACCAGTTTACAAGTTGTGGATAACCAGTTTACACCTTCTGGATAATCAGTTTACAACTCGTAGATAACCAGTTTACACTTTCTGGATAACCAGTTTACGCCTTGTGGATAACCAGTTTACAATTTGTGGATAACTAGTTTACCCCGTCTGGATAACCAGTTTATAACTTGTGGATAAATTTTGGATAACCAGCAATTGTGTGTGTTTGTGCGTGAGGATGAAGACAGTAAAATGGATGAAAATAATTTTATTTGTGCATTTAATATAAGGTGAAAAATGTTGAGCGCGTGTGGTGCGTGTGTTTGGTGGGGGTATACGGTATATCCGGGTGCACTGGATACGGACTCAATTAATATAAACATTTAAAATTATTTCATGCTAAAAAAAGAAATTGAATATCCAACTTTATTTAAAAGAGTATGAACTTAGTCCTCTTCTTTAAAAAAAATTGGCATATTGAGATTGACATTCTAAAAATGTAATATGGTATGCAACATGCCATTTAGCGAATAAAAAGTTTAGTTATGGCATACGAGTTACATATTTTAGCATATTTAATAATAGCACTACAAAAGTGACCTTTTATTACATAACTCGACAATTATTTATTTAGGGAGTATCTAGTTATAATTATCTCTCCAACCAGCACCTTATATTTAAATTGCAAATAAGCACCGCTAAGTTTTCCCACTTTATGATGGTACATATTATAACAGGAAATTTATTCAAAATGATTGTTTGTGCCTTTTCATGTACACATTTGGTATGAATTTGTTATCTACATTATCGTTTTCTTCATAATGCACCTTGAAAACTCGATTGTTGGAATTGGCCTCCATCATGCTTTCTTTTCTTTTTTTTCCCGAAAAATGCTATTTACCCCTATTTCAATTGATTTGCCAAAGTTACATTCCTAAATCATGGATAAGTTTTTTCACCTACGGCTACTATATGGGGAATTGATAATCAATCTTTTTGAGGATGGGTTTCCCAAGAGACGAAAATCCAAGGGGGACATTAGCAATTAGCTCTAGTTAGGTTTGTGTTATTAAACCCATAACAACAAATAGATCGGATGGGAGTGGATCATCTAACTTTGCACACATTGTGTCTGAAATTATTTGTGTTTTTTTAACACTAAAATATCAAAGCTAAGGTGGACGGTGGACCACATATTTATGTGATTTATGATGCCTAAATCACGTTTTTTGTGTGGTCAATTCATAAAAAAGTGTACCATTTTTATTTACTTAATTTTTTTGGGGGTACAATTATAAGTATAGATCACGATTCCCGAGGCACATTACTTGGTATATTAAATTTTAAAAAAAAAGTGTATAAGTTTACTTATTAATAAAAAGGTCGAAACAGAAGATAAAGCGTACACACACTTAATTTGGTAATGTTTTGCACTTTTGTATACATAATTACCTGTACATCATTAAAAAGGTATACTAATCTGCCCCCGACCAAGTTACTATGAAATCATAACACGCAACTTTGACTACGTGTGAAGATCAACAGGCTGGCTGATCACTAATTTTTGTTTTAATTAATTAAGCCTCGATTTGATCGTATTAATTTCTCTCTTCTTATAATAAATTTTGCACGTCCATAATACTTTATCCGTCCCATAATTATTGTCCACTTTGAGTTTTTATTTATAGTTAAAATTATACTAAAAGTGAAATCTTAAACTGGACAATAATTTTGGGACAAAGGGAGTATAAAGCATTGGTTTACTGAATTAAAAATAATAATGGTAGCACTTCACAAATATATAACATGGGATTATCGTTTCGGAGAAAATGTTGATTATATAATAATTAATTTGTCCGAAGAACAGAAAATGAAGACGAGCTCAAAAAAATGAACTAATATTGGCTAAACTTCGGGAAGCCTCCACCGAGCGTTTTAGCTAAAAAAAACATAAAGCTTGGCATTTCTAATATTGGAGTGAATTGACAATTGGTTCAATGTTAAAATAAGCAAAAGGTTGAAAGTTACATTGGCGTGTGTTTACTGACTGTTTGATTGTTCAATGATTTGAGGTGGCCTTGTGTGCATAAAATTGCCACGAAAGAGATTCAATCATTAGCCATCACAGTAATAGGAAGGGTAAAAATTGAGGAACCAAAAAAAAAAACATGGAATCAGAAGTGGACAACAATGAATTTGTTTGTTACCTTTTTTTTTATGATTTTTCCAAAATTATTAATTAATAACTGTCTCATTCCAATATATATTTTTACATTTTCAGTACATTTTTTTATATCTTCAATACAAGAAATACCTAAAAACATACTTTGAAAAAACGAAACAAACATACCCAAATTGGTAAGTATGACACACCTTGAGTTAGAGTAATTATTAATGTAAATGTATCTAATGTTGTAATTGATCTTGCAAACTAAATTTTCTGCCTCATAATTTTAGATTCTTTTCCCCAAGAATATGAAAAATATCTCCTCCTCCTCCTCTGACCTCTGGTTTTCAGATTTTTTTTTTATTATTTTTTTTTCTGGCTCATATCATAATTCATAACCTTTCTTAATGCAAACCACCAGAATAATCCAGAACCCGTGATTTTTTGAGGAATATATCCTGGCATTGACGGCATATTCCAGAACCATTTGGATTTGGATTTGGCAATAACACACCACCCGTACAAATTATGTACTACAAGACTCATCATAAACGTACTACAAATTAAAACAAATCAAAAGTGAATATCCCCCCCCCAAAAAAAAAAAGAAGATAAAACCATCTCTCTCAACAAAATAGTAAATCCCGTAAATAATCACCATTCATTACTTATCGAATCAGAAACTGTTATGGTTATTATTTTATCCGAGGAACTTCGAAGAAAAGAAAATGCCCAATTCTTTGAAAAACCAATGTCCGCAAAGGTACAGCTTACAGCTGTCTTCTCTGGTCATCGGAACTTTGGCGATTATTAGTTAAATTTTTGAATCCTACACGGCTAGAGGACCTGCCCGATTGATACTAAAAGTTAGCTCACATTATAATATTATTCTCCTTATTATTTTATTCTCATAACATTAATAATTAAAACAAAATACTGTTCTCCTACTAATAATTGTTTACACTTCCACGAAAACGACCGGAAGCCAACGGTTTGGCTATTTAAACCACCCCCCTGCCTTCATTTGTTCCTCCCCCTTCTCCTCCTTCTTCAACCTCTTCTTTTATACGATTCTCCCAAGAAACAAAACACCATTTTCTTTGATTCCTAAGATTTCTTGCCTCTTTGAGGGGTTCCCATTGCAATTCTGGTACTGTCACCACTCTGTTTTCTTCATTTTTTCCCCCCTCTTTTCATTCGTGGTCCTTTTTATTTTTTCGCCCTTGTCCTGCAATCAGTATTTGGGATGTCAGATTTGACTGGATAACCGATAATTTGGACGTTTTAATCTGATAACATTAATGGGTTTCCTTAAAAATCCCTTTATGTAACAGTTAAAATGATAATCAACGGGGTTTATATTTGTTTCATTAATATGATTCTCGCCGTCGACTTAAACTTCGCCGGAGATGGCCATTGGCCGACTTTACGATTAGTTCTTTGGTTTATTAATCAAATTCGCTGTCCCAAAATTTTCACTGATTCTCAAGTCTTAAAGAGCCAAGAGAGTCTATGCTAAACGTTGCAAGCCACCAGTTAATTGGTCCTTTTTTTTAAAAAAATAATATTTTCCCCTTTTTTTCTGATTGGAATGTTAATCAGTAACTTTGTCGACCATGCATTCTTTTCGCAAGCTCGTAACTTAGTTTACTGAGTGCAATTAATTGAGTTGAGAAAATGGTAGCTTACTCGAGTTTTGTATTCTGATGCAGTTGTATTAGATCAAAATGGAGGACTTTTATGGACAAGTTCAGAGGCCAAAGTATGACTGCCTTCTATTTGGTGAGTGTTTCACTGCTAATGTCAATAAAATCCAGTCATGATTAGCTTGCTTTTGTTGATTCAATCTGACTTCGGTAATTTTAAAAATATTACAGACCTGGATGATACACTTTATCCCTTGAGTGCTGGTCTTGCTGAAGCAGTCCGCCAAAACATTGAAGGTATGATTTGCTTTTATGTTCTTCACTTCTTAGTTCTTTGTTGTAAAACTGGTAGTGCATTAACTCAACTAACATTTGGTGGATGCCTTTCTTTTTTCCAGATTATATGGTCCAAAGGCTTGGGATTGAGAAGAGCATAATCAATGATTTAGGCAACCTTCTCTACAAGAACTATGGGACCACAATGGCGGGCCTAAGGGTAAGTTAATAAGCCTTTGTTGTTTGACATCCACTCAGTTACTTTTTTGTCATAATTAAAATCATTTGTGACAAAGCACTTAGTTATAATGGCTTTCTTTTGTTTTGTGTGGCAGGCAATTGGCTATGATTTTGACTATGATGAATATCACAGCTTTGTCCATGGTAGATTACCTTACGAAAATTTGAAGCCAGACCCTGTGTTGAGGAGTCTTTTGTTGAGCTTGCCTTTCCGTAAAGTTGTAAGTATTTTGAATCTCTGCCATTTATTTTTGCATGAGGTTAAGTAGTTTGTCTCAACTTCAATCTTCTAACGTTGTTGCATTTATTATTCCTTTTTTTTGTACAATAGATATTCACAAACGCTGATAAAATCCATGCTACCAAAGTCCTCAGCAGATTGGGATTGGAGGGTTGTTTCGAAGGGATCATTTGCTTTGAGACCCTGAATCCGGTTCACAAGAACGCAGCCTCTGATGATGAGGATGATATCGAATTCGTCGGCTCAAAACCATTGACTTCTAGTAACTCCGGAATTTTCGACATTATAGGACATTTTGCTCAACCCAATCCTGGAACCACATTGCCTAAAACACCTATCGTTTGTAAGCCCTCAGTAGATGCTATTGAAAAAGCCCTCAAGATTGCCAACATCAACCCTCACAGAACGGTAAAAAAAATTCAACACTTTTTGATCTGATCTTTTGTCATTCGTCTATGCTCTGCATCCCTGTTCTTATTTTTGAGATTATGTACTTGCAGCTATTCTTTGAAGACAGCGTGCGAAACATTCAAGCTGGAAAACGTGTAGGACTCCATACTGTATTGGTAAGATATTGATTACATCACATTTTTGTAGTATAGATTGCAATCAGCAAGACTAAATTTTTTTTGTACTTAATCAAGACTGAAACTTTTATGCAGGTAGGAAAATCCCAAAGAGTGAAAGGTGCAGATTATGCCTTTGAAAGCATACACAACATTAAAGAAGCAATTCCAGAGCTCTCGGAAGCCGACAAACTGGCTGAGGTTAATTATAATTCCGGAGTTCCAGTAGAAACTTCGGTGACAGCATAAGAAGAAGATCAATCCAGTTTTTTTTTTTTTTTTTCCTGGGCTAATCAATGGAGTCCATAGTGTTGGATCGATCTCTGTTTTCCAGCAGCTGCTGTCTCATTGGTTAAAGATTAATTCTATGTAAATTTCCCCCCTTTTTTCTTTTCAATGTTATATTATTGGATAGCTAAATAAAAAGTCATTCAAAACAAGCAAAGTGATGTGCATCAGTCAGAACAGAGTATCAAGACTCAAGAGTCCACCTTGTAAATATAGTTTCAGTTTCCTCTCATATATTAATGCAAATCATAAGCCTTTAATTTCTTCTATCCTCCATTATTGGTCCTAATAGTCAGCGCCTATCTATATTTTATTCAAGAATGTAAGTGGAAATGGGAACTGAATTATTGGTGAGTATAATCAGTGATGATTGAAAATGGCTTCAATAACTAATCAGATACAAACATATGTTTATTAGCCCAATTGTGTGGATGATTGGGAACTCAATACTGATGAGTTGTTACGATTTAGTACTACATTTGAGATAATCGTCGGAACGAGTTGCATTATACAAAGCCTCAAAGATAAGATAAACAAATCATCATCCAGCAGCCATTTTGTTTAATTCTGGCAAGTCACATCACCATTATTGTGTTTGGTTAAGGTGGATGATTAGATTCACAGGTTTTTTTTTTTTTTTTTAACAAAAAGCTAGGAATATCAAAGTTCAGAAATTCTGTTTAATTTGAGGATAAACATGAATCATCTGAATCAACTCATTATTATTCCTCAAGTTGCGGACTTGTACTACATTTTAGACATCACATCACCATGATTGGGCAGGGGAAGGAAGTTGTATACTTTACCGCTGTTCCAAGTTCTAACGTTTGCCATAATTCTGGGAAGAGGACAAGGAAAGCGAAGTCCTATGAGAGCCATCATGTTTGATAAGGGTCCCTGATTTTCCTGTTCATATGGCGGATTTTGTCCAATTTCCACGTGCATATAGTGACAAATGTATTGAAGGTTGTCATCAACTCATCATGTATACAAAAACTAGCAGTAGATTTTGAGCTTTCTCGAGAAAGAGTTTGATCGATTGAACTAAAATGTTATAACAACCAAAGGTCCAAAACTTTGTTTTTGGCGACGGAGGGAGTATCTTTAACAAGTATGCCCTTAAAATCTATGAGAAAAGTACATCTAACCAAGAATGTTAGGTATATAGAGGACTTCACGGGACGTATAAAGGCCAATTTACGGGTAAAATACATAAAAGACTTTTCGACAACTCCTTGAACTGATTCTTTGAATGTATGATTAGATGACACATTGACACCAGTCACACAAACTTTGCCTTAAACCGCACACCCTTAAAAGTTTCCTACTTCAAAGAAAGCACGCAAACAGATTTCCGGGATGGATATACTTAGTCTTAGAGCATGATTGATACGTGTCCAGCAGTGCAGCTGTCGCTGAATGCTGATCATGTTATTAGGTAGCTAGTTTAGAAGGATAACAATAGTTATATTCGCGACATTTACATCGAAAGAAACTTCTTCATACTTTCATTCTCTTAGAATTATCGTCCAGTTTAAATTTTAATTTTTAATTCAATTTGTACTAAAAATGAAAATTCAAACGGATCAATAATTTAGAGACGGAAGGAGTATATTCATAAAAAATTCAATATCATATGAAAATAATACTCCCTATGTTCTAATTTAATTAATTCACTTGTATTGTTTTAATTCTAACAAACACAACTACTAGTAAGACTGGGACTAGAAACCAGTATGAGATTTTAGGCTAAACTCATCAATTTGTTCACAAAGAAGGGGCAGACCCTGTTCCAATTTATCTTCAGTCTCCGCAACAGGTGACTAGTACAAATGTGGGCTGTGGACGGGTTATTTACAAAATGGGCCGTGACTTTTATGACAGGCCTAGCGTCTGTCATGATGTGGGATTTTATGAAAACTTAAAAATTAAAATAAGAAATAGATTTCAGATTTAGAGTTCAGAGGGTAAGGGTTTAAGAATTGGGGAAGAAAAAAAGAAAGGGGAAGAATGAGATACAGAAGGGAGAAGGTCGGAACAGGAGAAAATTCTAGAAATTTCATTAATCGATAATCCTTCCAAATCAACCTCAAAGTGAATATAACGTGCATACAAGGACTAGGAAACTTCCCAGCAGCTTCCTGTAAATTACATCTAGTAATTTAAATTAGACAGTAAATAAGTAAATGGTTTAAGTGATTTAACTGCAGTAATTTCTAAACTAATTAATTTACAAAACTTGCTGGGCATGACAACCCCTCCTGCTTAACTTGGAGCTTGTCCTCAAGCTCGAAAACTCCTGAAGCTTTTGAAATCTTCACCAGCATTGGAGCTTGCCTTGGTTAGCAGATATGATAATGATATTGAAATGTAGTCTCGATGACCATCCCTTCATAAGCTGCTTCGAATTTACTACAATTTGAATCTCTCCAAAGTGTTCCTTCCTTGAAGATTGTCACCATTTTATCCAATGCTTTTTGAGATGTCTCAGTCCTCAAAGCTGGTAGCTCCTCCTTCTCGCATTTTGACACGCTTTCATCCCAAGACTTGCAAGTTGTTCTGCCTTCATTAGATTCTTCATGAGTGTTTAATTTCTACTCATACCAAAGTTAAAGTTTGTTGCTGCAGTTCAGGCAAATCTGGACAACAACAAGAGAAATGCCTAACAGAACCGTTTGATGCTCAAGGGATAGGTTATTGAGCTCAAAATCAGTTGCATTTACTGCTATCAAGGTAAACAAACATCCTGGAAATAGTTTATGTCCAACAACTTGACAAAACAGAAAGTCATAACTTGTTGATTTCATTTTAATGTCAGCTTCCCTGTGTTTACAAACAGAAAGAAGTTCATAACAAAGAAGTTCCAGTAGCTCACTAGCAGCGACACTAAAGCAAACCTGGGCAGAAGAATGAAGATCCCCCATAAATGGTGTGGAGGTGTACTGCACAAGTATTAAGGTTCGACAGCCAGTAACATTTTCGCTTGCACACAAATTGAACAAACCATTTACCTTGCTCCTTATAATTCCAACATTTGATAATCTTGAGCCAACAAGGATTTCCAACAAACTTTTCCCAAATAATACCACAGAGTTACTCATGCAAGTGTTGAAATCTTTTCCTGGAGCATGGTCCCAACTGCTCTCACAACCAGAATTATATAAAACTCCAAAAAATAGCATGAACCTTTCCAGAAAGTCAACCTTCATTTTACACTTCCTAATCCCATTTTTTATCCTTGTAAGCTCAAATGAATCTTTCATTAAATTATGAGTCTCATTAAAACCAGAAAAACTTTCTTTGACCACCCAACAAACTAAGTTCCAATGCCAAGAGAGCAATGGATCAGTTGCTATTTCCTTTTCCCAATTAATTCCGGTCTCTATTAGTCTCATGTCAAGAAAAGATTAGACAGCAAACTTATTCCAATTAGTATAGTATGGAGACTCATGTCAGAAGAAAACTCTACTAATGACATATATTCCAAGAATGCATCAATCCAAGATAACCCATAGGCCACAAAATCTAGAGCTTTGGAGACAGTACCACCGTTGAAACTTGTAATCAACTCAGGCCAAGATGTCAGAGCTATTACGGTTTTAAAATGACGGTTATCCAACATCAGCTCCCATTCATGAGAATATTCCGCTCTTAAACTCAAATTCAACCAAATAATACCAGGAAGTAGGAGAGCGAAGGGAAGAAGATTTAACTGACCATATGCTGGGTTTTGATGCCAGAAAATGAATGCAATATTCATGACAAATGAAACCAATTCAATAACGCACATTTTGCCAGCCAAATCACCCACTTGTAATTTAAAAATCAGCCATACTTCTCCATTTAAAGTCTTCAACAAGCAAACAACTAATCCCATTGTACCGCCTTTAAAACAAAATACAAGTTCATACTTTTGGTTAGCGACATGATCAAATTCATTTTAACTCACCTGTATTTTCCTTGCAAACTTGTAATCCCAATACTCAATAGTTCTTTCAACAAACAGTTTCATTCTGAAAAGGTTTCCTAACATAATACTACCTCTAGACCCTGCGACAGCTTCATTCCTAGGTAATAGTAGCTTACTGATTTTATGCCACGATTACTCTTCAGAAACACCACACTTGCCTGGATTAATTCCAAGGGTGGATCATTTGCTAACATGTTAGTGCCCAGAAACTCATATAGCATTGCAGTTAAGAAACAATTAGCCAAAGGATTCCCCACCTCATCAAAGAATTTCAGCAAATGATAACTATTCACAACTTGATTAAGCTGATCAATAGGACTAAGTGCAAATTTTGAAAAAGAGTTCATTGGAGACATGCAGTACTCATCTATTTCCTTGCAAAAATCTGTTATACCATCGTTCAAACATTCTAATAGGGCATATACATCTTCCCATCCATTTGAATCATCAATTGTCAATATCTCAAATATGCTATCTAATTCATCACTCCAAGAGTGTTCAGTAAAATGATAATCACTTCTCAGCCAAAAATAGTGAATTCCACTCCAAGGAAAACCAATTTTTCCAACTAATTTTACCATTTCCTCAATATAAAGAGATTCCAAGATAGACGTTTTTCCATTCAAAGAGTTGAAAAAATACTCAGCAGCTTCTCCAGGATCTATAACAAAAAAGCTTAGCCGACTCTCTTTATCAAAATGACATTGCACATTATTACTACCTTTAGTAGGACTAAACGCACCAACCTTTTCAGTCAAATTAGTACACTTAAATAGAAAAGGGTTTGATCCCACCACAACATTTGACATAATTGAACCAACAAAGATTTCAAAGAACCAACTTCCCACTAATTTCTCAACAGAGATATTCATATAGTTCACAAACCCTTTCACTGAAACAGGGTCCCAAATGATCAGAAAATTTCCAAGACCAATAACATTTGAAAGTTGAATCTGCCGTATAAAAATGTCTTGAGAAATAGCACCCTTTCTGAAACTAATTATCCACTTAAGCCATGACTTTTGACTCTTATTAGGTTGATTAGATACCATTTTAACTCGCTGAAATCCAATGCAAATATCTCTTAAGGAGCATAAACAAACATCATCAAATATACATAAAGTTATTCCTCCAATATCTCCATAAACAATGTTGAAGTCAAGTTTGCTATCCCGGTTAATTTCATAAGCAACCACATTGGTACCCAATACCAGTACATATTCATATGAGACATACTCCTCATTCAGCGATTTGCTAACATATTTTCTTAACTCCATAGTTTCATCAACTACCTCAATCACTGCCCCACTAGTAAAAGAAACAACAAGATGAATCAGTCCGGTTGAACTATTGGCAAGATATGCAAGGCCATTCCTCACCTCATTTACACTAAAATGACTACAATTTGTATCCAAACCAAGGCAAATATTAGCATTTTCAGCAGACATAATCCCTCCTTTAACCCCCAGTAATAGTAATTTGAAATCTCCAATTGCGCATAGAGAACTCAAAGGAACAAAAACAGTTCCGAAATATTCAATACTTTCCCCATCACTAATTCCCGCAGATGCACAATTCAAATGCTTAACAAGGTCCAAAATCAAATAATCACCACCCCTAGTGCTTCCTCTAAATGCAGTTGCACTATCTACCCAATTTCTATACCATTTCACCAATTTTGGAAAGTCAAGAACAACTAATTTCTCAATATCACCATTTTGATAATCACAATAGTACTCATATTGTGCTCCAAAAACCATACCAACATCAACGCATAATTCATAAACCTTGCCAGAATAAAAAGAGTTACCTTGTTCCTCTGATTTCTTTGAGATGGCCAATGACGAATTAATAACCAGTTCTTGAGTGGCATCATCCTCTAACGGCGCGGTGAATGTCTCGGAATATGAAAATTCAGCTATAGGTGTTGCACCCGAGCAATATGAAAATTCGACCTCCGATATTACATTTCCCTCCGGTATTTCTAGCTCAGAGGATGATGAAGCGTCTTCCTCTCATTTGGTCTCATAAGTTTCTGCCACTTCATTATTGCCAGAAAATTGAAAATTCGCATCCAATTTTTCTTTCTCCCACTCTGATTTCATCATATTCACAATATTCGTCAAAGTCTCTAAGAGCTCGCCCATTTCATCTCCCATCATATCTAGTTTAGCGTAAATCTTTGAAAAGTAGCTTCCGCTATTTGAAGGCTGCCACAGTCCGAGGATCGTGTGCTCTGCATACCAATTGTCATGATATGGGATTTTATGAAAACTTAAAAATTAAAATATGAAATAGATTTCAGATTTAGAGTTCAGAGGGTAAGGGTTTAAGAATTGGGGAAGAAAAAAAGAAAGAGGAAGAATGAGATACAAAAGAGAGAAGGTCGGAACAGGAGAAAATTCCAGAAATTTCATTAATCGATAATCCTTCCAAATCAACCTCAAAATGAATATAACGTGTATACAAGGACTATGAAACTTCCCAACAGCTTTCCGTAAATTACATATAGTAATTTAAACTAAATAGTAAATAAATAAATGGTTTAAGTGATTTAACTGCAGTAATTTCTAAACTAATTAATTTACAAAACTTGCTGGGCATGACAGCGTCCCAAACTATAGTCTTTTCTTCAAGCCCTCCTAGGCATATGTCCATGAAATTACTAAACTGTTGACACCACTAGCAAATCAGATTAGCGCATGATTGCAATCTCAAGACTAATGATCATTGATCATGAATCTGAGCTTGAGTCAAAATAATACATCAAGTGATGAAGCGATTTGATATTAGCTTTTCATGATTTACATTAAGTGATGAAGAGTGGGATCCTTCAATTACAGTAAGGCTCTGTTTGGTTGGATTGAATTGAACCCAAGAATTGGAATTGGAGGCCCTCAATTCCAATTATTGTGTTTGGCTGAAAAAATAGAGGTTCCAGAATTAGAATTATAATTCAAGATGAAGTTCAATTCTTTATTTTCAATTCTTTTGTGGAAGCAAATAATTGCAATTCGAACTCTAGGGGCTTTAAAAAAAACGCGGGTCATATACGGGTCGTTTTCCGGGTTATAACAAAACGGGTTCTTTTAAGTTTGAAGTTTTTTTTTTTTTTTTTTTTTTTGTGTGTAGCGCTGCACATGCGTTTTTTTTGCCTTTTTCATTTTCGTTTTTTCCCCCTTTTTCTTTTAGCGTTGCGCTGGGCTTTTTTTTTTTTTTTTCCTTTTTTTGCATTTTGTTAAATTAACATATGTTTTTATTTATGGTGCAAACGAGGTGTAAATCATATTAATAATTATTAATGAGATCTATATATTAAAATTAGTATTCTTTCAACAAAAACTATCAAATGTATAACAACACCTGTAATTTATTTTAAAAATGGATGGTATTAACTATTGGTTAACATTTTTTTATCAAATGTATTTTGAACTATACTTGAAATTTTTTTCACTAAAAATTATGTAAGCTTTCAAGAAGTCGAAATATATATTATTCCATATGTAATTATATACTAAAAATAAAAAATAATTAATTAGCACCATGTATTAATGTTAATTTATACATAAATGAATGGTCTTTACTTTTAACTATGTAAAAATTTTACAATAAAATCTAAAAAAAAAACTAAAGATTAAAAATTTATAAATAATAAAAAGGAGAGGAACAAGGATGTTCTACATGTTACTTGTGAGAATTCGATCATCACATTCATACTTACGTAATAATAAAAAAAGCTTTTCCACAAATATGTATGTATCTATAAATTATAAAATTGATATATATTACTCAAACAACAAAAGTTCTAATATAAATGTATATGATAAATTTATTTTTGTTATCTTATATATGTAAGTAATAAATTGTTTTGATATATAAAATTAAGTATTTATTTTATTCAATGAAATAAAATACTTAATTGTAGGTAGATAATAAAAAACTAATTCTAATTCTAGATTTTATAAATTTATAAGGATCCAAACACAAGAATTAGTATTAGAACCTTAATTCTAGTCAATTCTTACGATCTTCCAAACGAAAGAATTAAGATTGAATTGCAATATTAATATCTCATTTTCAATTCAATAGTATTATAAATCTAATTCAATTACAATTCAATCTAACCAAACGGAGCCTAAGAGAAACTGAACCAGAATTTAACATTCCGATGCTTGGTGAAGCCTGGTGGTAAGCGGTAAACTGAGATAAATTCCCAGAGATTAAAGCTCGTTTATCTGGTACCAAAATGAGCCAAGTGGAAAGTTTACTCAGAATTACAGTCATTTATAGCAGTTCCAACTTTCCACGCTCGAATGAATGAAATGAGATAAGGTAATTTTGGAGAATCCAAACAAGATAAGAGAATCCTACAAAGAACACTACCATAATCGTAATTCATTGCTCCACCACCAACAACAATTCATTCCCTCCATTCAGTGTCTGAATTTGGGCCATAATTGAGTAATTATTCATCTTCCCGTTTCCGCAGGGTACTAGAATCCTCCAACAATTTTTGCAAAACTAAAACTTTTATTTTGCCCAAAATGGCTGCTGTTGTTACACGTGTCCCCTTCAAACCTTTAACTCACAATAGTCAATGCCATATATTGAGTTCGGTGAATGCTGGTGGACATCTTTCCCCATTTTCACCTTTCAGAGCTCGCAGAAAGAAAAGCTTTTGTGTTGTTGCAATGGCGGATTCCAGCAAACCCACTGTTCTTGTCACTGGAGCTGGTGGCAGAACCGGTAATCTCTATTTTTCCATTTAGATTGTCTGACCCCGGATTTTACTTCTGTTACATTTTGATTCTTTATTTTCAGATTCTATGGCTTTTGCCTGATTACTTTGACGTTATGATGTCCGATTGCGGGTTTATGCAGTAGGGTTTTATTCCAAGAGATAGGGTTTTACTCTTTTGTTTTTCATTTATTTATTCGGCAACCCTGCTGATGTGCTGCATACGCTTTTCTGAGAAGTAAAATACTTAATTCTGAGGAATTGTTTGTGGGTTTAGCTTTTTGCTAGCCAAAGTTTGGATTTTGTCTGTTATTGTTGGGCGCATGTACATTACTAAATTGTCATTGTATGCCTGGAGAATCTTGGGCCTCGATTGATGTCGTTTACTGAAATTAGATTATCAATTTGGTTGCAGGACAAATTGTTTATAAGAAGTTGAAGGAGAGGTCAGATCACTATGTTGCACGGGGTTTGGTAAGAACCGAGGAGAGCAAAGAAAAGATTGGTGGAGCAGATGATGTGTATGTTGGGGACATTAGGAATTCTGATAGCATTGTCCCTGCCATTCAAGGAACCGATTTCCTCATTATTTTAACCAGTGCTGTCCCCAAAATTAAACCAGGTTTTGATCCAACCAAAGGTGAAAGGCCTGAATTCTACTTCGAAGATGGTGCATTTCCTGAACAGGTTACGTTTTTGTATCTGTTGTTATTGTTGGTGTTTGATTCTTGTTACTGTTTTGTATTGCCCATGCTCATCGGGATTATATTATCTCAGGTTGATTGGATCGGGCAAAAGAATCAAATTGATGCAGGTTAGACTAGTTACTTAGAACTGGCTGTTGAAGTATTCCGTAAACATCTATGATTTCCACTGATACTTATCTTCACTCGACCTTTACAGCCAAAGCTGCTGGAGTGAAGCAGATTGTATTGGTTGGCTCGATGGGAGGAACAAATCCTAACCATCCATTGAACAGCATCGGGAATGGAAATATTCTGGTTCGCGTTCTGTCTTCTCTGCCTCTATGTTTTCGTATTATTTCTTCCTCTCCTGTACTTGTTCCTTTTCCTCTGACTAAAATCTTCCAGTTGTTTTTGTTTATATTTACATTTAGCTTCTGTGTTTCTTATAAGTGAACATCCAGTAGAGAAAAATTTGTCATTTGAGTATGCATGTCTTTCACTCTTTCTGCAATCTGCATTGCTTCTAACGTATGTGTGCACTAATATTTCGCTCTAAGCAACCAAAACATAATCCTGAAGAATCAAACAAATTAATCTCTCTCGAGAAATTTTGAGCATTGTGTAGTTATGGCGGAATAGCTGTTCATTATCATGTTGGTTAACTTGGATATCTTATCCTCTTAGGTCTGGAAGAGAAAAGCTGAACAATACTTGGCAGATTCAGGGATCCCATACACTATTATAAGGTGCGTCTGTCCCTTTCTATTGACGAAAGATTTTATACAAGATCTTCTTTTTAAGTTATGCAAGAAACCTGAACTGAAACTTGTAAAAAACTTGTGCCTTACTACCTGGATTACTGGGGACGTGCAATGTCTCCTTTCTATGTCATTCTAAAACTGTTACCACCCAGAACTGTACAAGAATTTGTTGTCTTCTGTCTCCATTTATGCATCAAAGCGAAAATTACTGAGGGGATAGGTTTAACAGAGAAATGGTACCAAATTATTTGAATGAATTTCATTAAAAATTAATCTGATGCATGTATACCGTATCTTACTAGTCATTCTTAGTTTTCAGTTCAATGAATAATACTTTCATCATTATGGGTCATACAGTTTACTGTGCATATTTTGCTTTCCTTTCCCCTGCTTCATTCTTCTTTTGTTGCCTTAACACGCTTTTTGCTTTTGTTCAGCTAATGCTTTTTTTATCCGAAAAATATCTCCGCCATGTACATGCCACATACTCTTGTATTTACTTTTTGTTCCTATGCATCTGTTTGGCTGAGATAGAGCTGGAGGCTTACAAGACAAAGAAGGTGGTGTGAGAGAGCTACTTGTTGGAAAAGATGATGAGCTTCTTCAGACAGAAACAAGAACCATTGCTAGGGCAGATGTCGCAGAAGTCACCATCCAGGTTATTTCCAGTGCTTGTTGTCTTTGAATTTTCTACGGAGTTAATCCCCCTCTGTAGAGATTGACCTCCCATAGACTCTTTCTGACCTTCCTTACATGCATCTTCTTACAATCATGAAATTTTTGTTAACAGGCTTTGCAGTTCGAGGAGGCGAAGAACAAAGCATTTGATCTGGCCTCGAAGCCAGAGGGAACCGGCACGCCCACGACAGATTTCAAGGCTCTATTCTCCCAGATCACTAGCCGCTTTTGATGCGGCGATAGATAAAATTGCCCATATTCGGAGGCATTGTAGAATCTTAATCTGCTTATATTATCTGTCAACAGGATTGTGGTGTTACATTACAAAAACACCTCGCGCCTAGAGGCACTACCTACCGGACATGTATGCAATATTATTGAGGGTCAGAATTTTGCGTGAACAGTAAACTGTATCTATTATTGTTTTAAAATCTTTTAAGCTTATGGCCAGACTGATGGAGGAAAAATTGGCCGATCTACACGAAACTTTACATGTATTGTCAATTCTGTCATATTTTTTTCGGTTTGTCAATATTACCCTAAACTATCCAACCGTTAGCCGATTTTGTCCAATTTACTAATTTCCGTTCAAATTACCGGAATTCTGCTAGTTTTAATTACAAAAACACCTTTAATAGTTTTAAAAATTATAAAAATAACTCCAAAAATGTGTAAAAATAATAAAACAGTCTCTTTTCACTTTTTATTTAATTTTTTATGTTTTTTATTTCTTTTTACTATTTTTCATAACCATAAAAATATACAATATGATCTTTTAAATAAATAATTTATTTTTAAACACTACTGTACAAATTTATAGATATACATTTTGTAACTCATGGTTGATTTACATAAACATATTAATTTTTTTAATAATATGGCTAGACAATAATGATATTTTTTAAGCCGTTTTTTTTTTTCAATTTAAAGAAAAAGATTTTTTTGTCTAAAACTAATTTTTTACAAAAAAAATTAAAACATTTAGCACAGATTAAAAAAATAATATATTGGTGTATTTTAATTTATTACAAATTAACTAAACATGCTATAGATTGTATTATCCAGTTAAAAAAATAATTAAATTAAAATATAGGGTTCAGTCTAGTGATTAGGGTGTTAAGTTTCATGAGAGTAGATGTAAGATTAATTCTTACCAAAAGATTTCTAACCAAGAGAGTGATTTTACCCACATTTAAGTGAGATTAACTAAAGGTAATAGGGTTGAGTTGGATGGTCAAGTGATTTAAGATATGAGATGATTAAAATTGTGTTCGAGGTCTCGATTCTCACTAGGGCAATCTAATTTTTTTTAATATATATAAAAAACGTGGAGTACAGTACTAAAGTAAATTTTTTTAATTTTATTTTTTTAAAAAAAGATTTCGTGCTAAAATTAGATATATTAATATCTCAAAACATTATCATAAAATGTTAAACTCTGGTAATGATAAATATACATATTTTTTATAAAAATATTTTGTACCATTTTTGTAAATACCACGATACTATATTCTTGTGTTGGGCCGATATAGAAACGAAATAGGTATTTTTTTTTTTCTTTTTTACTTTTTGTTCGTACTTGGCCTTTAAAAAAAATTTATATTTTAGTTTTAATTAATTATTTTTTACTTTTATAATAAAATTTAAAGTCTGTTGAATCAAATTGTAATACATTAAAGTATACCAATAGATTCTTTTTAATCTATGCTAATTGTTTAATTTTTTTGTACAAAATTAGTATTAGTTAAATAATCTTATTCTTTAGATTGAAAAAAATGTATTAAAAAAATAGTATCATTACTGTTATACAATATTATTAAAAAATTAATATGTTTATATATGTAAATCAAACATGACTTACAAATATGTAATTACAACTTTGTACTTTAGAGTTAAAAAATAAATAATTTTTTTAAAAGATCATATAGTATATTTTTATGGGTATGAAAAATAGTAAAAAAAAATAAAAAACAAAAAATTTAAATAAAAACTGAAAAGAGACTATTTTGTTATTTTTGTAAATATTTTGGGTCATTTTTATAATTTTAAAACTGTGAGGGTGTTTTTGTATTTAAAACAAATAGAATTCCGTTAAATTAGACGGAAATTAGCAAATTGGACTAAATCAGCTAACGATTGAATAGTTTAGGGTAATATCAACTAACCAAAAAAAATTAGGTAAAATTGACGACGCATGTAAAATTTTGACTAGATCGGCCAATTTTTTCGACCAATGGATATTGCAAGTTTGTAAAAGAAATGATGGATCCCTCATATGTCTTAACTGAATGAAAGAGGCCCAAAAGAACAACAAAAAATTAATCAACCAATTAGGCTACGATACATTTTATCAAACTCATCAATGAGAGGCCCAAAACCTTTTAAGATCATTCAGCAGGCGCGTAGCTCACCGGGAAAAGGTTACCACCGTTCGGCCGGTGAAGTAAAGCTCTGCATTTCAGTTTCCTGTGTCAAGGAATCTGGGGTGAGGATGGCGATAGCCTTATTCCCCAACTCCAAACTCCAATATAAACCGCATATTTCGAGTCCCAAAATCCCAGTCCACCGAAAGAAGGCTAATCACTTCAACCCCCCCGACGGGATCAGCAACTTCATATTACCTCAAAGGCAGAGACAATTACGGTGGCAGTCGTTCTGTAAGAGCGTTGATTCCCAGGAGAAAGAAACCATTAGCCGGAGCAGCTCAACAGGCATGTGGATTTCTTTTCTTCTTTTAACAAATGGCAAGAATTGGAATTTAACAATCTTCCAAGTATCAATGAGAATTTTGTTTTCTGCTTGGGTTTTCATTTGTTCAGAATCTTCCGATGAGGAGAATTACGATTTAGGGGTCAAAGCTGCCTTGTGTCTCCTCAATTTCTACAAAAGTGAGTACTTTCTGCTTTATTAAATGGTAGCAAAAGTGGATTCAATGGAAACTCGTTTCAATAGATTATTGTGGTGATAACTGATATGTTCGCATTTCACTAGGTGAAATCTCTCCAATTTTGCCAAGAAGCTGTCGATTTGTTCCGACCTGCAGCGAGTATTCCATGATTGCTTATAAGAAGTACGGATTTGTTAAAGGAACCATCTTAACAAGTTGGCGAATTTGTCGCTGCAATCCTCTAGGTGATATTTTGCATTCAACTGCTTGGCTTTCCTTTATATTGAATTCTGTTGGTAAAATGTTCAATACAAGTTTCTTTATGCTTTTGATTCTTGAAAACTTGGTAGGAGGCAGAGGTTTCGATCCGCCAAGATGGTTTGATGAGGAGGAAATCCCCCCCGAGAGTTGAGTCTTGAGTGAAAGTGATATATTGGATAGTTCGAATGCTGTAGATATTTGCAATAGCTTCAAGATGATGTTCTTTGAAAGTTAGACCAGCGGAAAAATGTTGGACTTGGAAGTAAGAAACTGAAGCATTTACTTACTTTACTCATTGATCATACAGTTAGATATAGTACTTGGTTTAGAATCACAAAGTTGAATTTGAAGGGTTTGGACTTCGGTGTTCACCATGAACTGATCAACTTCATCTTAATCTAAAGCTTCGAGTATTAGCCAGTTTCTTGTTTGGCTACTTTACAAGGCCTAATGAGGGCTCTCTCAGGCGGAACTCCGACCAGCTTGCTCCGACCAGCCCCTTCTTTTTTCTTTTTTTTTTGGTAATATATTGTTGTTTTATTTTGTATTTTGTATACGTCTAATTGGGTTGTTTTCATCAAGAGTTCATTTACAAGTTTGTTAGAAATGAATATTCTCATTAATGCTCTTATGTCTTTTTCTGTAACCATCTAATCTACCCCTACAATTTACCCCAAGTCTCCCCCCCCCCCCCCTTTTGCCCCCAAGGGATCAATCCCGAGTCTCTCAGAAAGTCTACTCTATCCGTTAACCACTGAGGCAACTCCCGATTCCTATGCCCTAATGTTAAAGTAAGAAAATTGTCACACAAATGTACCATCTAAGTGCAAAGTATTGTTGACTTACATGACTTGCCAACTATTTGTATAAGGGTATGAAGTTAAGATGAGGTTTGACATTAATTTTCAAATTTTTTTTCGAGTATTTCTTTCTATTCTTATTATAAGACATTTTAATTTTCCTTAATTTTTTTTATTCATCTTGTTTTCCCCATTAAACATTAAATTTTTAGAATGTTTTATAATAATTGTAAGAATACGATAAATTTGAAAATATATTTTTAAAGTTTTATTTTCAATTGAAATAATATAATAAATGAAATTAAAAAAAAATCAAAATGCCTTGTAAATAAGGACTAGAATGAGCATAATGAACTTATTTTCTTTAACTAAACTAGAGAATAACTTTGTTTGTCTCGCCCCTTTAATGAAAAGAGTCAAAAAAATCATGTAACACCATGTAAAAATACTTGTATTTGATAGAGTGATTGTTATTAAGTACTTCATGCCAACTACTGTTTTGATTCAATTATTGAGTGAAATCCCCACAAAATTTAGAGAAAAAAAATGCATGAGATGATGATGGTTATGAGAACGACAATCGCTCTTCGTAAATACTCTCTTTATTTCAAAATAAGTGTCGTTTTAGCAAAATAGAGAAATTCCAAAATAAGTGTCGTTCTCACATTTCAATGCATTTTTTGTCAAAAGTTTCCAAAATTACCCTCAAAAGAGTTGATGCTATTGGTGGACAATTTTATAATAGAGTTGGTTGATGATATTCAAGTAATTTTATTACTCTATTTAAGAGTTTCTTAAACTATGTGCAAAGTGTAGAACGACACTTATTTTAGAATGAAGAGAATACTAGTCATTTCTTGTCTTAAACTCTCAGTTCAATTTAACGCACTCCAAACACAAAATGAATAATTTTCGAATACAGGAAATAATGTACATTGCCTAAATTAAAATTTTAAGATTACGAAAAATTAGAAATTGATTTGAATTCACGGCTGAATCAGATCATTTCATCGAAATACACCTGGATTTCACATCCGCCCGAGCGAAAATAATGAACAGCCCTTTGACCAAAGTTTACTGGTAGTACTACCTTGACAATTAATTAGTACATGTGATTTGGAGAAATAGTAGACCGTCAGGGAAAAGAAAAGGAACCTTAAAAAATAATCATCAGACATACCCACGTCAGAATAGGCCACACACACACACACACACACACACACACACACACACACAAAACTCGCGCACCCAAAAAAAACGTAACTCCTTTCCGAATTCCAATCTTCAGACACATGGCGGCCGACTGAAGTAAAGAACACCGGTTTGTTTCTCATTTTTGCCTTCTGTTTTTGCTTTTCAGTCTCCCTTTTTCTCCCATTTCCCTCCTTTAACATTTTGCTTTGCAGCCAAACACTATAGGTCACCGTAATCTCGTTCTGCCATCAATTTTTGGGTTTAACTCGTTGACCAAACTTTACCTACTGTATTCTCCAAATCCCAAGTTTTTGTTCACCCCCAGTATATATAAATGCCAGTTTAACAAACCCATTTTTGTTTTTTAAGGTTTAATCCATTCTGGGTTTCTCTGGGTTCTTCTTTGTTTTCTGCTCCTTTTGTTTTTTTAATTTGATTAATTTACGCCGGGATGTCAGGTCGAGGTGGGGCCCCGCCACCGCCGTCAGATGCCCAAATCAGGATGCAGCCACGGCGTGGTAACAACAACACCATTCACCCTGTGCTGGGCCCGACGCCACCCGGCGGCGGCGCTGGCTCGTCGGCTTCCTCCTCGGCGTCCAACAACCCAGCTGCCCTGTACAGTGAATTAGTTGCCAAGCACTATAGGAAGTGGTTCCCTTGGTTGATACCGGTTTTTGTGGTGATCAATGTAGCCATGTTTCTGATCACCATGTACATTAACGACTGCACCAACAATTCTGTTTCCTGCTTTGCTGGATTTCTCGGCAGGTTTTCTTTTCAGCCATTGAAAGAAAATCCGTTGCTTGGGCCTTCCTCCACCACGTGAGCTTCTTTTCCTCTTTTTTTCCGCCGGAAAACTCGTTGCATTTTCCCCTTCTGGTACCGTTATGTTTATACTTACATAATTTTTGTATGATGGTTGTTATATAAGTGGAATGTTTCTCTTAATTTGATTCGATGGGCGTCTGAATTTTTGGTGGTATAAGCATGATTTTTGGGAGGATTGATGTCTTGCGTGTTGGAATGTAGTGGGGAAACACTTTAATTGTGGATAAAACATGCTGGCTAATTGATTTTAATTCTACCAAAATAAAATGTCTCTCGTGATGGAATGATTATTCTTATGAAGAAAGAGCTGTGAATTTCTGATTTAAAGGTTAAACATATAAAGTTAGCTGTTAATTTGGATTTTAGGCGTTGGGAGTCATCTATTTCAAGATAAGAAAAAATGAATCAAAAGCTGCCCGTACTGGGACCATTACAAAATTTGATAAAAGCTTAGCAAATGTTAAAGTGTCAGCAATTTCAAAAGAGAGGAATATTGGTATCTATGAGGTATTGAACCTTTTGAGGAGCTGAATGAGATGCTAGTGGTTGTCATCAACTGCAAAACTGTGACAGTTTAGGTTGGGACTTGACTTCCACTTACTCTTCGTCCCTGGAATTTGAAACTAGTTAGTTCTGTTTGCTTCTTATTATGTATTATTTGACTTGGGTCATGTATTGAGATGGAGGGTTACTTTCATCGTGCTCATTATATCGATAGATTTTGACCTACTTGCTTGGATTATAAGTGAATAATAAGCTTGCATAACGTCGGTTGTTTTCTTTTTTTGCTTTTTCTTTGTAGGCTAGAGAAGATGGGCGCTTTAGATGCTAATAAAGTGGTCCATGAACATCAGGGGTGGCGGCTTGTTACATGCATGTGGCTACATGGTGGCATTCTTCATTTGCTGGCCAATATGTTGAGTCTTGTAGTCATTGGCATTCGCCTTGAGCAAGAATTTGGCTTTGGTATGCCCTGGTACTGAAATGTCTTGTTATGTATGGTGGTGGTGCCTTGCTTAATGCAGTTAAATTTGCTAAGGGTTAGGTTTAGCATTTTTATTGTTTTGAATTTTCGCTATTAATGACAGCTCATATTTATTCGGCAGCTGATATTGATTGAGCATTCCATAAAGCTTGTTCAGAATATGAAGCCCTCTTTCAATTATATCTGATTATATCTTTACTGAGAAATCAGTAATTACGGTGTTCTTTCACGATGCATTAAATGTCAAGTAATCTGCAAATGCTGTTTATAATGAGAATTCACTCTTGCGCAACCTTATATCTTTATTTGTGGTGAAGATTTATGTGGAAATCGATTGAGTTATTTCTTCATTTGACGGAAATGTGAGCTTGCGATACTTTGCATAGAGTATTCATAACTTATACTTTCCAGTACTAGCACAAGAGCTTACTTATCCTGTTTGTTGACTTGCTTCCTTTTTAGAAAATAGTCATGAGTAAAAAATCTTTTTCAGAAAGGTTACTTTGGAGCTGCATGCTATCTTTGAAAGCAGAAATCTGACTTGAGATATGATGATCTTTTGTTTTGGTATTTCGTAGTTCGCATTGGACTGCTCTATGTCATCTCCGGACTTGGTGGAAGTTTGTTATCAGCTCTCTTCTTAAGGTCAAACATATCTGTTGGTGCTTCCGGTGCTCTTTTTGGTTTACTTGGCGGCATGCTCTCTGAATTGATTACTAATTGGAGCATATATGCCAACAAGGTACTTAAGAAATTTAGGTCATCTAAGCCGTCGATTCTGCTGGTTATTTATGTATTGCAGCTCATTTTCTTTTACTCAACTGCTTTTCAGGTGGTATCTTTCATAACCCTTGTTGTCATAATTGCTATAAATTTGGCAATGGGACTGCTACCGCACGTGGACAATTTTGCTCATATTGGAGGGTTTCTTTCTGGGTTTTTTCTTGGGTTCGTGTTTCTCATACGTCCCCAGTTTGGATGGGTCAACCAGAGATATGCTGGTCAAGGACACTCTCCGTCATCTCCCAAACCAAAATTCAAGACTTACCAATGCGTCCTTTGGGTCATTTCTCTGATTATTCTCATTGTTGGGTAAGCTTCTGTATGTGATGTGCTTGTTTATGTTTGTGGTATTCCTTCGTCATTTTTAGCCTGTAAAGGAAATGCTGTTGGATGCATGCGACTAAAACATCTTTGCCCAATAAAGAGACCAGTGTTTTACGCATAACTTTTTGTGCATATTCACTTGTCTGATCGCAACACACTCGAGCATTTTGCCAGATTAGTTGACCTAAATTTCTGCCTTATCAGCTTTATCCTAACAGAATAAAAAGTTGATTGACAGCTACAGCTTATTGGATTCAGATTTAACTTGAAAGAATATCTGTAAAGAGTATGTGAAGCCTTAAGCAGCAGCGCCATATGAAAAGCACACCTTCATTTTCCAATCTGGCTTTTATGTATTTAGGCTTGATTCCATGAACGCAAGGATGCAACATTGAAGTTCGTATTATCTGCAATCTGCCTATCTGAACTGGACAGCAAACTTTTGATTTTGATGAGAAAAGCATAATGATTAAATAAGTTGTTCCAATTGATAGAATATGGATATGATCAGCCTGCATTTTGGATTACCTTTTCATATTTGTGAAATTTGCATGACTAGAACCTTCCCCCACCCCCTCATAGCTAATCATGTCAAAATTGTAGGTTCACTTTTGCTCTGGTCATGCTGTTTCGGGGGGTGAATCTGAATGAGCATTGCTCATGGTGTCATTACATGAGCTGCGTTCCAACTTCAAAGTGGAGCTGCAACTCACAGCCTGCATCATGCGTGGTGAGTAACCATTGATCTTTTCAATACCATGTGAGAAATGCTTTTTGAGTCTTCTGATCAAATAAAGATTGCATAGGTTAAAACACTCACAAATTTATTACGACCTGTTACAAACGACGCTGATTTATTGATGATAACAAGAACCGTGAAAATGCTGAACCTAATACTTTGTAAATGTGTGTACATATCATTTCATACATGTTTTCATACTAGGTTAAAGAACATGCATTGATATGAATCATAATCCAATTTCAACATGAGTAACCTCTACAGAACAACTTCGTGCAGCTTCTGATACTATTACTACATTTCTTGTTTGTTTTTTAGTTTCTTCTTTATTTGCACATCACTTGAATGCGTGTTGTAATGCAATTTTTCAGTCTGATCAAGCTGGAAATCAGTTTACCTTAACATGTTCAAACAATGGCAAACAGAAGACATATACCTTGCAAAATCCGACGTCATCTCAGATAGAAGGGCTGTGTACTCAGCTCTGCCGGTGACCGACTAAGGATCTTTGGAAGACGTAGGGTTAGGGTTGAAGCTGGGAGGCCTAGACATATACATTTAACATTCATACATGTGACTGTTTCAAATCTGTCTTTTGTATATGCAAGTGTTTATGTAGAGGGACTATAGATTGATGTAAGGACGTTGATTACAAACCAGTATGGCCTCCTGCTGTTAAAGACTTTCAGCTTCATGACGGGAGTTTCCCATCTTTAAATTTTGCTTGTGTCAGTTTTGTGTTTGCAAGAGGAATTTGTTGGCTTATCCTGTAAGATTCTGCTCTCTTTTCAATGCAGGTTTAGCCAACCTGATGCTGAAGGGAAGAGTTTTCAACTTTTTCATTTACAAACCACACAAGTACCCAAAATGTTTTTATAAAACAACCATTAGGCAATTATTTGGGAGGGAAAGAGTATCTTTTCTCTCTTAAAAAAACGGTTTGAAATATTTATTAGTGCGTACATCATTTATACTCTCTCTATTTCAAAATGTAGATCGTTTTAGGTTTGGAGAAATATTTCAAAATATGGGTCGTTTTAAAATTTCAAGGCAAATTATAGATTAACTTCTCAATTTTGTTCCCAATAAATGATAGTAACTACTCCTCATCTAGTTTTGGTTATAGTTCTAAAACAATTAATAAAGGGCAAAATAAACATTTAACACATAAATGAATCACGAAATGATTGTCTCTTTAGTTTATGTGTAGAGTCTAAAAATACTTATATTTTGAAATGGGGGAAGTATACACTTTACCTTTTTATCTATGACTTAAATTCATATTTGAAATAAGGAAAAACCTTATACTAAACATATTTAATCTGATCTTAGTTTACCTTTTTATCTATGAATTAAATTCATAGATGAAATAAGGAAAAACCTTATGCTAAATTTCTTTAATCTTATCTTCCAGTGGTGAACGGAGAAATGTGGAATTATCTAAAATTGGCGACAAACGATAATAGCAACGTTAAAAATGCACGAAGAGTTTGATAAGCGATAAGAGCATTTCTATATTTACTTTTTTTTTTGTTTTTCGTGTACACTCACAAAGAATAGTAGTACTAATTTTTTTTTTTTTCAACCATTTTAATGAGGATGACCAAAACTCGGGAAGTTTATGTAAATTGGGCCAAAATTAGGGATAAAAATGTAGTTAGACCAAAAGAAGAGGAGGAAAAAAAATCTCAAGTTCGCAAAAAATAATCTAACATCAACTGCAATTCTTTTCTCTTCCATTACCAACGACGCTAAACAGCGGTAACGATAACGGCATCTCCATACTTCCCCTGGGGCAAGCATTCCTCTCCACCGAGGGTTGCTTCATCTCTCTCCGGCCATTCATTCCGGAATGAATTCTTGAATATAGCAGTTTCGCACCGCCGGAGTCTATACACAACAAGGATTACGAAATGGCGGTTCGCGCGGTGAACAGCTCGACAATCTTCCGGTCCGCCTCACCGCCGCCGCTGGTCATGTTCCGAAGCTGTTTCCGCCAACTTAGGACCTTGCGTAGTCAAAGCTACTCCAGATTAGGTGTCACCTTCTCGAATTTCGCCCTCCGCCGTGAGTCGTGCCTCTATGGCCGGGGTTCCAGTATTCGAACTTATTCTCTTCAGAGTCTCGTCGACACTGTCGCGGAGGAACTCGCGGCCATGCGCAAACGCGGTCGTTTTCGCATTTCGAACAAGTACTTCTACTCCTTGCCGAACTTTTCTTTTTTTGCTTTCCGTTTTTGTTTTAAACCTAAATGATCTAACGGTTATGCTAGTCTCTTTGTTAAAATGCTCGGTTCTCTATGTAAGTCTCATAAAGTTATCTTGCGTAATGAGGTTGTTTTGTATTAAGCTTGATCACTCAGATTATGATGCACAAGTGAAGATTAAATTGACGTTATCTGTTAATGATTTATAGCTACTTAGAGAGTAGGTCCATTATCATTTGGCCAATACCCTACCGTAGGCAATATATTCATGTCTTGATTAAGATAGTGCGCACTACCGTACGTGATCAATGACTGGTGAATTACCTGATAATATATTGTAATTTGGCCTATATCATCCGGTTTGCGTAATTTGGCTCATAACCTTTGCAGATTAGCAAGCAGTGAGGAGCTTGTCCAAGAAAAAGTAGGAAAACAAACACTACAGCAAGGTTTTCTGCTGGAGTTCAAGAAAGATACAGGAAGGGTATTGCTAGCTGTTGCTCAGAAACCTGATGGCAAGAAAAATTGGATAGTATTTGATCAGGTTTTGTTAACCTCTTACATTTCAAATCAGTCCATTGATTTCTTCAGTGCTTCAGTAGTAGTTGTTCTTTAGTTATTTAAAGGGTTTGTTTGGTTGCGAGTGATTCAGAATGGTGGTACCAGCTCCATCAAACCTCAGCAAGTCACATTCATTGTTCCCGGTGTAGAAGAGTTTGATCCTACAGAGATATCGGACTTCATTGAGAGGGCTCATAATACCTTGGTTGGTGCTTACATTTTAGATTGTGACCAAATTATAGATTGTCGTTAAATAGGTTAACATGATTGTTTGTTGCAGGATCCTACATTGCTAGAGTTCGCGTGGACTGAACTTCTGGAAAAGGAAAAGTCAGTGACAGTTGACCAACTAGCTGAGGTATATCTCACTGAAATGCCATGATTACATCTTTTTGTGTTTCTAACAACCTCACTTCACACCACCAGATGATTTTTGGGAGTGCAGAGCCCCTTGAAAGTTATTGTGCTCATTTGTTGCTGTCAAAAGATAATATTTACTTCACTGTATTGGAATCAAAAGGCCCCTTCTCTGTTTATGGTCCTCGACCTGCTTCTCAGGTATATAGCGTATCTATATCTGTTTTTACTTTTGGTCACTTGCTTAGAGAGTAGATACTTTCATTCTTTAGCTATTTCGTATCCTGTTCGTCGTTATTGGTTTTATGAACATGATTTTTACAGATTCTTTGGCTCTCTCTGCAGTCTTTTTCAATTTTGCTTCTGTATTTTTTGTAATCTGAAGCCAATTGAACTTTAAAACTATAGGTGGAAGAACTTATTCAGAAAAATGCTGCCAAAGAACTGGCTGAGAGAGAATTTAACGAGTTTATTAAGCTGCTAAAATCTGTCAAAGCAATGCCTTTGGATGCTAAACCGTCAAAATCATCATGGAAAACTGAAGAGAAGATTTGGCAGAGGATTGAGGCGCTTGAAGCTTTTTGTATTGATAATATAAAAAATGAAGAGCAGAGGAAAACCGCCGGGATGGTAAAGTTCTTTGCTGAACACTTTCTTTTGATGTTTGGTTACAGAGGTTACTCATTGCTGTAAATTTCTGTACTGAACATTTTCTTTTGTCAATTTCTTTATTTGTTGCTGTGAAAAGTTAAAGACTTAGAAACTGCTGTTTTATGTGTATTCTGTAAATAGTATTTTATCTGATGGTGGGAGGCTTTCATTGTCAGATACTCAAAGAAATGGGACTCGGGAAAACATCGACTGCTGCTCTTAATCTACTTGTAGATATTGGCTATTTTCCAGTACATGTCAATCTTGATTTGCTGAAATATAATATTCGCACTGAGCACCCCGAAGAAATTCTATCTGCTGCAGAAAGATTATTATCAGAGTCACCTGACATTGACGAGGTATGATTGCTATAGAACCTTAGTATACCTATCAACTCAAAGTTGTTTATGAATAGAGGTGGCTTAGTGTAGAACTATTCATGACAATCATAGTTTCTTGAGTCAGTTAGCAGGTATCACTTCGTTTGATTGGTCTACTATCTTTATGCTCCCTTGTAGCTTACATTCTTTTGATTGAATCCAGAATGACAGAACAGATCTAACCCACCTGAAGGTTTATGCGATTGATGTGGATGAAGCTGATGAGGTATACCTGCTTAGTCCTATTCAGATTTGATGTTGATTTTTTTGTACCTCTTAGTAACCTGGCATGGTAACGATTGCTGCCTGCAACACAGCTTGATGATGCGCTTAGTGCCACAAGGACTCAAGATGGGCGAATTAAGGTTTGGATACATGTCGCTGATCCGACAAGATTAGTTCAACCTGGGAGCATAATTGACAAGTAATTTGCTTTTTAAAATAAATAAATGATCTTAAAGTATCGAAGTAAGAGTATTGCTTGATGTAGCATAATCATTTTTGTTAGAGAGGCTATGAAAAGAGGAACTTCGACATTCTTACCTACTGCAACATATCCTATGTTTCCTGAGAAGTTAGCAATGGAAGCCATGAGTTTGAAACAAGGAACTCACTGCAGAGCCGTTACAGTATCTGTTGTACTGCAATCTGATGGCAGGTGAATTGCTGTCATTTTAACTTGTGAATTTATGAAGGGAATTTGCATCATATCTGATGGGTTCCTATTGTGCTATCAAAGTGAAATGAGATCTGGAATTAATTCTTAATGAAGTACTAGTTTAACTGATAGGGGCATATCTTTGTAGAAAGCTCTAAGAAACTCTTTACCACCTATCTAGTTTTTATGGGGGACATTTGCAATTCGCAGAACCTTGGTCAAATTCAACAATATTTCATGGAGTTCTTCTTGGTAGAGCAGCAATATAGGAACAAGATGGATTGTTGTCTGTTGGGTGGGTGGTGTTGGAGGAGAATGCCTATGGAGTGAAATTTTTTTATGTACCTTGAAGCGCTAATATGTCGTGAAGTTTTCAATGTAGTCAACGATTGTTTGGAGTAGTGGATGTCAAAGGCATCAATATTTTTTTGTTTCTGTCATTTTGTCTCTAAATTTCCTTAAAAGGCATGCTCTAATGGTGAAAGGGCTTTCTGGAATACAAGATCACATAATTTGTGTTTCTTCTAATAACCATACATATTTTGTAATAGTTTTATGCAGAGTCTCAATTGCACATAGATTTCTGCTCTTGTTCCCCAAACATTGTTTTCTGAAGGTGCTTTCGTGGTATATGCTCTGGACGGTTTTGGTATAGAATCACTGGGTTAATCACATGATTTAAAGTTCTCTTCCTTTTGTATTGCTATGTTGTCTCTCATCAAGTATCGGTGATGTCATTTTGAAGGGATCCATATTTCGTATAATCAGCATAGATTATAGATAGCTAGTAATGCTTAAGAAAGCTTTCTGCATGAGTTTCACTTCTATAGCTTTGTAGTATTGCAGAATATGCTGTGGAGAACTCTATTATCAAGCCCACTTATATGCTAACATATGAGAGTGCATCAGAGCTGCTGCATTTGAACCTGGAAGAGGAGGCTGAATTGAGAATCCTCTCTGAGGCAGCTGCACTCCGACTCAAGTGGCGCAGAGAACAGGTGAGGAAGACTTGCAAGGATGACGTACTCATCCCTTTCTTGATTACTACCGTTAGTCTTGTTGATGTACTTTCCCTGTGCATGGAGTACCAATCGTCACTGTCATTATGTGTTTATGCGTACTGCAATTGCTACAATTTATTTGTTGCTGCATGCTGCAATTATGAGGAGGCTGCTAAAACTAAAATTTCTAAACTTATATGGAAATATTGAAAACTGAAAAAATTCAAGTTATAAATAATGACGCTTTATTAATGGCTGAGGTAACTTTTATAACCTGCGCCTGTTATTTCTGCTGGTCATTCCATCAGGTCATAGGTATGAGTGTGTGCGAGTACATACAACTCTCCACTGAAGATATCTCTGGCTTATAAGTTCAATTCCTACACTATGTTTTACTATGTAAAGTTTTAAATTTTCCTCCTGCAGCATGCAACTTGTTGTTTTTCTTGTCTACTCATAAATGAAACTTGCAGTTTTTAGTCCTGTTGCATTTATGAAAGTAGAGTGCGTGACACTTTTATTTCCATTTTTTTAGCCTAGTAGTCATTATGAGGATGGATGTCTTTGTGTTCTCTTGTTATTTGAATTGTCCATGTCCATGTCCATGTCTCTTAAACTCTGCATCTCTTGCATAGGGTGCTATAGACACTGCAACATTAGAACCACGAATTAAGGTCGGAAATCCAGATGATCCAGAGCCCTCAATCAGACTATATGTTGAAGACCAGGCAAATCCTGCCATGCGACTCGTTTCTGAGATGATGATACTCTGTGGAGAAGTTATAGCCACTTTTGGTTCTTCTAATCACATCCCGTTACCTTACAGAGGACAGCCTCAATCAAATATTGATGCATCTGCATTTTCCCATCTTCCTGAAGGACCTGTGAGGAGTTCTGCTATAGTGAGAGTTATGCGTGCTGCTGAAATGGATTATAGAAAACCTGTACGTCACGGAGTTTTGGGGCTACCGGGCTATGTTCAGTTTACTTCTCCTATTCGAAGATACATGGATCTCCTTGCTCACTATCAAGTAAGTTTTTTCCTTGTTTAATCTCCCTTTTGGGTGAATGTGTCTATTGTGAGAATGATTGACTATTTGCTCTGTGGCCTGTGCTACTTGCATGTTCCCTTTTCGGTTTTTACCACTTTCATCATGTGTTTTTCATTCCTAGTCTGTTTCTGCTCATAAAGTAAAATATGATTTTCCTTGAGGTGTACCATGGTCAGATATTATGATGTGAACGGGTTGGATCCTTGAAATTCTGTAATAAACATAAGCTACCATCCGTGATTCGTACGCTCAACATTATATTTTGTTTGATGAATACAGGTCAAAGCATATTTGAGAGATGATTCACCTCCTTTCTCGTCTGGTCAACTGGAAGGAATCGGATCGTTAGTAAACATGAATACAAGAATGATCCGGAAGCTGTGCAACAGCAATCTAAGGTATTGGATATTAGAGTATCTAAGAAGGCAGCCAAAAGATAGAAGGTTTTCGGCGTTGGTACTCAGATTCATCAAGGACAGAATGGCTGCTATACTTCTGGTGGAGGTAATCACATATTAGTAGACAATCTTTGTTTTGGCATCCCTTTAGTAAATGAATCTTTCTAGCTTTTACTTGTTATTCTTGGCCATCTTATCCTATGATCAAACCGATTGGCAAATTTAAGATACTGTGGTGCTATTGGCGCTGTTTTGTGCAGAAACATGGATGAACCTGAACCATCATTCAGAAGCAAGAAAGTTGTAAATGTGTTTCATTCATTGTTAACTTCATTTGAAAGTGCAGTCTAGGTTTTCTGTTGATCTCCTTTCCTTAATTTCAATGTGTGTGATGTTTGAATATTTTTCCTCTTTGAGGCTTGATAATGTGGTAATGGAACTTATGGCTTGCTGCTCAATCTGTTGATGATGTTATACTCTTTCCAGGTTGGTCTACAAGCATCTGCCTTGGTTTCTGTCGGTGTAGAAGTTGGTGATGAAGTGAAAGTTCGTGTGGAAGAGTCTCATCCTCGAGATGATATTATCTCCCTGAAACAGGTCCTTGCAACATGAGCAATTGATGACACCGACCTTTTGAGCTTGAGGCAGAGAGATATGATCCTTAAAGTTTCTGGAGTAATCAAGGAAGAGCATCTTGATCAGCTGGCTCATAGCTGTTTTTGATCTGATGAATACTGACAGATTTTAGCTTTGCTTAGGGATTTAACTCTCGGCAGCACCATGACGCGCATGAACCATGGAATTGTGGAGGAGCTTCAGTGGTTTAAGACATCATGAAGCTGATGAATGATAGTGTATGGTACAGAGACAACTTCTTTAACAAAGTGACTACTCATTCCCACAGTATGAAGATGTATATCTATATAGAAATGTTTAGTGATTGGTCTTCAACGTGCATCCTGCGGATTAATGTATAAGGAAAACTCTTTCTTTTTTATTTTTTGTAAATTTGATATAGCTCCGTAGATAGTTTTCTCATCTCTTCTACATCTATGCCATTTCTGATCTGGCCGGGCCTATATATTTCCTGAAATGTTCATAATTGTGTCACCCCAATCTACTATACCTTTGCTTCTTCATGGTGATTGCTGTTTGGTTTGTGAATGCACTAACTCTTCCTCTTTTTTTCTTTTTTGGAAACGGTACCTGTGCATTAATTAAAAATACCTAAATGATTACATTGTAATTTGTTATAAGCTAAGTTATGTAATTCACTAACATCATGACGACTAACTTTAAGTAAAATGCATGAAGTAAAAGAAGACATCTGGGTCGCTGGTAGTGATATTACTTCTTTTGTAAGCTCAGTAGAAGGAAGTGCCATTTTTAGAGTTCATCTTTATACAGGGGAAACTATCTTGGAATCATCAGCAAAGCTACTAAACAACACACGAGTTTGGCAGCGGCTTCAAAAGAACTCATTTTGGCTGGTTCAAGACTTCTACATACACACATTGACTAGTTTCCAACTTTTCAAATAATGTAGAGACAAGACCAAAAAAACCCCCCAACAAAATGGGAATACATGAAAGCGGGAAAAAGACATGAGATGAGAAACATAAGTGGAGATTTTAGGCAGAAGAAGCCAGAGCTGTGATAAATTTGGGAATTGGGAACCAAAATGGTTGAGATTCACATGGTGATTGACGGTTTCATCAAAGGAAGGGGTTAGGAAACAGAAGTGATAGCTTCACATGTTCTGCCATGGCTTCAAACTAAAACAAAGCACGGGTTGTTTGGGTAGTTTGACTTGTGCATGTTTTGCATCATGCATCGCTGATCATTGCGCAATCTCTCTCTCGGAGCTGAAACACTCCCAACAGTTGACTATTATAAATCCATCTATCAGAATCTTGGTTGGTTTATCGGTCGATTTGGTGGTTGTATGCCTTTTATTCCCTTTATGACATACAGCTTCTAAAATCCGCAAACCAAAATGTGAAAGACAAAAGTGCACTACATCTAAACAGTACTATAGGACCAGTACCTAATGTTTAAATGGGCTTGCATTCAGATGATCAGCTATATCTCTAGCTATATTGCTCTCTCCATCTGATCAACTACTCTCTTGTGAAGTAGGATGGTTGTGGTTCTTTATCGTGTGTGTTATAAAGTCGTACAGCGAAAACCAAACTTTGTGCTATTATTATTTTTAGAGGTAAATACATTTTAATAACAAAAAAAAAATAAAAAAGGAAAAAGGAAATGTAGTGAGATGATAAATTTTTACTCCATACTTTTAATGTTTATTATCCATTTTAAATTTATCAGGATTTAGAAGACTTCTAAGTTCTATTGTAGCCATTTTGAGTCACAATAGACTCTTTCTCTGTACAATGTTTACTTCAAATTCATTCACGCCATTTCTTGGAAAGTATTTCTTGTTTGGTATGGAAGCGTAATGTAGTTCTTCTAGTGCTAAGCAGGTAGACGGGGGCTGGTCGCCCGTTGCTCTGAAAATGAAAATGATAGAAATTCATATCGACCTAACGAAGCACAACGAACCCAATGTTGTTCCATTAATTCGTGTCTAATTGAGGGGTTACATGGATTGCGAAAGGATTTAACTATGCCTACCCTTTTTTTGAAGCATTGATTTTGCCTATTTACGCTTTAGTGTACTCCCGTTTCCACAATAAGTACCGACTAAAATTGGTAGATTTTTAATAAATGCAAGGTAATAACGATCATTTAATCTTCATACTGCCCTTTTCTTATTCTATTTTCCTGCTTATGACATTTCCAACAACTGCAACTGATAGATTGAAAAATGATGCTCACTCTATACTAAAATAATTATTATGAAAATAAAATCGCAAATTAGACAATGACAGAAGAAGTGTTGTAAAGGTTGTACGTTTCTGTAATATGTCCATCTAATTTTATTTAAACATTACTGTCTTTCATTAAACCGAAACAAATTGAGAATAAAAAGTCACCAAATATATCCACAATTAAAGTAACAGAAAAAGAAAAGAGTAGCTAAACTATACCTTGAGTGGAGAGACAAATTAGGTGCATTTAATGGGACAACATTAGGCAGCAAGAAAGAACAAAAAGAGGGCAGAGAGGATACAGAAATGCTGCAGAAGTTATTGCTTTCCCGTTCTAAGCCCAACCAGCAGCTGCGAACTGTTGGAAAAGCTATTACCCCATACCTATTTGTGTGCGTGTTTTTAATTGATTTGTAATTTACCACCCATAAATGACTACGTGATAAGTGTCCGCGACGAAATTAGTCCCGAACATCAGTGTGAAGGACCCAGCTCTCCAACACTGCAGGGGCCATTTTGGAAGGTGAATTGAGCAAATTTTTTAAAAAGAAAAAAAATTAAAATATGTAGACTTTAAGAAAGAAAAAAATGGGCTGTTAAAATAAGTCTTTTAAAACAAATACTCTCTCTGTCCCAAAATCATTGTCCAGTTTGAGATTTCACTTTTAATATAATTTGAACTAAAAATAAAAATCCAAACCGGACAATAATTTTGGGACGGATGGAGTAAGTATAAGCAAAACAATGTTTGGGCATTATAAATTAGAAAAGAATCCTAGCTCAAAAGAGCTGAAGTCTTCTTTTTCATCAGTACTGTACACTTCTTCAAATCTGCAGGGGCGGTGTTCCAAGGACGGCACATCAAAAACGCCACCAGACATACCTACCAAAGGGTTTCTCCGAGAGGCCGCAGGGTCGACCCTGCGGACCCTTAGCTAGGTCTGTCCCTGCCGAACATCACATTGAGTATAACTAGATTTTTTTTTTCTTTTTTAACTAAATAATTTAAGGTATTCGTTGAAAAAATTTCGCCAATGGCAGGGTTGGCTGACGCCCTTTGCGCCCCCCCCCAAGTTCCATCCCTACAAGATATAATACCGTTAAATTTTACATCTTTTAAATTTTAAATAAATACAAGAATACACATTGGAAAAAAAAAAGAAAAAAACGTTTCAAACAGAATCTTAAAATCTCTTCCGAATTTGCAAAGTGACTAGTTATATGCTTTGAGCCTTTGCTGTGTCCTTTATGGAATTCTATTTCAAAGGCAAGTAGCTATGCGGATCTTTTTATCTCGACTTTTGTTTGTTAAAAAACTGATATTTGGAAGGGTCAAATTGAATGTTTATTTGGTTTGTTTAGTATGTGTTTTTATGTATTTTTTGTATTGAAAATGTAAAAAGATATATTATTAAAAATATAAAAAAATATATTGAGATGGGACAATTATTATTTTATTACTATAAGAAAACTATAAAAAAAAAAAAAAAACAAAACAAACAGAGCCGAAGTCATTTCGGTGTGTATTCCTTAAAAGAATATTTTCAAGATCAAGAAGGAAAAAGGTCACAGTCCATGCACTCAAACAAGTCAACATGATCAACAACCCCAAGCGTCAATATTTCATATCTGGGATCTATACCCACTCTACTGTCCTCGCAGCAAAATCTGTGGTGTCGAATCAAAATTCTCCTACCACGCCAAAAAAACATTACTCCATTCCCAAAAAATTAAAAATAAAAATAAAAATAAAAAATCTTCCTCATTGTATAATTTTAGTTTCTTCCTCATTGTATAATTTTAGTTTTACAAGGATAAACTATTTCGGGACAAAAGGCTTACATTGATTCACTTTTCACCACAACAGGGGAGAAAAAGAAAGCAAAACAAAACAAGAAAAAGAAAAATTTTGAAAACTAATTAGTGCTTGTTTGGACGTCATCTTACATTTCATTTTGCCACTTAAAAGTGGAAAGTGTTTCAAGTTGAAAACTAAATGGGAAATGAAAATGTTGTTTGGATGGTATTTTGAGCAAAAAGTTGTTTAGATGGTTTTGAAAAAAATATTTTGAACTACATTTTGAAAATATCAAGTACGAGTCGTCACTAAATAATTAAATATTGTTAATTATAGTCACTGCAAAAAAGAATTTTTCAAAAAACAATCACTCAACAACGGAATCTTGTCAAATTTGTCACTGAACTATTTGTAGTTCTAAAATGGTCATTACACGAATAAAAAGTGTTTCAAGTTAGAATTTAAAATGTAAATCAGAAAGTTGTTTGGATGATGTTTTCTTTTCCATTGGGTTTTGTGTTTAAGAGGTAAAATGAGTTAAAATGTAAAATGAGTGCTTATCCAAACAAAAACGATCATTAAATGATTGTCCTCTTAATTTAGCGTATAGAGACTAAAAAGACTTACATTTTAAAATGGAGGGAGTACATGTTAAACAAAGTGGAGGGCGAATCTCATAGAAAAATATTTGAAAACTCCTAACAAAATAAAATTTGAAATTGTTTACCTCCATTTCATTGACACCGAAAAGGCAAAAACAATTTCCATTCCCACTGACAATAACATGAAAGTTTGAAAAGAAAGGAAAATAACAAGATAGAGAGAATTGTGGGGTGGTGGTTGATTCACCCAGTAAATAACTAATAAATGGGAACACACAAGTGCTAACACAGATGCATCAGTGTTTCAGTACGAATCATCAAATTTTCAGTGCCAAAAAAATGAAAACCATTACTACTACTACTCTACGAAGAAGATGAAGAAGATGAAAAGCGAAAAAAAAAAAGAAAAAAAAAAAAGGAGTTTGATATGATTCTATGATAACTCTTTACTCTGTGACAGAGAGTGAAAAATTAATTACGGAGGCCTCTGGAGTCATGTGATGCTATTACCTTCCTCCGTCTCCGTCCTCCCTTAGGGACCCCACCATCGCAGAGCTTTTTAAGTAAGCCCACCTTCCTCCCCGCTTTCCAATTCGCTCTCAGAAATTCTTTTTCCCCCAATTTCCCTCTCTCCCGCCCTCTGTACTCTCTCTTCCCCTGCTTTCCTTCCCACTTTAGCACCCTACAAAATTGACATTACCTCTGTCTCTTCTAAATCCAATTGACCTATTGATTTTGTTTTTTCCAACTGGGTGTGTAACGTAAAGTGTTTATTGGTCTTTAAAGAAAAATTGACTGAATCCGAGGATGGTGAAAATGGGTTTCCTCTGCTTCATTGTTGCTCTGCTCTGTTTTTCCATGGCGGTTAACGCTAGAATTCCCGGTGTCTACACCGGTAGCCCCTGGCAAAGCGCCCATGCTACTTTCTATGGTGGCAGTGACGCCTCTGGCACCATGGGTATTTCGTTTTTTTTCTGTTCATTTTCTTGCACGCCTCTGTAAATATGGCCTATTAATTACTCTGTTCATTCTTAGACGTACATTTTAGCCCAGTAAAAAATGCGGCCCTTGAAACCCGTATAACCCAAGAGTTAGACTAGATCTGCAAAAAATTAACCTCAATCTGTTCTTATTATAGTTGTTTTAAGTGAGTGTCCATCCATGGATGCATGGTCACTGATTTACTTGTGTGTTTGTTTGGTTAATGTTTTAGGCGGTGCGTGTGGGTATGGCAATCTGTACAGCCAAGGCTATGGAGTGAACACGGGAGCACTCAGCACGGCGCTTTTCAACGAGGGGTTAAGCTGTGGAGCCTGTTTTGAGCTCAAATGCGCCGGTGAACCTCGGTGGTGTCTTCCCGGCAGCCCTTCCATCTTCATCACGGCTACAAACTTTTGCCCCCCGAATTATGCTTTACCCAACGACAATGGTGGATGGTGTAACCCTCCTCGACCCCACTTTGACCTTGCTATGCCCATGTTCCTCAAGATTGCTGAGTACCGTGCCGGCATCGTCCCTGTCAGCTACCGTAGGTACGTAATTAGTACCCTTATCCCTTTTTGTCATATTTCTTCATCTCCGCCGGAATTCAATTTCTGAGTCTTGGGTTCTGTTTGTTTACGATTTACTTAACTATTGCGACAAATTGCTGTAAATCATCTTCACGGATGCAGCTTTTGCTGCTTGAATTAAGGGCTAAATATTTCACATTTACCTGTGGGAATAAGTTTGCTTACTCCATGGTTTATGATTATGTTCTGTTTTAGGGCTATTTCTTTTCTTTTTCACATTGATGAGTAGTATGTTGTTATGATATTGATGTTATCTGAAAATGCTCATGAAAGGCAAAACGATTAATGAAGACGTGACACATAGCTTAAAAACTGTGAGTAACCTAAGTAAATAATCAACTGTCAGTCAAGTCGTTTACTCATCATTGGGGGTGGAGGTTAACTGTTTAACCAGACAAACTGCGGTTACTATTCACCTGAGACACTATTAACAAATGTTTTTTCACCGGAAAAGACCATCATCCTTTTAAAGTTGCGTCGTGAATTATATAAATCATCCAAATCTTTTGCTGAGATTCCAGCTTTGGTAGTTGTTTTATTTGTTCGAGGAAAAATCCATCCACATTTTTTTGTTGCATATTAGTACTACTGCCACCACCACCAAGTAGTAGGACCTCTTTCTTAATAAAGGCTTCTTCCTCAAGAAGCAACCAAATTCCGGGAACGCGTTTTTGCAACCATATCTTGTCGTACCTTGTACCTCCCTTTGGCTTATGTGTGCAGTGATTCTAGGCTCGATTAATCAAATTATTTCTTTTTTTAGTCTGATTTTCATTTATGTGTTTGGTTGGCAGGATTCCGTGCAGGAAGCAAGGAGGAATAAGGTTCACTGTTAACGGATTCCGGTACTTCAACCTGATTCTGATCACCAACGTGGCGGGAGCTGGGAACGTGGTACGCGCCAGCGTGAAGGGTACCAACACCCAGTGGATGCCGTTAAGCCGGAACTGGGGGCAAAACTGGGAATCCAATGCTCAGCTGACCGGTCAAGCACTTTCCTTTAGAGTCACAACCAGTGACCGTCGAACATCAACCTCCTGGAACGTGGCACCTCCTAATTGGCAGTTTGGGCAGACCTTCGTCGGCAAGAATTTCAGGGTTTAACATTTTCCGACTTAAAAAACCACGACTACTACTTTATTTCTTCTTAATTAGTAGCAGTTATTAACTAAATTAATCGTAAAACCAGTAGTAAACCCCTGCCTTTAATTTTCCCTTTTTTCCTTGGGAAAATATGGTAGGATATTAGTAGTAGTAAACCCTGCCTGTAAAAGGAGTTTTACTTGCATGGAGTAAGTATTACCACCTTTGTCGAGGTTTCGTTTTTATGTTTTAACCTTTTTGTCTGCCCTTTTTGTGAGTGAACCCGGAAGGAAATCAGAAAGGGTATGTAATAGTGTTATTATACGAGGTGAAGCGGCTGCGGAATAGGGGATAACTTCTGGCAGCCCGCATCTCTGAAATCAAATTTCCGATATGGTTTCAGTAGTCGTGATTAAAGTTTAATGCATTATGCTAGTGTTTTTCTTTCCCATGGATTAGGATTCAAAATAAGATGTTAAAAGATTGATCATGTATGATGGTTCAAAAATGGAATCTAAGTAGCACTACTATTTAGTTCTTGATGATTCCCGTTTACGCAATTCATTTAACTCTGATTGAAAAGCAAACTTATTAAACACATCTGCCCTGCTAAAAAGTGGACGTACAATTGGAATTTAAACATAACAGTTTCTAAGTACTATCAAATTAATTTCGAGTCTTAATAACTAATTGAAAAACTGGTTTTGCTGGCAGATCAAGTACTTCTTGCCCAGGTGTTTCAAACTCGTGGATGGACCCTTTTTCAAACCAACAAATCTATGCCAGAGTTCACACCAGCAAATTGCATGAGTTTCAGCATTAGGATATATTGATAAGATCCCAGTTGATCATCAACCCTCCAATGAATGAGAAAAAAGCAGATCATCATCATTGTCAAATCTTGAAGGCATTAATTCGTAAAATGAGATCAGTAAAAATATCTAGATATAGTTCTGAACGTACCTGGCAAGAGTAGCAGATGCTGATTTTATCGGAAACGAAAAAAAAAAAAAAAAAGAACAAACAACCGCCGGGGGATGCAAATGGCCAATCAGCAATTATTCCTCCTCTGATTGTCTGAGGATTAGTAAAAGGCCAAACACAAGGAGGGAGCAAAGCACCAAGTTCGAAAGTTGTACTCCTAGCTAAGAGCAATAAAATAGACAGATATATACCTTATCGAAGATATGAAAGATATGATCATATATAATCAGTATTCAGTACATATATCAATTTAGCAATACGCGTCGGGACTCAGGACCACTTCTCACCATTGCCGCCCAGAATCACTCTCAAGATTTTGATTCTCAATTTTTGGTTCTTTTTCTCCGGTTGAACTTCATACTTGTACACTCACTCTGTGGAGGTCATTGTAGTCTTCACCCAAGTTAAGTTAGGCACCCCACCGTTTAGAGCTCAAATGGATCCACTCCGCTTAAGCAAACCAATCAAAACCAGCTTCTCAAGTGGTCCATTGAATTACTGGATATTATTCATGGGCTGCACAAACTTATCATTATTTGCTGGTTGTACTACTGAGAAACAAAGTGCCATATTGACAGCATCAGCCCAGTAAGAAGACAAGTGATGGGCCTCAAAGAAAGAACGTGCGACTCCAAAGAACCCTTTCTCTTTCTAGCTCTAAGATCCTCTCGATTGACTGAAACAGTAACTTCTGGTGCACAGATCCCCTACCCTCCATAGAAATGGAGGTAGAGGAGTCACGCCCAATGGATACGGGTGACCTGATTCCTACTTCGCCTCTGTTCATGGATGATGGAGAAAGAAATCAACAGAATGCTGAGTGACAAGCAATTGAAACAGACCAGGTGGGCTCAGGAATGCCATCCTTTAAGGATACACTTTTACAGGGGGGACAACCTCCAACACACAACGGATTTCACTTGGAAAAAGTCACGACTGAACATGGTGATCCTATTTGATTGAAGATGGCATGCTGGCAATCAATTTTGCCGACCGGGTTAAAAAGGCGATGGAGCAAGCTATGTCATACTCAATAGTGGTGCGTTCTCTGGGTAGGAACTTCACCTTTGCGGCAATTAAAAAGACATGCTTGGCACTCTGGAAGCCCGAGGGAGACATCAATTTGGTGGATTCTATTGATGGGTATCACGTAATCAGACTCTCCCATAAGATGATTATCACAATGCCCTTATGAATGGGCCGTGGACGATTGTGGATAACAATGCCCTTCTATTGATGGGTATCACGTAATCAGACTCTCTCATAAGTATGATTATCACAATGCCTTTCTGAATGGATCGTGGACGATTGTGGATCACTACATAACTGTGCTCCCGTAGAAGATTGATTTTGATCCCAAAGCAGAAAACTTACAAGCAGTGGCAGCGTGGATTAGAATCCCGGGCCTTCCGGTTCACTACTTCCCACGAAGATTTACTCAGGGACATCATGAAACCGCTGGGAAGATATTTGAAAGCAGATCGTAATACTTTAATGGCAGAAAGGGGAAGATACGCTCGAGTAGGTGTTAAACTAGATCTGACGAAGCCGCTTATCGGCAGGGTGAAGATCGACGGGAAGGCTCCCAATGTTGAGTACGAAGATCTCAGAAGGATATGCTTTACCTGCGGGAAGTATGACCATGTAGCGAATGAATGCTCTGATTCGCCGGAAAAATCGCCGGTCACCGATGGGGCACAGGAGGACAACGGTGCACAGTCGATGACCGTTGTTACCAACGGGCAAGAGGAAAAAGAAGGGCCACCACCAACAGCCTCTGAAAGTTTGGAAAAGTCAGCACGAGTGTCGATGCAACTCAAACCCACCCCAAATATTAGCGAGTGAAGTTACACACAAAGGAGGGGAAGGAGACCGGTCTTTGGAGGAAATTTTCCGGGTAACGCAGGGGGACTCCTTAATCATAGAGGACACAGATCGTAGCATTCAATGACAAACCTTTTTGCCCCACTGGACGGCCTACCACAGGAGGCTCTGAGGTCACAACCTAGACAGACCGGAGCTCCGACTCATGTAAACCCTGCCCCCAAAGTTTCCACTGAATTTAACCCATCTGTTCGTTTCTCTTCAGGTAAAGGGCTAACACAAAGGAGGAACCATAATGGCAACAGGCCAAGGCCCAATCCCAAACCAATGTCACATCCAAAAGGAAAGCGGAATTAGCAACCCAAGAGATATCTTGGACCAAAAAATCAGCCCACGATGACCAGGCCATGCAGACTACTAGCCCAGTCACTGAAACAAGCCCCCTAAACCCAACTAGACCATAATCCTTGTTCTTCTTCAAACCACCCAACAATGACGCAACAAAATGAACCGGCTAAAAAGATTCCTATAGAAAACTCATCTAGTAATAATATGGTGATCGAAACTTCTAAGAACATTGCTCTAAATTCATCCCAAAACCTCACCGGCGACACACCCAAACATTCTACCATCATCATACCGCATCCAAACCCTCGCTGGAAATCAGATTCTATCAACTGATGCGGTATTCGAAATGCACAAGTTTAAAGCTTGTGGTATCGATAGATTCTCGGTGAGTTTTTTCCACAATAATTGGGATGTAATAGGTCGTACGGTATGCAAGATTGTTTAGTGATTCCTTTCTCACTAGAGAAGTGGATGGACAAATTAACAAAGCCATTGTAGTACTTTTGCCAAAGATTAAGAATCCTGAGAGTTTCAAGAATCTACGGCCGATCAGTTTGATAAATGTGTCGGCTAAGATAATCTCTAAAGTTGTTGCTAATAGGCTGCGTAAAATAATGACTAAGTTGGTGTTTCCCACGCAGTCTAGTTTTGTCCCAGGTCGAAGCATCATGGAAAATATAGTAATCACACAAGAGGCAAACCACACAATGAGGCAAGCAACAGGATATAAAAAATGGATGGCCCTCAAAGTCGACTTGGTAAAAGAATATGATAAAATCAAGTGGAGCTTTATTAAAAAAACATTAGAAGATGCAGTCATTCTGGAAACGCTCTCAGTTGTGATCATGAGCTCACTTAGAACCGGCTCGACGCAAATACTTTGGGACAGATTGCTGGGTGAGGAATTTCAACCGAGTAGGGGGGTGCGACAAGGCGACCTGGTATCGCCTTATGTGTCTGTTCTCTATATGCAAAGACTTTCTCAAGCAATAAACGTTGAAGTCGCAAACTAGAAATGGAAGCCATTACTTTTTAAAGGAGGCAGGGTCTCTCTGTCTCATTTACTCTTCGCCGATGACCTCATTTTCTTTGCCGAGGCCAATCTTGAACAAGTACAGGAGGTGAGAAACACATCGGCAGAGTTTTGCTTGGTGTCGGGGCAGACGATTAGTCAGTACAAATCTGTGGTGTATTTCTCACGCAATGTAGATACACCAGAAGCAATTGCATTAAGTTCTCAGTTAGGGGTTAGAAGGGTTAATAATTTAGAGAAGTATCTGGGAACCCCTTTAATTCATTGGAGGGTAAAGAACGAGCTATACACCGAGTGGATTTCTAAAGCAAGAACGAGAACACTTTCCTGGAATCCTCAAAGAATTTCATTAGCGGGGAGGTTGACCTTTTGCCAGTCGGTCCTCTCAGCAGGTCCAGCATACCTCATGCAATTTATGATGCTCCCAAAAAGTGTATACGGTGAATTCGATAAGATCATAAGGGGCTTTCTGTAGGAAAGTAAACCAAGAGAGAGGAAACCGAGTATAGTCAACTGGGATACGGTTTGTCAGCCTAAAAATAAAGGCGGCCTGGGGTTAATGAAAATGCGAGAATTCAACACTGCTCTAATCCTCAAACTTGCTTGGGGGACTGGTGTTAGATCAAAGGAGCCTATGGGCTGTCATTCTGAAAGCGAAATACAACTTTCCACAAGGAGAAATCCCAAGCTCCATAGCGAGGTCCAAGGCATCCGTGTAGTGGAGAAATATGGCGTCAGTTTGGGAAGTCATACTGAAAGCATTGAAATGGCTCATCGGCAATAGGGAAAGTGTGAACTTTTGGCATGAGACCTGGGTGGAGTACACCGTGGGACCTCTGTATCGGATTCCAATATTACCTATCCCTCTAGCATTATTAGAGAGGAAAGTTACAGAATTTATTTTACCATTTGGAGCATGGAACTGGAGCCTTATCACCTCGTTTCTGCCACGAAAATACTTGACAGAATAAGGGCAATCCCACCACCCGCAGGTAACATGGGAACGGACCGGCCAATCTGGGGTCCTTCAACTACTGGGAGGTTTACTACTGCTTCAGCGTACTCTTTTTTAATGAAAGAGAAGTGGAGCGAATAAGATAAAGCCTGGAGCACAATTTAGAAATGGCCTGGCCCGGAGAGGATTCGGGTTTTCCTTTGGCTACTATATAGAATGGCTTTATTGGTGAATGTGGAACGCCGGGGGAGGCACATCACAGATAATGCCAGTTGTTTTAGTTGTGGTGCTGAAGAAACCTTATTCCATGTGTTCAGAGACTACAGTAGAAGCAGCGAAGTGTGGCGCGACTGCAACGCGAATCTGGGGCCTAATTTTTGGCTTGAATCTGACCGGAATAAATGGATTTTGTCTAACTTAAAGCTGTCTTTTTTGCAGGATGGTTGCCAATGGTATATTTGGTTTGGTGTGTCCTGCTGGAGATTGTGGACAACCAGGAACGAGGAAATCTTTGGCGACGTCATCACCAGCGTAAGCGCACTAAAGGGGCTTATAAGGGCCATGGTGAATGAGGTTGTTCGATTGTTCAAGATATCAGCCCAAAGTGGGGGTCGCAGTAACATAATCACGCAGCAACTACCATGGGTTCCCCCTCCCCACAATATCATTAAAGTGAACACTGATGTAGCCATGTCGGATGTAACTAACAAAGCTGCGGCTGGAGGATTGTTTAGAACTAGTAAAGGGGAGTGGATAATAGGTTTTGCAGTTAGAAGCTGAGCTCTGGAGTGTGTTTTTTGCCCTACAAATCGCCTGGGAGCTTAGTTTTAGAAATTTCATGCTGGAATTAGATAGTATAGAGGCGATGCAGTTTTTGTCTGGTATAAATTCTGCCCATGTAAATAGCAATATAATCTGTAGGATCAGAGGTCTACTAGACATCAGGTGGCAGGTATAAGTAGACCATGCCGGCCGGAACCAAAATCGAGTGGCGGATACTCAGGCAAAATTTGGATTCTCGTGTCCTTTCGGAAGACAAATTTTATCAACTCCTCCACTACAAGTAATAGACATTTTGAAGGATGAAAGCACAACACCATCCCAATAGTGCCGGGATGTTTTGTATTAAGCTGATTAGGCTTCCCCATTATGTAAAAAAAAAAAAAAAAACCCTAGTACTGATCCTTAATCTATGGTTAAATAATTCTTAATTTATAAAATTAATAAAAATTAGTTAAATAATATCTATTAAAGAACCACCTACATTAATCATATTTTATAAATTATTAATTTATAAAATTTAAATAGTTAAATAATTCTTAATTTATAAAATTAATAAAAAATAGTTAAATAATATTTATTAGTGAACCACCTACATTACTCATGTTAAAAATGTTCCAACACTACGTATCCAAAAATATAGGGACAGGGTCACTTTACGCCTGTTTGATAAAAACTGATGATTAATTATGAATTTTTATTACTGAATTAGAATTGATGAATTCATTAAGAATTTAGAGAATAAGCAATAAGCTAATCTTTATAACTTATAATTTCTACTGCAGTTTCAGGACCTCTTAATTCATAAAGAAGTTCATTTTTTGTTTTTGTTTTTTTTTTTAAAAATAGTAATAATTTTTAATAGATAAAGTAAAGAAATTTTTAGAGCAGTGCTTAAAACTTACCCTGTACAATTGAGAGTCCGTCGTATAATGGTAGAACTTTTTAAATATCAGTAAAAATACTAATATTTTCGAAAGGAACCTAATCAAAATATACTTGTTACATATGATGCCGGTTTTGGCAATTCTGTCAAAACTATCTTTCCAGTAACCCTAGTATAAAAAACAACAATTTTTTTTTCCTGTCAACGTGATTCGCTTCTTTAAGATCACATATCCGAATTGCCGCGTTGGTGGGCACATAGAGTATCCGATTATGTGAGTGATATACAGGAAAGCAGAAACTGTTGTCCCTAACAGGATCATCATAATATAATTCCTAAGTTACCGCCATAAAACAGATATATAAATAACAGTATAATAAAATTTGGTTTGTTTAAAAAAGGGGTACCAACAAACCGAGAGGGACCGGTCTGCTATTGTTAACCGAACCAAATGTGGCCGGTTCTATAGAGAATCCAGTCTGAAAACCAGGTGGATCGGCCCAATTGAATGGACCGTTCGTCTTTAACGCAGCGGGCTTTCTGCCTTTCTCCCTCGGTCTGGCCGGCCGAGTAAGTGGACAATCGAAGACTGTTTTTCAGATTTGGAGACAAACCTGCGACTCTCAGCAGAGCTTGTGATGCCGCTTTGCAACAGATGGGGATCCAGGCCGATGGCGGGTGGCACAGTGGTTGCTGTTCTCAAACAGACCGACCAAGTAAGGAAGGAGAAGGTGGTGGTGGTGGTGGTGGCGCAGAATGGAGGCGGCGGCGGTGGCAGATCTGAAACATGGAGCGATTGCACCGGTTGCTGTCCGATTGGGTTGCCGGATCTGACGCGCGAGGAGCTAACTGCGACGGATAGTTCGAAGTTTGCCGCCCGTTCTACTGCTATTTGACCGCTGGATTGCTGAAGCCAAAGCTTCTCGGCGGGGTTCTCGGTGGCTTTCAGATCTGAAGCCTGCACCCGTCAACACGGGTGGTGGGAGCCAACCATTCGAGATATGAAAATTAGGAGTTTCCGACGGGTCATTAGCAGCGTCTTCATCAGCAACGCAGCACCATAAGCCGACAGTGGCGTGGTCGGCTTTTTCTACAGAAATGTGAAGTTGTTGGCGGATCTGATTTTATGTTGTAGCCTACATTTCAGAAAAGTGGAGGATCTGATTTTCTACAGAAATGTGAAGTTGAAGGCCTCCGTTTCAGAAAAAAAAAAAAGAAAAAAAGAATGAAAGTAAGAAAAATAAAAAAGAAAGTGAAAAAAATAGTTCCCCCGACCGGTTTGTTTTCCGGTGGGGGTTTGGGTTAGAGAGAGGCCAGAGAGGCCTTTTGTGTCGGGGGGAAGAAATTGTTTTTTATATAGAAGTTCATTTTTTGTTATCAAACACTCTGAAATAAAAAAGTACTTAATCAAATAATTTTAAGGTTGAGTGGTTTTATCAAACAAACCCTTGATGAACTTAAGGAGATAATTTGCAATTGTGCATGGTTGGCTAAGGCGGAGTGAAAAGAGGATTGAACCTCTAACAAATCAAACTCCAATGGGAACTGTCATCCTTGAAAATTAAAGGCTTGGATGTTTCAATGCAGAAAATAAAGAGGATCAAGATGCAGTTCGGAAAGCAGTTCTCAGATGGGGGAGGGGGAAATTCGAACATGTGCAACAAAAACAAAGTGTACAGCAGATTCCAGTAGGGGACATTGATGATTTCTACAGGCCCAGACACCATACTGGGAATACACATCCTAATTCAAGAGGGGTGGTGGTGACTAGTGACTGGTGACTATTGAGATCCATAAAAGGACACAACGAAACAAAAGGCTATAATTGGAATTATGAATCAGATGCAAACAAGTGGAGAGGGAGAGCCTCCTCCTTACGCTGCTCAGTGCCCACCCAATTTCTTTCAGTTTTGCCCTTGTTAATAAAAGATCTCGTGAAGAATGAGCTTAACTGCAGTGTCGTAAGCAACTAGGACTAGTTGCAGCTTTTCAAAGAAGACTGCAGTTAGATTAATAGATAAGCATCCAAAACTTCTCCGGATAAATGTTTGAAAAACATTAGCTGGGTTACACGTAGAAACTATGCCCATTAATTGCCCAACCCTAAATCTCCATACAGAATGGAATAAGAACTCATTTCATTGGTTGAAGCTATATCTGGCTTTGACTGTTTATCTTTCTCTACAGTGTGTTTATAAATGATTGCCCAGAATGATTAGATCAAGCTGTTAAAGATTGAAGTACTGCAATTACGTTATACCCAATGATCATGAAAGCTCTACAGACAGTTACAGATGAAATAACTGGAAGAGAATTACGCAACCAAAATATATACAATGACATTAATACACGTTAACCATAAAAAATCGAAGTAGCAGGCTAAGCAGCCTAGTAGGGAAGAAAAAGGAAAGAAAAGGAAAAAAGAAAAACCCTGAAAAAGTAGTAGTTAAGAAATACAGTAAGATACAGTGGTGGGACTTGAGCTAAAATCGACCCAAAACTTTTATGATTTTGAAGTTCAAAGTTTCAGAGATCAGGCAGTTGGTACTAGAAACTCGGAACTACACCATAGGAGGCGTCCGCCGACAGGAGTGACTCGATTTCCACTTCCGTCCGCTTTGCAAACCTTCCTTTAATTCTGGGTCGGGTTTCCGCATAAGCCTTCCTGGATGCATACCGGATCGTCTTCTCGAACTTCCTGTTCTTCCTTTTCTCCCTGTACCTCAATACTCTTGCCTCTCTATCAACCCCTGAGATTGCGCTCGGAATACTGTCACTCCTTCCGAAGTTGGTTGAAACGTCAGCCATGGCGTTATGGTCTGGGACCACACCTACTTCCATGGAAGACGAAGAAACCTGCAACAAACAAAACACAATTCCACATGAATAAAGCTATGCATGAAAGAGTTGTCCAAATCCAAAATTCAGCTTAATTTACAATAATAATGGTAAATAGAAGAACTAAAAGAAGAAGAGGAAATCAATGAACATACACTTTGGCTGATGGATTGAGAGCTGAAGTTGTACATGTAGGGTTTAGATCCAGTAAAATCCATGTCATATGTAGGGAATCCATCCACCACCGGGCCTTGGAAATGGGTCGGATCGTTTTTGCTCTGGACGGGCACAACCCCGTCGGTGTTCTGGTGGAGGTGGTCATGGTGTTGATAATGCCCGATATTCGGCTTCTGGTCGCCGGATATCATGTTTATGTCCAAATATGGATCCATATCGCTAAACAAATAATCCGCAGTTTTATACTCCGGACTATCCGGCTCCACCGTGTCCTTGGGATTCGGCAACAACCACGACGCCGCTTCCGCTTCCTCCGCCTCGCTGCTAACATCCAGGAAACATTTCTCCTCGGAAGATGACCCGTTACATCTGGCTGCTGCGGCGGAGTCGAAGAAAGGGACCACCGGAAGCCGCTCGTGGCGCCGGGCGAGCGGGTTCGCGGAGTGGATGTCGCGGTCGCAGGCGGCACAGAGCGCCGCCGCGTCCGCCTTGCACGTCACTATCGCCGGAGCTTGCTCGCAGACTTCGCAAACCCAGACCCGGCCGTGCCGGGAAGCCAGCTTGTTGGCGGCGTGGATCTTGGAATCGCATCCCATGCAAAGGAACGCCGAGTCAGCACGGCAGAACACGCTGGCCGACGTCGATTTGCATGAATCACACGGCTTCGCCGTCAAGCTCCAAGTCTCCGCACCCATAACCCAGCAACAGCTTTCACACACTCACACAGTGGGGAAGCAAAGCTAGCTTTTCAGCTTTCTCTCACTAAACCAAGAAAAGAAAATTTAGAATGAGAGACGAAAACAGTAACCCGAGAAGTTGGGTGGTGGTCGTTTTTCTTTTTAAATTTTATTTGCCTTTTCTTTTTATTGAAATTTCAGAACAAAGGGTAAGAGCAAATCACGATCTACAAATGGGGCATAGGAGATCTGGCTCTCAGCCAATGAGGATGTGCCGCGTGTTATAAGCTTAGCCGAAATGAAAAGAAGAGTTTTTGTTTCATTTACTGTTTGGAAAATGGAGTAATTGTCGTTTACCGGGAAGGGCAAGTGTCGTTTTCGTGGTGGGGGGGTCCTCAAGGATAAGAGTCGTGCTGGTCATGAATAAGGGGCGCGTTTGGCTTTTAGTGTTATAGACTGTAGAGCTGTATCAAAAGCAGGAAGAAGAAAGAAGCAGGGGTCAATAATGCCAGCGTGGGGTCCATGTCATGGGTTGGGAAGGTCGGAAATTTGGAACAGTGAGCAGCTTCTAGTAAGGGACCAATTTACGTGGATTTTTTTGAGAGGGAATTTCAACCATTTTTCCCTTTCAGATTTGATTGAACACTGGAGTTTTATCCTTTTCATTCACACGACTCTAGGCTCAAGCCCAGAAGACTAATCTAGTCCAAAATGGTGTGGCAATAGCAGCTTCAGCCCAGCAAGAAGATACAGTATGAGCCCGAATGCATAGAATGGTAAGCCCATAATCATCAGTGGTGCCTTAAAAATTATTGTGTTAGTTCATGAGCAACAAGAGTTGGGAGATCGAATTTTGTTTAGGGTGCTTGTACACAGACTGGGTTGAGATTCACCACGCCCATATGTATAAATTTGTAATTGGGAGATGGAATAAAACAATCATGTAATAACAATGGAATAAGACTGGGTTTTTTTTTTCCTCCCAAAAACGGCATTCATATTCATACTAAAAATAAAACGAAATGAGTACAACCGTTCGGTTGAGCAAACCAGTTAAAGTAGTCGAGTTAATCAATCAAATTTTTGAACATACACATTTAAAAAGGCCTATTGAAGTGGAAATTGGGATCTCCAAAAGGAGAAACCCAACACTCATTAAAGAGTGAGCAAAACTCTCAAAAAAATTTAAGAGAGAGATAAGCTCCTACCGGGAGGGGAGAGCAAAGAACAAAAAAGAAGAATAACATATCTGAGCTCCCCTAGAGAGAAAGAATGAGTTTGTTACTGTCACAAAATTGAAGAAGGCCGTAGAGTAGTGTTACTATTCCAGGCTGAGAATTCAAAAATCTCAATAGACCAATCGCACCACGTTGCTGTTAATGACTCTGAAATATGTTTTTTACAATGATGGAACTTCAAGTTACAGTTTGAGTTGAATTTCGAAATTACAAACACTTCCTCTTCAGCTAATGAATCCATTTCAATCATTCTTGAACATCGCTTTCCTTCCATCCCCCTATATCTCCTTGTGTTTCATCTTCGCCCTTCAGAGAGGACATAAGACAATGCAAATGAACAAGTCAAACAAACCCAGAGCGAATTAATTCTAACATAACCCGAGTTTTAAATGCATCGACCATGTTAATTAGCCACATAAACAGAGTTTTGAGCTTGAGACACTACAAAACAATACCTTGAGGAAAGTAAGGGCAATAGAAATCTGGCCAGTGTAGGACTTGTCTGATTCAACAATTCTGTAAACTCGAGGTTCAACCTCCAGCTTTCCCTTTTCAGCTCCCAAGGACAGTATATCTTTAATGTATACCCTGATCCAATCCAAGATATTCACATAGTCAAAACTCGTCTCCAGAATTAATCATTCTTTTTTATTTGGTTGATTGAAGCGTTAAAACATAGACAACAAACCATAGATTCTCATGAAATTTGAAGAAATATACCAATTCACTAATTGCCGTACCACTTACGTCCACATTGAATCTTAATAATGCTCTCAACTTAATTATATATTACTACTACTATGGTAGTATGGTACACTAAATTTGTTAAGCACACTTAATTATCGTTGACTTGGACGTCCCAAAACGGCTCTTATTGTTTTGGTATACTACATAGTATACCGTATCCGGAACCACTATTCATCTAACAAACTTATTAATGAAAAGTCAAAGACTGAACCCCCCTAATCTGCAAAACTAAAGTTGTATGTTGCAATTAAACTGGAAATTAATGTTCGCATTAGTATTCCATCTTCGATCATATATATACATACATGGAGGTTGTTTAATTAATTTGTAACTTACGTGGTCTGGCCAACAGGTTCATCTTGATTGTACTTATGTTTGTCCATGATGTGGAGCACCAGTTTATAGACGTGATCTTCTCTGCCGTCGCCGGCCGGATAATTGACGTCAAACGTAAACTTTTCATTCCACTGTCTCTTCTCCCCTCTCCCTGCATTTTTTTTGTTCAAAATGCAAGACACATAATATTACCACAAACCAAACCAAATTTAACCCACAAAACGGGTCAAAATGAATCGTACTATTACTTCCGTCCAAAAAAAAATAGTCTACATTGAATTTTCAAATTTGTACTAAACACAGTACAAAACTCAAAACTCAATATGGACTATTTTTGTGGGATGGAGGGAGTAATATATACTGATCGATTACATGGTACTCACCCTTTCCTACAGAGCTGGTGTGCTCTTGGTTTTCATATTGAATACGAACGTATGGCTTTGCTGCAAGTCTACAAGGATTTACCCAATTCAAACAACCTGCATATGAAAAATCAATACATTCGTGAATGGATTAGCATGTAAAACTAATTGTTACTCCTTTCGTCCCAAATGATAATCGATAGTAAAGAATAAAGAGATTTTAAATTCAGATTTTACCTACAAGACATTTGTCTCTGTCTTTGATACCTTCAGCTTCCAACAGCAATACCTCTAATCTACCATTAGTTGTCATTTCTTCCAAGGTTATAAGACCACCGACTCAAAACCAAATTTCTGTATGATTAATTAGTACACCTCTATGCTTATATATAATTAAAATCAGCTTAATCGGTTGGAGAAGAAACTGAAATGTTAGAAGGGTAAGCCACGGGTTTAGGTAACGTATGTATGAAGCAGCATAATTAAAGCATTTAAGGGAAGTGGTTCGGACCTTTCTGAGTTGTTCAATACGCGCAGCCCAGAAACAAACGAAAATTCACTGATACGAGAAATGTCGTGACGTTTGTGGTTAGGTATTGATGAAAATTTTAATTGCAATAGCTTGGTGTACTGAAACATAACATATAAATATTCATTTTGTCCAATTTTAATTATCTTACTTTATTAAACTACAACATTATAATAAAGTGAGACGTACTATAATATATAAGGGAGAAGAGAATAGCAAAATTTTTACTACGTTGCAATATTATTAGGTTGGCTTGCTTACTAAACATGTCAACTTAAATTAAATTAAAAAACAATGTCTTGACATTCTATATGAAATTATTACCGACGTAACGCAAGCTTGTTACTTTCATGCATGTTGATAAGGATTATATTTATACCCACACAAAGAAATGTAACTTGCTAGTTATTTAATCATATTTGGGTGCTCTAGTTCATATTTCAGTTATATTGGTTGACTGTCTATTTTTCCAATTTCTTAAATTGTGAAAACAATTATGGGTCCACGTTTCTTGCGTGGTTCTTATTAAGGAAATAATCATCTAGAATGCTTAAAAAGAGATGTGACCCTGGAGAATATATATATAAGAAAAAAAGAATTGTCTTCTAACATTAAAAGAAGAGGAAAAGAAATGCAAAAAATATACCCTATATATATATATATATATATCATTGATGAAGTTTACCTACATGCTCAATTTGAATTAGTCGGACATTAGATTCGGATGCTAAAAATTAAAAAAAAAATTAAAAAGAAACTAAGATGGCTGGCTACAAAGTACAAACCCTCAAGTCTGCAACAGTAAGAATTAAGGAATTCTGGACTAAAATCACGACTGGGGGATACCTAATCCCGCGCTTAATTATGGATTTCGCAGTCAGAAGTAATGGGCGTTGACGATTGAATTTTCAGCTTACCAGTTATTAATGCTTAATTTCGGCTTTGGTATTCAAGCAAAAGTGACGGGGCGGCGCTATTGATTTTTACTGTCAATTTTTTTTTTACCTGCTATAGTCTCATTTTTTTTTACCGGCTGTATAAATGTGCCATGATATATGCAGATTCTTCCTTTGATTTTGACACGTACCAAAAAATAAAAGAAGCAGTGGTTTGGAGGTCGTTATCAGATGATGGAATTACTGGTAACAACTCCATCCAGAAGTAGAATATTTAATGAAAGTTTCTCAGTGTTTCATCATGTTGCGATACATAGAAACTTTATCACTATTGATTTCCATTAATAAACTAAAGTTTTTTATTTCCCCTCTCCGGTGAAGCACAGTTTGGTCATGATGATGCTAGTGTTTTCATGCAGTGTTGGCGATCCATATTTCAGCCTTTGCCGATGCAATCGTTTTCATCCTATTCGAATAGATGGCCGGAGTAAAATGCTATTCCCTTCTAATTTTTTTTTTTTACTGTTTTTGGGTGAAGTAGCCTGATCAAGATAATACTCATATTCACGGATTCTTCATTCTATTGCTCATTTTGATCAAATTTAAATTTTTGTCCGACTATATGTCTCAGCCAGATAACCTTCTAATGTGTTACAAACTGCTGTCTAATAAATTCCTCTTTAATCTAGAGTCTAGACCTAACCGAACAGAGCTTATGGAAAGACTACAAGTCTACAACAAGAAGCCCAAGAGCTCTACAAAACAAAGAAAAAAGAAAAACTAACTCTTTCCTTCAAAATCAGAATTAATGATCTCCAGTTCTCCACGATTAACAAAACCAAGAGGAAGTAGTAGTCTTTTATTACATGGCAAAGCAGTCACTATTAATTTGGACCTTACCATGACAAAAGCTGTACATCACTTATACTACTAAGAATGATACATTGCTTGGAAGTTCCTGGGAATTTATTGTTTTGGGACTGCAAAAACCTCTTCTTCATTCAAGCATAGAGTGGTGAAGCTGAAGGCCTTGGATAAGCTACCATTCCAGGAGGTTCTTCTGCACTCTTCCCACAATGCCTGGCTCTGTGGCTTGAATGGCCATGCCGGTTTGATTTCCTCTCCTTCTCCCCCTGATTTGATGTTTCCTGGAGTTGCTCCAGAGTGGTTACAACCTCATCCATGGATGGCCTCATCTTGGGTTCCATACATAAGCACTGCACAGAAAGGCTGGCAACTTTCAGGGCTCGCCCCATAGCATACTGGCCTTCAAGACGAGCATCGAGAATGCGGAACATTCTTCTTTTGCTACTAAGGTAAGGTTTTGCCCATTCAACCAGATTGTGTTCCCCCGTTGGCCGATTTTTATCTATCGCCTTTTTCCCAGACAGCAGTTCCAGAAGAACAACACCAAAGCTGTATACATCGCTCTTTGCAGTCAAATGACCTTTCCAACAGTTATAGAAAGTTATCAATAATTGGAAAGGGATGATATATTGATTTGAATAAACCAGATATTAAGAATGTAATGAATTGCATGAGGTAATCGATCACAAGCTCTGAGAAAGTAACCAGTAGCAAATGACGTACAAGAATAGAAACAAAAGTTAGTATTTACTAAACGTGAACAGATGGTCTGATTCTATATAGAAACTTAGGACTACAATACAGGGCAAGAGGTGGTTTATTTTCCTCAGTAAACAGAATCACACAGGAATACAGGATTATCGCATTTATTTCAGCTCATTTATATGACCAGTTAGGGTGAAGAGGTTATTACAAAGTCTCAGATATCTACATCACCAAACTTTTACCTTGCAAAAACCATCATGACATGCAATACCAGGAGAATTTAACAAATGAAAATACATTCAGCTGCAAAGTGTCCGAAAACTCAAGAGGTCAACAACAGCAACAACAATAACAACAACAAGCCCTTTAGTCGGCTATACCGATCATGAGGTCAACATCCTTCAAAATGTACTAGGAATGAAATGCCATCAAAGAAAACCGGCAATTCACTAAAACAAATGGAAGATGAGCAGCTTAGCACCTTGATACCTTTCTAAGTAAAATTTACCTGTTGAGAGATACTCAGGAGCAGCATATCCATAGGTCCCCATGACCCTGGTAGAGACATGACTTTTGTCTCCAGTTGGTCCATCCCTGGCTAGGCCAAAATCAGAGAGTTTTGCATTGAAGTTCTGCAATGAAACATCATAAGCAGCAGAGGAGACAAATCAAAAGATGGTCAAGGCTAAACTAGAACCATTTTCAAAGTAGAAGGAACTAGTCTTTGAAACATTTTTCAAACTGCAACCAATAGGACATACCGAGTCAAGAAGGATATTAGAAGTCTTGAAATCTCGATAAATAACTTTTGTCTCCGCACTATGAAGAAAGGCAAGCCCTCTTGCAGCACCGAGAGCAATTTTCATACGAAGACTCCAAGAAAGAGGTTCATAGAATGATCCTTCTGTTTAACCAAACAAGATGCCAAAAAAATTCTATGAGCAACATGTGGGATAAACGATATATCTGTATTCTGCAATTATGACAATAAAAAGGACCTACTTCGGAATAGATGGTTTTCCATGCTACCCTTGGGCATACATTCATATACCAGAAGTCTGTGATCATCCTCCAAGCAGTATCCAATCAATTTCACAAGATTAGGATGACGCAACTGACCAAGATAATTTATCTCAGCCTGTGGAGTTGAACATCCAAGTTAGCTGGTTGATAAGCATGGATACAATCATTCAATATGCAATTACTCCTACAGAAAACAGTTTTCACTGCAACAATAGTCATAGGCATGTACAATTTTAAGAAGTTTACTTACAAGAATGAGGAAAAGCAAGGCGCTCACAAAATACTTGATTATTATCCCAAATGCTTATTGCTACCAACAATAATGCATGTAGTATAGCTAAGAAAGCCAAACTTTTGATAGATAAGCTATTTTAAGTGTGCTTACCAGCCATTCCTTGTGTCCCTGCCAACCTTCTTGGTTTAGTCTCTTCACAGCAACAACTATTCCAGCACCAGGCTTTGATGGAGAAAGTGATTGCTCATCGATCCACCCCTTGAAAACAGAGCCAAAGCCTCCTTCGCCTAATACACTATCAGGTCGGAAATTCCGGGTAGCTGCTTTGAGTTCACTATAAGTGAAGCTCTTCAAGTTGGAAGACTGTAAGATCTCTCCCTCACTCCGTGGAGTTAAAGGTATTGAGAATGATGAAGCCTTGCTGCTGCCTGAAGTACTTAAAGTGCCATCCGAACTTACATTTCTTGAGATTACCTCTACACAAAATCCAGCAACTAATGATTTAACATAATCACAAGCCAAAACGAAATAGCAATACTTCTCTTTGACCCACTACTTCATGTAGCATAAAAATGTCAGATGTGAAGAAGTAGTAATCTACATTATGGCAATATGATAAGAACCTAATCGAAAACAAGACAGCAAACCCTTTTTTTTTTGGGGGGTGGTGTGTGCTAAATAAAGTCAGGTGCTAAAACCTAATGAAGCAGGTACTAAATTAGAACTAAGAGTGGAAGGAAACATGAACCTATATTACGAGCACCCAATGAAACCTAGGTGCAAGACAGTCTTAGCAGAGCAAAATTGGGTAAGATTTAATTTGGTAAAAAGCAACTAAAAGCACCCAATGGAATTCATTTCTAAAAGAATAAGAACATCCTCTGAAAGCAGCATATACTGTTCACACTAATTCATCTATCTTTAATACACTTACAGTAATTTCCATATAAAGAAGATTGAACATGAATTGCCAAGATTACCTGTGCCAGAGGAAAATGGCAACTCAGCTTTGACTTGTTGGCTCAAACAAATACCCATCTGATGAAAACTTCAAAGAGACACCACCAGTTCTTCCTTCCAGAAAACCCTTCATAAATGCATCGACATAATTAGGTGAAGAACATGATTTGCTAGTGGCTTTTAGGCTTGAGGACCATACATAAACATCAACCCAAGAATTATAACTACCCACACAACAATCCCCTAAAACGAAAGATCTAATGTGAATCCTCAAAATTCTCCCATTAATCTATGTATAAATGTTGCCAATTTTCTCAAGTTAGGTGTTTAATTAATGACATACTCTGTTTGCTACCAACTCCTACTACACCAACCCCACCTTTTCCATCTTTCTCTCTCCTACTCAATCTCCCTTATAAGTTATACACCCCTACCAGCTTACAAGCTTTATATATGCTAAAAGAGAAAAACAATTTGTTGGTAAAGGGGAAGATTGAATATGGAAATTGTAACAGAGCCCAGATCAGTACAGCAAAAAGGGTCTCTATAAAAGTAATCAAAGGCAAAAAAGCTAAATGGGTTTTATTTTGGCAGCTTGGAAAGAGCTTGGAGTTCAATCCGGGGTTTTGAGATATGATGATGGCTCTAAAGAATTCTTTTTTAGACTGACTTATGCCACGGAAGGAAGGAAGGTTGACTCGGTTTTTAGCCGGGGGTTGCAATTCCCAGAGGAGGGGTCGTTTACTCTTTCGTCGATCTGGTAAGGAAACTGATCATTATTTGCTCCGAAAAATCGAACAGTTACGTGGGAACAAAAAAAAATTTGGAGCAAGCAGCAAATTCAGCAGTCCCTCTGAAATGATTATATTCAAATAATTTTTTAAGGTTGTTGTGTCGGTTCTGTTACGTCGTATTTATTTATCTATTTATTTTTGTTGTGTTTGAACAAATCTTTGGGAGTGCATGCTTAGATTTTTAGTGATTTGTCAGGTTGAAGATTAGTCCAATTTAGTATGCCAATTTTATAAGGCAAACAATCTGACACTGGGGGTTATTAAATTGTCGCTTATTTAGTAATGAATCTTGAATGATTAGCAAATTCAGCTCCAGTTTTTAGAAGGAGTACCGATTAATAAAAGTGATTACGTCCTTTTACCGTCATACAACAAGACAATTCGAGGCTATTGGTTAATAATCCACTTACTCCTCCAGATTTGGCTATTGGTTCTGGGATTACCGTACTTCATAAGTACAAATGGTGACGGTTAAGTTTCTTTTCAAATGATGGTAATATGAAAGAATTCCACCAAAGTCACGGCAATTCAACCAAAAGATTTAATACTGTTATTACGGTGAACTCTGTATATACCAAAATAACTCCACTTATGGAACTAATTATAAATTATGATAAAGATTGGCAAAAGTTGAACCCACCTGCCTTGAGTAATGCTTCGAAGTGGTGAAAGATGGATAACAAGGAGAAATGGTCAACAAAAGAAGCAACACTCCTTTTTTTCCTTTTTTTTTTCTTTTTTTGCCCATTTCCAACAAACTCAAAAGAACAAGTCCACACAATTTGCAGTCTTGCACCCACACTATACAAAACTACTAGCTTTCTTATATTATTGAAAACTGCGATTGATCCCTCCCTTTAACACACACACACATATATATATTTGAAAACTGCGAATTCAAAATTTTACATGGTTCTTGTGTTATCTACAATTTTCATATTCCATGAAATAACTAGAACGAATTGGAAGAGGATGTAAAAGCGCACGACTTGTAGGTTTGTACTATTTTCCCTTTCTAGTGTTAGAATACATTTTTTCATCCTAAAATGATTATTCATTTTTTCTAATTTATTATCTTGTACTAAAAGTTAAGTATTCAAAGTGCATAATCATTCAAGGACGGAAGAGTGATTATATGATAACGACAAGCATGTAGCTCATAATTTTGTGATATACTCTCTTTAAAATCTGTTTTTTTAGGTCTTATTTAATTCTCATAATCGAACATTGAAAATTTTAAAAGTTAGGTGGTCGAAAACAACAGCCGATTGTACCCTCTTAGCTCAAGTCTCGCACTTGAATAAAAATGTAAATGATGGCTGACTAAACTAGTCATCTCTCCAGTTGTTTCACGTCAGGTGAATGAGAATTAAGAATGAGAAACAAAGCAGCACACAAAAATAACATTAGTATTGACTCTAATTTGGTCCTTTTTATGTATTCAGTCAATGGCGATTAACGACATTGTCAACCAAGTGCGTTTCTGACGCACCAGATAGCAAATTGTACTAATCAATTAATATGGCTAAAAGTCAAGTAATGAAGCTTTAATTACAGGATTAAATGTTGAAAGGCCTTCTGCTTCATATATTAAAGTATTAGGATAAAATCAGTTTTAAAATGACGAATGCACTGGGACCTTTCTTCCAGTGGTTATCAACTGGTGAAGAATTTTGTACTCAATTATGATTGGAAACGATGAGTTTGTTGAGGATTAACGGAAAAGTAAGCGTATGTTTGTTTTCATTTTTTTTTTTTTTTGTGTTTTTAGATGTTTTTTTATTAAGAATGTAAAAAAACATATTGAAAATGTAAAAAATATGTTGAGATAAGACAGTTATTAATATTGTAATTTAAAAATATCATAAAAAAATGAAACAAACAAAGTCTAAGATTTGAACTCGGTTTTTTTATATTATTACTTTTTTTTTTTATTTTACCTTTCAAAAAAGAAGAAGTGAATACGTGGAATTGTGATGTAGTACTCATCGTCACCGTGCACAGATAATGAATTTTTTAAATGAGTTATATACTGAGATTTAAGGCTAAGTACGAATTGTGAGTATTTATGAGTTTGAATCTCGATGGAACAAGTTCGTACATGGTTACGTTTTTATACAAGACACTTAGTACAGAGGTCACTTTGTTTTAAGAAACATTAGTACTACATATTACTTGTATAGTTTAACACTTAATCTGGGGGGTTTTTATTTTTTTCTATTTTCAATTATTGGGATTGTAAAGCAATTATTGAAATTGGCAGATAGTGGGAGAGATGCCATCATCTCCTAATTTCGGCCCAAATCTCAAAAGTCAGTCAGCGGACTTACTTGAATTTTCCATACGGTATCATGAAACACAACTCAACGAAATGATGAAGGCAGAGTTGATCTAATCACCGAACCACCAAGATACAGTCCTTCTACGGCCCACTAAATATGAATACAGGTCGGTCGGACTAGTTAAGCCAGTAACTGGACAAATATAAACTCGTTTGAGTAGACGTTGTTTACATAATTCGTTCGATCAAAAGTACATACACTGGGTGTAGTAAACTGGTTAAATCGATGGTTATTGTTTGGTATAGTAGGTTTTTTTTTTTCCTCTTTTTAGAATTCTTTATTAATATCCATATCTCTTTGTATTTTTCATACATTTGTTCACGTTTCTAATAAAAAAATACCTAAAAACAAAAACTTGAAAAAAACGATCCTGACATATCCAGTTGCTTGATGTATGGAATTAAAGCACGAAACCGTAAAACTAGATGCACAAGATAAGCTAATCACACTTACAAAGCTCATTGGAGTTTCTTTGAGGGAGCACTGAATATTTGAACAAAACAAGTGAGGAATATCCCGAAATTTTCCTTTTATGTGTTTTCCGCTTAATTCATTATCCATTTTACTCCATTGTAAAACACATTGCTTGAGCATTTAATTTCAATTTTGAAAGTTTAGGGCTCCAAAAAGTCCTTGTAGAATAAGACTCCTAGATGGCCATTGACTTTGTACAGAGTCTAACGGAGAGCTCGATAACTCCCCTTGATCCGGAACTTAGGGGAGTTTTTTGTGTACGAGCTGGGAGCTGGGATGTACATGTTGCTTTTATATTCCAGAACAATAATTTGTGTACCGATGTATTAGCGAAGAATGCACTCAGACTAAATAGAGGGTTATATTTTTTTTTGATGTCGCCTCTAGTTATATAACTCTGCTATTAGAGCATGATTGTAAGAGCTCAGGAAATTGTTTTGTTTCGGTTTCCTATTGATGTCAATATAAATCTATGCTTTTAACCGAAAAAAATAAAATTTCGGAGTAATTCACCAGGCTTGTGTATCCCAAAAAAACGTAACTCTATCAGAGGGTGGGCTCAGAAGTGAGATTTATGGGCCTCGGAGGACTGGAGGAGGATCTCTCCCTAAAATTTTCCAATATGGTTGACTTGTCAGTTTCAAGCCTCTCTTATTTCTTTCAGTATCTTGTCTTTCTTCACATCATTCATTCTCCCAGGTCAAATTCACTCACTGCTCTCTCTACATATGCATCCAAATCACTGCACTCTATTCACTGCTGCATTTCGGTGGACTCTTCTTAAAAAAAAAAAAAAAGACTCTCTTTCTTTCCTTAAATTTACTACCGAGTAAAAAAATTCAAGTGTTTACTCATCAGTTAATGAATGTACTTACATACATTTTACAGCGTTGGTGAAAGATCCACACCAAGGCATGAAAAATGTAACACTTCTACAATATGCAACTCACATTAACGTGAAAATGAAAATTGCGACCTAAATCATTTTCTTGTTTAACCTCTCTCATATGAACAAAACTTTTACTTCTTCTATTTTGAGAATAAATTATTTATTACATATTAACGACACTTTAGAGATTAATAATAAAAATGGTCCTGGAGAATTTATGGCCGGTGGATAAAGAAGGTAGTATAGTAATAGTATATTGGGGGGGGGGGAAAGCTAGATATAAATAATCCCAGAATTATTATTATTAGTATTATTATTATTAGGACTGACTGAACTGATGGGTGAGGGGAAAGGAAAAAACAGACGTAACGTATCACTGACAAGAGCTGATCGGCATTCAGAGAGAGAGGCGGAAGGCGGGGCTCTGGCAGTGGAGGTTCTGTCACCATCAAACTCCGTCCCTTTGTGCCGTAAATTCCGGACTACAGTCACCCTCACTTTATACTATCTATCAAACGTGGTTTCTCTCAATTCTACTGATTCACTGTGATTCTTCTTCTTCTTCTTCTTCTTCTTCACAGCTTTGCATGAACATATATATATATATATATATATATATATAATGCATTTCCCTATTCCCCCCTTCATTTTTTTCAAACCCAATTTATATCTGAAAATGAGCTGAATATGGATTTATGTTGGTTTCCAATTGTAATATACTTATATGGGTTTGTTGCAGAATTGGTCTTAAGTTCCCATGAGTTCATCATATCTTTGATTTACTACTTGGAGTAAATAATTATAAGTTGGTGAAACCAGTCAGTACAAACTACTAGAAAAGTAACCACTACCCCCAAGTGGACTGGAGAAAACTGAAAAGCCAGCCTCATCGGCCTTTCTACTATACTCTACTTGCGTCATCACATTCCTTTAGGACGTCAGAGCGTCCCCAGCTGAAAAGTGATCCAAAAAAAAGAGACAAACAAAATTCATCTCTCAAAATAAAAAAACAAAAGAAGAAGCCCAAAAGGATTTTGAAAGTTGAAAACTTTGGCCCCTCCTTCATTTTTAGTCCTTTTTAGTCCATCCAGGCTTCCAATCTCTCCCCTTTCTAGTTTCTCCATTTATCCTCTCTACCTGTGGCTTCAACATTGATTTCCTTCTACCCCTGCCGCCCCCATTTTGGTGTTCTTCCATTATTCGTTTAGTTGTGGGATTCTACTCTGCACTCATATCCAATCAAGGTTAAATTATGAGCCCGGCCAGAAACTGGACCCTTTGAAGTCAATTGTAAGTAAGTTTAGCTTCCCTGCTCTGTTTACTGTACTTGAGAGAGTATTCTATGTTTCGTTCTGAATCTAGTACAATTATGGGTTTGGTTTACTCATTCTTGTAACTGACTAAAGATTAGTTGCAAAAGAAATCTACGTTTTGTGTTTTCTTAAAATTTCTAGTCATGGTTTGTATTAGGGCAAGTTGAATCTATCAATTTCTTGATGATGATTCTTGCATTCGGACTACCTGATGATGATGCATGGTTCTCTAATCTCTATCTTCTTTTTTCTGAAATCGTTGCCTCCACAACTTTCGGTTGCCTTACTTGATCTCCTCTTAATTTTCATCAACTTTCTTCATTGATGGTTTAATGATATAAAGGTGCTGCCTTTAAGGCTCATTGGTCTTCCTTAATTAAGTCGATTTCGGAAATCAATTATGGTTTGTCTTGTTACCTCTGTTTCGTTTCTTCTTTTTCTCTTCTCTGTGCTCCCATCTTTGGTTTTTCCTCTCCTGTTTTGGTCACGTTTTTCTCATTTTCAGAATTGCTCAATTCTTTACTGTAACGATGTATGATGTGTGCATTTAACTTGTGTACATCAATGTTTTCTGGTGTACATTTAGCTTTGTATGATCTATGGGATATCCTTCGTGAAATGAAGATGGTTAATCCATAAAGCCTTCCTTTCAGAAAACCCAATAAGAAAATTAAAAAAAAAAAAAAGAGAGAAAAGAAAAAAGAAGGTATTCCCCTCTGTTGGCAAAATACTCTTGTCACAATGGTTGTATGTTTATCTGACCTGATCGATAATGTTCAATCACAGTAATAACTGTCACATGAAGTATAATGCGTGTTTCATTAATTAAAGGCTAAGATTGATGGTTCTTTCTGCTTAACTACTAGTAAAATATGCCATTTTCATTCCTTTGATTTCCTTGGTCAGTTTACATAATGCCCGGTTTGGAGACATGGCTAAAGGTGATTGCACCTGGAGATGAAACAAAGGCAACGGTGGCAAGCTGAAGAAGATGCTTTATTGTGTGCTTATGTTAAGCAATTCGCCCCCGAGAATGGCACCTTGTTTCACAGTGCTGGTCCAAACCCCTGAACCAGGACCCCAAGGCCTTTTTTGAGAGTTGGAGAATACTTTCCTAAACCTGGGATTAAGAAGGGATCACTGACTGAGAAAGAGCAGCGTCTTGTCATTCGTCTTGAAGCCAAACACGGTAACAAATGGAAGAAAATTGCGGCCGAAGTTCCAGGCCGAAGTGCTAAGAGATTAGGCAAGTTGTGCGAAAGTGTTCAAAGAAAAACAGCTAAGAGGAGAAAAATTAAGGCACTACAAAGGAGGTATTACCAATTAAGTATATGTATTGGCATTAATCACGTTCCAGTTTCACATTTTCTGCTGCATGTTAAATTGTGTAATTGATTCCTCACATTTGCTAAAATAAATTTAAAAACAGGCCCTTGATCAGCATTCAGTAGACGGTAAATAGGATCACATTCTAGAGACCTTTTGCAGAGAAGCTTATCAAACAACATAGGGAACAAGGATCTCTCATGGCCACTTCTAGAGCACAACTTATTAATGCCGACCCACCTGCACGTTCCCCGCCAACAGTACTTCCGCCATGGCTCTCGAGTTCTTCTGCCGGCACCATGCCTGTGACAGTGAGACCACCCTCATCGCCTTCAGTGGCCTTAACCCTTTCGCCTTCACTTGCACCATCTTTACCTGGAGTCGCATGGTTGCCACCCGAAAGATCAACTGATAATATTATACCTGCTCTTGCATCCAACAGTTTGCCCCCTGGAGAGAAAGCATTGTTTTTTGAACTAATGGAATGCTGCAAAGAATTGGAAGAGAATCGCTGCTCGTTGATGGTGCATAAAAAGGAAGCGGCCTGGAGGTTGAGAAGGGTTGAATTGCAACTGGAATCTGAGAAGGCATGCAAGAGAATGGAGAAAATGGAGGAAATAGAAGCTAAGGTGAAAGCTCTAAGGGAAGAGCAGAAAGCTACGCTGGATAGGATTGAAGCTGATTATAGGGAACAGTTAGCAGGATTCAGAAGGGATGCAGAAGCTAAGGAGCAGAAATTAGCAGAACAGTGGGCTGCGAAACATTCCCGTCTCACGATGTTTCTTGAGCAAATGGGATGCCAACAAAAGTTTATGGAGCCTAATGGTAGTAATATGTGATCATTATCACCCTGCCTCTTCAACCTAAAGGGTGATCCTCAGTTTCTTGTTATGCTTGTATGTTTTGATGGGTTCTTCCATTATTATTTATTAATTTTTATAACACTTTCTTTGAGGATTCTGCTTCTGCTTGGCTTAAAATTATGCTTGCAACGTACTTCTATTGTGATGTATTGTTATAAAAAGCTATGTCTGATCCTCACAGCTCTTGGGGAAAAAAGAAAAAAGGAACACGTTTGCATCAGATAGGTTATCACTTATCTCAACTAATAATTGCTAATTGAATAGAGTAGATATTCTTGAAAACAAGGGGGGTAAGCACATCAACTGCAAGATTAGATTGTTGTGGACCATTAATGTGATTAATCTGTAAGAACGGTAAGTTAATAATAGCAAATGAATACCAAATCTTAGAAGAATTATCATCAGGTAAACAGGCCGGCCCATAATTGTGGTTCATTTCTTCACATCAGATAGCATAAACAATAATAAATAAATAAAAAGAATTGTGACAAAGATAACATCAAAACCAGGATTTAAATAAAAAACAATTCAATTGATGGAGCTTTAAAAAGTTCAAACTGAAATGTCCAAATAAAAACCAAAAGAAACACTGATAAACAACCAACTAACCATCATCAGGACATGCCCAAAAAAAGAAAAAAAAAAAAAAAAAAGTAACAAAACCAACAACTATTGCAAATCAGTAAAATCTCCTCTCTTTGGGGTCGAAGTTGAAACCGGTGCCTTGATAGTTACCACCGCGAGAAGGAGGAGGAGTAGCGGCAGCAGCAGTTGAAGTAAACCCACCCGCTTGAGTACTGCCGCCGCCAGCATAACCGGCCACCGGCAAGGCACTTGGGTTATTATTCTGTCCAACTCCGGCACCGGGAGCGGAACTGGCAGAAGCTGCAGCGCGCTGCATACCGAACCTCCTCATCTGTTGGAGACAGGAATCGACGAAGCTGACGGTGGGATAGAGCAAGCTGGTGGGTCCCGGCGCCGGCTGTTGTCGGGGTTGAGGAGGGAACAGCTTCATGAGATTGTTCCGAGCTGATGCCAGTGTTTGTACAACCTCCCGGGTCTTTCTTGCTTCCTCGTCCTCGGCAAACACCACCGGGAAGCATCTCACCCTGCTGCTGCTTGGTTTGTTTGGTTCACTGGATTTCTTCTCGTCAACTTTCTTCTTCTCCTCATTATTGGCATCTTCTGATGAAGAAGCAGCCGCCCTCGGAACAGATGAAGTCAGGCGAACCTGGCAAATGTATATACATATGGTATGCGATTTCAAAATTCAAAACTATACTAATTATGCATATAGTACATACGATCGATAGGCTAATTAAAGTTACTACCTTAATATCACTGCCTTCGGCTGGAGTTGCAAAGGTTGGTGTAATAGAGCGATTACACTCACTGATGAATCTTGCAACCTCTCGCACCGAGCGATACGTTTTTAAGCACGACGGATGCGTATAAAACTGTTCGTATAAAACAGAAAAATGGATTTAAAATTAGTTATATTTTTCAATTGTTTTTATATGCTCATAATATTTTGGGACTAATGGTAGTACACTATGTATCAGAGTTTACCTTATCTTGTAATAAGCTGCGCAAACGCACCCGGTACTCCTTTTTCCATCGTTTCAATGCGATGGGAAAAGGCAACTGCTTCTCGTCCTCGTTGAACCGGTTCGTGTCCGGGTTCAGGTAGTTTATGGGTTCTAAATCCTCGTACACCTTCAAACCCTCTGAAGCTGCAACTTGAGCGACGTAATCGAAGGACACGTACGTCTCCGAAACGTGCTCTGTGGTCCTCAATTTCCTTTTTCCCCGTCGGGAAACAACACCACCGGTCGCCGCCGCCCCCCCTGCCACCAGAATCTGTAATTTTATTTTTTTTCAAGATATAAAACAATGCATTTGTTATTTATCATAAAGCTTATAGTAAAATGAATGTAAATGGAAACGACAGTATCAGTATATATATGAACCAACCATGCATGATTATAAGCAGTAGCGGATCTAGAACTAAAATTTATTGGAGGCCAAAATACATTGTTAAAAAAATATAATGCTAATTTTGTTAGAGTGAAAAATGAGTTTTATATTTACGTTGTGTGTATATAATCAACCACATATCAATTTTACTATTTATTTTTCTCAATGTATAACACTACTTACGCATGTTTGTTTTGCATCCAACTAAAAATAATTACATTTGATCTTATTTAAAGCTTAAAAGAAAGGTGTTTCTACAATGGTTTTTATCATCACGTTGAACAAATCTTTCTCTTTTAGTCAAAACATCTTAATGAAGTGTTAATGTTAATATGATATTATAAGAAAATTTTGTCAGTATATTAAGATAATCGAAAACACAATTAAGTTTAGCATCATTATTATAATTATGATTATTGGTTAAATAAAATTTTGAGCTTTATTATTATTTTGATTTTAAAATAATATGTGGCTAAATTTGACATCACTTTGAATTTAGACTATTCTTAGTTGGCCCAAAATAATAAAATATAATTAGAAGGAAAAAAAAATTATTCCATAGTACACTATAATTAGTAAATTAAAATTTAAACTATTAATTATAATTAAATTAATTAAAATATGATACTATGATTTAAGGTGGGACCAGTGGGGGCCATGGCCCCATGGCCCCCACCCTAAATCCGCCAGTGATTATAAGTACAAAACAAAACAACCATTAACTAATTAAAATTAAATGAAATAATTATAAAAAAAAGGAAGAAAACTTTAATTGTGTACCTGCAGCGCTGCAGAAGGCAACCCAAACGAGATGGGTTGCGCCTCCATCACCACGTCGTCTTCTCCGAGACCTGGAGACGGCGTCGATTCATCCTCATCATGATCCGATGAATTGTCCTCCTCAATCAACATTGGTTCCTGAAGAAAAGCCCAGTTAATTAACACCCAAAAAAAAAAAGTGTACATTCTACAAAAAATGAAACTGAAAACACAGTTAAAACTTACTGTCTCAACAGCAGCAGCAGCAGCAACAGCATGAGGAGGCGGCTGAACGTACGGCGTAATCTCCAACCCGGTGATGGGTTGGGGATTCGCATCATTCGTGTTGTTACTATCAGCCATTCGGGTTTGATCAAATTACGCGCGAAAACACAAACACACACGAAGAAGATGTGTCTAAAAGAAAAGAGTGAAAGGGATAGTGAAATCTCGGAAGTGAGAAATGAAGGAGAAATGGGGGCAAAATTTATAGGGGAAATGCGGGCAGGCGCGTCATATCCTATTAAGGGAAAATGTTCACTTTTACAGATTCCGGTAATCCCATTACCAAAATATCATAGCGCGGGAGATTATAATTCCTCCCATGACATTTAATTGCCTTAAATTTCTTGCGTTAAATATCTGAATTTAGAGACTGGATTACACGTCCTATTTATTAACCCCCCAAAAAAAGAGATTACTCCCACCAACCGTTGACTTATTAACTTAGTCATCTATTTACTGCTCCATCGATGTTGAGATTTTTTTTCTTTTCTTTTCTTTTTTGCGATAAGGATTAAATAAGTAACTTTGTACTAGTGCGTATATACAAGCTATATACAATATTGGTCGGCAGGGAACACCTTTTTTCAAAAAAAAAAAAAATGAAACAATTTATACATGTGTATATATTACTATGACTAATAATACTTATCATATTACTAACGCATTTTATTTTATTATTATGTAGTTTACAATCTTTCGACTGGATAGTCATATATAACCCGTAAGTCTGATTTTAAAACCTCGCAATCCATATAAACTCAACTCGGTTAAGGTCCAATCTTGATACTTCTTGTAAGCTTAGAAAGCATGTTATTATTTTTGTTTGAAAAGCTATAAGGGCCTGACTATCGGCTGACTTAATCTGCACCATTAGACAAATTAACAGTCTCTGTATTTTTTTTTTTTTTTTGTCACAAACGATAATCATAGTTGCATTAAAAATCAAAGAGGGATATAAGTAGATACAAGGCGACCTAAGTGGATATAAGACAGTCAGCCATAAACACATTTTTCCCGTCACATTGGGGGTAAAGCATCCCAACTTTGTGAACAATTACTATAAAGTGCTAAATTAGCTAAACTGTAGCAAGATGTGATCCATTGTTTCTTAATATACAAAAATTTACAGTCATCAAAATATGTTTTTAACAAGAAGATGTCGACTTTCACTAATATCTCTGGAATAGGGTTAATTTCTTTCCTGTAACCAAGCAACGATAGTCTTTTGAACTACTTAGAGTTCAACCTTCTGGAGTCTACGATGTGGGGCTTCAAAGTGCTAACCTGGCACATCCAGCTCTACCAATAGGAGGCTCCCAATGATTCCAACAAATTTTCGTTTTCAACGATCAGATTACCTTCCTCATCCCTCAAGGTGAGTCCAATTCCGGCTCTCTCAGATGAAACTTGGCTAACTGAACACACATTAATTCTAACTATATATGCCTGCAACAGGTTTTGTCCATCCTTGAACAGGGTCAACTGAGGTTGCCTCATCCCTCAACTCAGGCTTGCAAAGTTGTGCTAACTAAAATTCATTCCATTCTTTCCAAGCTCTCTGCACGATATCCATAGGTCAACTCATTTCTCCTCAAAAAGCCAAGCGCTGCGTGCTTTCCATATTTGCGAAAGGGTATATATATACTGTGATTTCGATTCTATCAACAAAGTTTTCACTTGCTTGGCCTTAACACATTTTGTTCCATGGATCAAGAAAGGATAGATGCTGGATACCATTTCACTGCACTGAAGCTAACTTCCAAATTAAAGTTAACTCCCTACGGTGAAAGAATACATGCTCAACCCTCGCAATGCTCATCCACTTTAAGTCCCTTTTTACTTAAGGCAGAACTCATAGTAAGCCATCCCTTGTGCACTTTCCATGTGCAACGCTTAAGCTTGGCCTTGATTTTCAGTGACCAGTTTCTCATCCATGTCCTACTGTCTCTTACTGCAGCTCTACTACTACCTTCAGCTCCTCCCATTTCTTCCTCCAACTCCCTTTGCCAAATCATAAGCAGAGCTTACAGCAAAGATTCCTTGCTTATCACACGTCCACAATAGTCCATCACTACCACCATAATGGCTAAGAGGTAAGCATCTAACAACCATAACTTCTTCTGGTCCGGGAACTTTATTCAATCTCTGAGTATCCCATGTTTGGAGATCCGGTTAATGAGTCGAGATCCCTTTTTGAAGCGAGCCTTATTAGTTATTACTGTCAGTGACAATTTTTGTTTAACATTGTATAAATATGTGCCGTGTGTATATTCAAAAATCATATTAATTATTTTAATGTAAAATGGATTCGTAGTCACTCCATATTTGTGTTAGTGAGACTAATGCGCAAATTAAAGTGATAAAAAGAGAGTTCTTGGTGTTCCAAAACGTCATTGATGAATATTATTTTCTAATCACGTCCTAAGATCAAAATATTTTAAGTGGAATTTTCATATATATTATTATTTTTACTGAAATTCAAGTGATTATTTAAGAGAGGGACGATTTGATTTTAAAATAATTGAAAAATGTCACGAATGGGGATGCGATGCGCTGTGAAAAATGCTGTAAGTAGACCGTTAATCAAAAAGATTAAAGCGTTGTAAAACACCAATTTTTCGTATGTTTGTTTTAGAAATTCACTACGACTGAAGTAAGAATTTTAATTAATTCAATGTTTTAATTAATATCGATATTTTGATATGGCAATGACTGTGGTCCAGAAAAAATAGAGCCAAAATAACATATTGCAAAGAAGACCAAAAAGCTTTGGAGATCAAATGGATCTCGAAGTAATAGTCTGCATTCCCGCGTTATGAATTACTCTCTTGATCGGATGATCAAATTTGATAAAACAAGAGGTTCTGGTCCCGAGGGATAATCAACCACTTCTCATTCATCCCTTATGCTACTGTTGTTTTATGTCCCTTTTACGTTCTCCCAAATTTTACATACTATATACATGTTAGTAGTATATAAACTGTATCGTTACTCTTACTCCCATAAGATAAATGTGATCCTCATCCTCAGTTACTGACTTTGAGTGAAAATCTTCCATTCATTGTAACAAAGGTCACTAGAAGACATTTTCACTATATTTCTTACCGTAATCAGGCTACGTTACAAGCGGAGATAGCTCTGAAAAGACAAATTAATATGCATATATACCTTTTCTTTGATTCTAGGAGAAATGCGGCAAAAAAAAAAAAAAAGAAGAAGAAGAAGAAAAAGGAACTAATTCAAACCCTTCCCACAAAATAAAAACAAGCCCCATATTTAAACTTTCAAGAACTTATATCATTTTCATATGTCAAGGAATTTTCAAAAAGAAAAGAAAAAAAAAAAGATGTTAAGGAATTCGAACAACCATTTCAAATCATCTGGAATTGCCGAATTGCCGCCTGCGCAACATCAATTCGACGTGCTTACTTGCAAAATGGTAATATAGATTATACGCTTAATCGCATATCGTGGAGATTCATAGCCATGCTGTGCCTATGTGCTAAATTAGGGTATGCATGCATTTTCAATGGGTGTCCTAGTTATCATTTCACGACGGCACACAGTAATAGATAGTCTAATCTTGGATCCAAAAGTTTAAATACTAAATCGGGTAAGTTGGTAGTATAGTTTCCTTTTCACAATTCTACGAAAAATAAATTAAATTGTTTCTAACTGGAGTAATATATGACCCTATTAAATAGGTCGAAATAGAAAATTTAAGTGCGATTTTTAATGAATTAGTTCAGTACTACTACATACTACAAACCCTATAACTATATTAATAATAAGTACGTAAATCTTCTATCAATCATCATTTATAAATAACTACAAGCGGAAGGGATACGCGATCCAACATTACGCACAAGTGTAATTTTTATTTTTATTTTTTAATCCGCACTCATAGTAGTTTCGTAATTTCTAAATTGATAATATAACTAGGTATTTGAGTTCCAAAATCTGCAAATATTTTACCGGATTTCGTATTTATCAGAGATGAAAAACTAATTTGATTGGTTGGCATTTGATTTCATCCATGGCCAAACTACGTCGTCTAATTTTCATCTTTCTAATTTTCATTTATACGCTGGTGATGTGGCTCCACGGCTAATTTGATTTCCACTGTTTTTAAGAACCTGAAGTGCATGTTGATCCTGATGATGAGATTTATTTGATAGTTGAATTAGAGTAGTTAGGTAAAATCAAAGGGGTCATCTTTTATTTGACACAGTGCAAAATAGTTTGAGTGTAATGTACTTAAGATACCGTGCACATTATGGGAAAAAAAAAAAAAAAGCAAACAAAATGACAATGTTTTCCTTCCCGCGTACGTGTGCCTGCCCTTTCTTGCAGCTAACGCTTTGCAAATGAGCGGAATAACAGAGAATTCAAGACACCAAGATGAATTGGCCTAAAAGCGAATGAACCAGCTATATATATACACTCAATTCATTTTCATGCATTTAAGATGAATTTCTAAAATTTAATGTTTCCTTAGTGAATGTTATGCATGTGTCTAAAATATTTTGCGTGATCAGTAAGTTGTCAAATGTTGACGAATTGAAGGATTAATTAGCTATTTACCAAAGTTTCCATATGAATATGCTTACTAAAAGCCTGTATTAATTTGCGATTCTGGGTTGTTCAACAAAATAATTAGAAACGATTAATGATTGTTTATTACGGACTGAAACTAGCTACATCAGATGGATGATGCTTAATTGGTGAATTTCGCAGGTGGAAAAGTCCAATGATATAGATCATGCTTAATTGGTCAAATTTCTGTGTGTTGCTGCAGCAGCTTAGCTTGAGTCAAAAGATGACTCACTTGGGGTGATTTAGTTATGGAGAAACAGATATTATGCTTTCGACCCCCATAATTCTGAGATTGGTGTCAGTTACCTAGATTAGATATAGATCATGTGTGATTTTTGCTTTGTTTATGAACTTTTTACGTGTATGTATGCGGGATATATTGAAAATTCCGCGTCATTTGGAAAGCTTTCCGATCGATGTTAAAGACTATCTTGGTATGATGCAGCCTGAAACTACTAAACAAATTGCGTTAGAAACTTACGATCAATTTTGACTCCCAAATATTTTTGTATTGCTCACTGATCATTTGTCTTCTATAACGAGTTACTTGCGCCCTCTTGCCATGTAAGTACCCGTGCTGTGAATTTTTGTAACAAATTAAAGAAAAAGTAAATAAATTTTGTAAAAGATTTTAATGGTTAATTAAAACATTATGCGTTTTTAAATGTTTTGTGTTGGGTTAGACGTTAGAGTTGAACTGTAGGATGATGCTTTAGGAGGATGCATAATGTGGTCTCGCCGATACATATTGGCATATCGCTTAACCAAGCAATACATCCAAGGCGAACGAAGACTAATTAAATAAAGGAAGTTTTAAAAAAGAACATGAGAAACCACATTAAAAATAAACAAAACATGTACGGATAGAAAAGGACACTTTAGGTGTGATCAGCTAGAGAGCCAAATTACTTTGGAAAAAAAAAAGTTGGAATGAAATGTAGCGGATCAAATATTTACACCGGCTTGACTTAGCAGGCTGACCCAGTTGACCCGTGACCTGCGCCAACTCATCTTGACCCGACCCATTCTGACCCGTGCTTATGACGGGTTGGTTTAGGTCTTGACCCACCTACTTCCAAACCCACCTTCAGCCAACCCGTCCAACTGCCACTGTTACTGAAAATAACGGGGATTGTACTTCAATCGTAGACAAAGAGTTGTAATGTCACATTATAGTTTTTGAATTATACTATTTTTTTTAAGATACAGGAGAGTATAACAAGTAAACTATATATATATATATATATATATATATATATATTATTATATTAGAAACAAAAACCACACTTAAGAGAAAACACCATTATTTGCCATGTGGCATTTTCACATTATATTTTTAAAATAAATTTTTATTTCCACATCTTCTAGACTTAAAAGGTAAATGCAGTCCAAATCCACCTCCACCTCCTATTTTTTCCAAAAAAAAAAAAACCATGGGTTCATAAAAAACCCAAATCCTCATCCCCATCTCTACCACAGTGGACTCCCTAATCGCTTCTTTCTCCACAATAAAAAATAAATAAATTCTTCATCAATCATCAATTGAGAATATGCGGTGAAATATACTTCATTCCAATTAGCATGTTCAATCTTTTCATTAGTGGTGATCAACTACATCCTAATCGGATAAAATTTCGACTTACAAAGGAAACAAAAAAATTCTCATTGATCTTGCTTCGGCCGTTGTGGTAGTGCAATTACAGGTATTAAAATTTAAATGATTTTATTTTCACAGATCATTTGTTTGGCTTTTATTATTTTTTGTTTTTCCCGTTCAATAATAGTATTATTACTATTATTTTTATGCGTCCATCCGTTACAGTTACCGTAGCCGTTGTCAGGTAATAGATGTGATTTCTTATATGGTTAGTTAGCCTAGAATTTTTGTATGATTTTAATTCTGTTTGGATTGAATTTATTAATTGAGTTTTTGTTACAAAATGTGGTTTTTTAAATTTCTTTTTATATTTCATTCAATTAGAGTGCTTTACTTTTTTTTAATTATGGAGTCTCGGTTTTTTTTCATATACGGTCATTTATGAAGTGTGTTTTTTCTTTGTTTAATTGCTTTTGATTTTGTTTCATACTCCCAGTTGACCAATTATTATTATTATTATTATTATTATTATTATTATTATTATTACTATTATTATTATTATTATTATTATTTTATTTGCAAATGAAGCACGTTTTTTTTTGTGTTCGGGCTTTCAAGAATATATTTTTTTGGATTTGATTTTTGTACTTTTTTTAGTTCCTCATCATATAAATAGTTCAGATCGCTTTTTCTAATTAATTTATGGGGAAGCCTTTTATGAATTTGAGGCGGAGAGGAAAGGAATGATGTTTCTATGTTTATTTGTGTTTTTATACAAATAAATTTCTCAATTTTTAATGGGCTATTTTTTAATTTCTTTTTTTTTTCCTTTATTTGCCATGGTGAGGTGAGTTCTTTTTTGCTATAACTTGAAACCTATGCAAATTTACATTATTTTCATTCTCATATTTGTGATCAACCAGTTTCAACAATTAACCAGTTTCAAAATCATATTTTTGATATTTTACTACCTATAAACTTTTGGAAGAAATAGTTCCAACAATTAAGCGTATACCCTTGGGAGGAAACTTACTACAAAGCTATTATAAATCTCCAAAACTAAGTATTGATTTGGCACAACCAATGGAGAACATCAATAAATTATCTTATTAATATTTAAACTTATTGGCATACTTTCATATTTTGTCTAGCATTTACTTCAAGACATATATTTGATCAAGTTTATTTATATTTAAGAGGTAACACTTATAAAACATTTCTAAAATCTTCAAACAATTTTAAAATATACCGGACCAAATATAATTTCTTTTTTTGCCAAATACAAACATTTCTATGATCACACTTATAAAACATTTCTAAATTCTTCAAAAAATTTTAAAATATATCGGACTAAATACAAAATATTTTTTTTCCAAATAAAAACATTTCTAAGATCTACACATATATATAATAACATATGAATTTTACAGCTGATTATATTACGCCGTTACTCATCACGTAAAAAGAGATCCACTGATCCAGTCCACCGTGTTGAGTACGTGTACGTCGGTGATTGAAACAGTCATATTTTCCAATGCAAAGGCTGGGCCTCCTTATAGATCACCTTGGGAAGATGGAAGGCCAGATCCATGTAAACATTGGAAATGCAACCATCAATGGATCAGAGCTATGGGGTCTCTACTATGGATCGATGCTGTTCTGGCAAAACGGTGGTGGCTTAAATCGATAGCGGATACATCCTACAGCTGAGATCCGGTAAGCTGCCTGACTGCTCATAATGGACTTATATCCAGCATCAGGGAACTCCTCAATCCAAAGTCAGAGGTGAAGACGAATTTCTCAACCTACAACACCTAGCAAGTTCTCATACCTAGTTGGGATTACAACGACTCAGAACCGCCACATACTGTTAAATCTTAAGTTAAACACGATGTAATCAGAATGACACGTTACACATCTCATTTTCTCACCGTTTGTAACTAGGCTCTAAGCCTCCCTCTTTGGGTAAAAAGACGCAACCAAATTTTCTATCTATGAAATCGACAGAATATTGTAATTTATTATTGACTATGCCTTTATTATTGTGCTAAGAAACAAACACACCTGAAAATATATACACGTTTAATGATGTAAACTGTGAAATTTTATAAACTCCATCAATTAATTACTTATACTGCACAATGTTTACCAAAAAAAATAAAAAAAGAAACAAAGAAAAAGTTATACTGCACGAGTTCGATAAGTTCCATCAAATTATCGAACTCAAGTCCTTGACCGAGGGAAACCCAAAACTCGGATCCCGGTTCGTTTAACTGCACTGCGACAATACGATAGTCTGTTCTCCAGGACACCTAAACAACGGTAGAGGGCAAGATCCTCAAAATCGGAACTTTTCCTGCGCTTATCTGGCGAGCCGAATCTCTTCTGGATCGGTTCCACTTATAAAATGCACTGAAAAGTACTGTCAGTTCAGTTTTCACATTCATCTCTTCTTTAATTTGATTCGGTTATCAGTGCTTTAGTTCAGGTTCGTTATCAGGGCCCAAGGACCCGTACATTAAATTGAGAACCTGTCTAAACTTTATGATTTTTTTCCTTCTCAGAGAAAGGCAATCCATAACAATCCACATCACGCCCTAATGATGGTAAATATGTCAAGATGAACCAGAAACTAATACATACAAAAGGCAGAAACGAAAGAGCTACAAAGAAATCTTCTATGTACATCCATGCCACCCTGTACATTTAAATATGATAGAACCATATGATAGAACCAGGTCTCGCTGACTGCAATTTCACGGGTATATGTTACCTGTCCAAAAGAGGTGATGCGGTGAGAGAAAGGAGGTCTGACAAACCAAACGCCTTGCAAAACTTAAAATTATGACAGATAATCAATAGTTCCTTCCTCCTTTTAACACAGGATGACATATAAAAAGCCACCAAAAAGGCCATAATGCTGCAAATTTTACAAATGCATTGCAAAGGTTTTATTATTTTTTATTTTTTTTTTGAAAAGGGAGGTTTTATGTAGATAGACATTGTAAAAGAAAAAAAGACGAAAATATGACATCGTGATTTAGAACGCCTTTGCTATATCAATCCAGTGTTTGCACCGACCAAATGAAAAATTACCTCAACTAACAACAGATAATGTACCACAGTCCCAAATATCTGAGGCATCCGTAGCAAAATTTTTAATTATGCACATAGAAACAGCATTGACTTCAGGCAACCTCTCTGCATTGGAAGATTTAAATTAAATAGATAACTACAAGAGACTAAAAGGAAGATAGCAAATAAGTAGCATAATGTAAACAAGTTCCATACCACCCAACAGAATAATCTGCTAAAATCTTCAATCTAAAGCATGAAAAAGGCACCAATGGTTGTCTGACGGAGCACCTTAGAGCTTCTATCAAGGCCATGAGATGCAACCTATATTACCGAAGAAAATACAACATGAGTAGATAGAGACAAATATTCATGTAACTCTTGACTTTTACCCTGGAAGGTATTTATGGTTTTCAATTAGGCTTCTGAGTAGAGTGCAGACAAGCAAGCAAATTAAGATAAAAATTAAAGGGAGGCAGGACATACAGACCAAAATAATTTCATAAATCATAAATACTACAAACAGCAGGCTGTATCACTTGACAAGCAATGATTCTCCTGTATCCTCACTGATAACAGGAAGATAATCAAAACAGTTTCTTTCTTTCCCACAGATACCATAACAACTGCACGATTGAACTACCAAGGAGAATGTTGACAGACCAATTCCCCACAGCTCAATTAGAAGCTTGACTACTTTACATATCATCTGAAAGGCAAAGTAAATTTCTAATTCTTCTCTTACCATATGATTAAGAGCCGCATAACGTTCCTCATTCAAATACAGCGGCTTTCCTCGATGCATCTCACTATCCTGAAACAAGAGAGGAATATATCATGGAATTTGTTTTATAAGTACACATTAATTCTCACATATCCTCCATCTCCCTAACAAAAACAAAATAGAGATATGGAATACAATTTTTCTTGAAGACGTGTGTCAACTTTAAAGTGAAACCAGGGATAGAATGTTTGGTTAGTGAGCTGTTAGTGACCAGTGGTCACTGCTATTTTGAGTGATATTTTAGTCGATACATGCATGTCAATCCAGTTCACATGAGACTAGGATCCTGATGTGTACGGTGTACCTAGGTAATAAGTTTGAAAAGAGTAATTACCTCTTCACCGAAGGCATCTAAATAAGGGGAAGGCCAAGGAGCCTGGCGAGCAGCTCTTTGAAGCAAGATTGAAGTTTTCTAGGACAAGGGCCAACATTCATCGATGATCAATAAGACAAAATAAAAAAAATCATATCAAATTGAAGGTGAAGGAGATGGAAGAAATTTTATATTCTATAGTAACAAACAATGTACGAAAAGAAAATTCAGAAACCAGTTTAAGGAACAATAGACAGGGAAAACAAAACATACTTTAATCAACAGGAAAACTCCAGTGCCAGCGCCACAGGCCATTGCATGAGTCTGGCATCCACTTTCCCTTTGCACCAAAAGATTACGTTAGTTTGGAAAAAAAAAATCCAATACAATGAAATATATATTACATCAATCAATAAAGCTGTAATCAACCTGCAGCAAGTTTTCCAGTTAGGTGAGCACAATTTGCCACAAAGCAGGCACAACGCAGGCTCCTGGAGAACAGTTCCACAATCAGGACAATGCTGCTTAATATACCTGAAACATCAAAAGCAGATCACAAGTTAACCTCGCCAAAAGGGGAGGTACAAAATTCACGGCCCTCGAGTTCCCAACTAACCTTTGCAACAAATCCTGGTAAAGATTAGGTAACCCCATTAGACTAAATGGAACAGCTGGAGTAGAATAAAGCACACCCTGTCCTTGAAATTTGAATTCCTTTGAAAAATGATGTAACCATTTCAATGCCATCGAACGTGACATGTCATCATGAATGACAACATCAATTGAAGGAATGTTGAACATTTCTTCCAGCATTTCAACCTCAATAATATCTATTGCATTGCTCCGACTATCCAACATGGGTGTACGCGCATATGATCCATATTGCATTTGGTTTGCATAACCAAAAGGTAATGATGCAGGAGAATTTATTAGCCCCCACAGCAATGAACATCTCCGCAGGAATGGACAGCTTAGGCTGCAGATGGCGCCCTTGATATCACAAAATGAATCAATATAGTTTGAATCAAAATACTGAAGAGGAATCTCATATTCTCCCATGAGCTTGCAGATGTCTGTGATCAAGCAATCCTTCAATCCCAACTCAGTCAAACTGCCCCGCCTTTTTCGACAGTATACAATTACTGCCTGAAGGAGCAAAAAGAATACATTAGCCACTTAACTCAGCAAATACAGAAATAAGAATTGGCAACATAAGATACTCTATACAACCTGAGTTATAGTCACAACATAAAAGACGTGCACAAGGGAGAAAAAGGATTCCTTGCATGACAAGAATGGGGCGGGAAGACAGAAGAGTGTCCACATCAGTGTTGAAAAAGAATCATGCGCAAGGACAGGATGGGAAGCCCTTTCCCAGAACTGAATATCTGGATATTGTGCTTCTGTCTCAGATTTCTCCAATAAACACAGCATGTTACCTGTAAGGTTAGCCAAAAATTAGTAGTCACTGAAACAGTCACATTGATAGAACAAAACTAGATGCCTTGCTAAAGATCCTAAAATCTTGTTTAGCTGGCGATATCAAGTTTAATAAGTTCAAATAGCAAACGCAAATAACAGCCCAGAGAGGATATTTGGAAAACATTTTTAGAAAAAAAAAAAAACACTACTTTCAGATACGTGGATTATTCAGACATTTAAAGGACAACTTTTATTTCTTGATGGGAAAGAATATAGTACATAAAGTGACCACAACCCAACAACCCAGAGAAGCACCTTCAGAAGAAAATAAAAAAGACAGTTAAGTGAACCGAAACAAATTTGCCTACAGGAGACCAAAATGGGTATGGGAAACTTTCACTGCACTACAAGATTTCGACTAGAAGTACACGAAGCCATGACAGCATAGTTCAAACTCATCTCCAATCAATAATCAAAAGTCTGCACAATATTTGCCAACATGCTAACATTCACCAGAGAAAAAATCTGTCCCTGGAACAACAAATTTAAAGATAAAACGCAATTCAAACATAAAACCCTCAACCCATCTTGTTACCCTTAACCATCACATACTGGCATTGTAAAGCTTCTGGCCCGACCTTGTTGTTTTGGTTCAGTAGGGAAAACTCAACCAAGGCAAATCTTATCAAACTTATATTTCTGTCGTAACAAAATTGTCCATGGAACTGCCAATATATGATAGAACGCAGTTCAACAATAAGATTCTCAATCCTACTTATTACAATCTAACCCTGATCACAAATCCACTTATTCACATATTCACATCATTGTAAAGTTATCGGGTTCAACCCTGATCATTGTTTTACTTTTCAGTAGGGAAAACTTAATTACAGCTGATTTTGTTACACGAAAAAGAAACTCTTCACTAACAAATAGCAAATCAATTCAGATAATTTAGCCTCACAAAGAATCCCAAATTTATTCTCCTCAGTAGAAATTGAGTTGCATAGCAAAAGTTGATGTACCTTCTAGTTGACGATTTTGCCCAAAAGATTGTTCCAGATGTCCCCGGCATATAGAATCTGCAATTAGCTGAAGTCCTTTAAATCTCAGCAGGACAGTAGGTGAATTTTCTCTTCTTGTGCCTTGAACAACATTTAGCAGAAGGGATAATATAAACCCACTGGAAGAGTTTAGCTCACTAAGTAAGGCATCAAGGTTATATCTTGGAGTGGAAGACAAATTTGCAGACCGAGCAGCAATCTCAGTTGAGATTATCGAATACTTCAGTGTATCCCACAAAAGCACTGGGTGGCTCACCCTGCCAGATCCACTTACCTTGTCCTTGTTCGGGAAATACAGATTACATAGGACACGAAACAGGGATTCGAGATTGCTCTTCTGACTTTCAAAATGCTGCAAAGGGATTGACTTGAGAATTTCCTTCTTTCCAGTAATTACAGCGACACTTTGCAAAAGACACACTGCTTCTTGGATTCGAAAACCATCTACTTCTGAACTTGATGATGTCGAGGGAAACACATCATCTGCTGCAGCCACAATTGGGAATACAGGCAATGTAGAGACCTTTGTCGAATCTCTAGGGAGAGTAGGGAGGACAGAATTCGCAAGCCCCCGGCATACAGGACAAAGAAATTCTCCCTGACGACCAATATTCCAATCTAAGAATTGAACCAATTCTTACAACAACAAAAAATAAGTGCACAGAATGAAATTACCTGATCCGGGTCAACAATATGCCCTCCTTCAAATGTTATTCTTCTAATGTACCTGCCCAATGATTAGTTGAATTAGGTTATGCCCAATAGATCAGAAGAATTATTTATTAAGATATTTCTTTTGCCCAATGAAAGATGATAAATATCTTGGAACTGAAAACATGGGAAGAAGCCAAGGAAAAACACAACATGCAAGACCCTTAAGGCCTTAACAGCTATGGCACTTTTGATAATGCGAGCTTATTAATTCGTAAATCACCAATCAAGCAGAATTTCACATTTATTAATGAAAGCCTATACACATAACAGACGATATCCAATTACCCTTCCTCATTGGTAGTTAAATCATTCATATTTTTAAATTTTCACAATCTAGCTAATTCCAGTCATATTCAGCAAACATCAGCATAAGTAATCACAGGGATAGCATTTTAAACATGCACAGGAGACAAACAAGTGTCTACAGTAGTTTAGGCAATAAACTAACAGATGATGCTGCCCGCCAGAAATTACTAAAGTTTATTACAATTGCATGTACTGCTTTTCCCTGATGCTAGCATAGTCAACATGTTAATCGGATTACAAAATATGGAGAATCGGATTACTAAATATGGAGAATGAAGCTCTAACAACCCCCAGTCAAGGAGGGTAGATACTAAGGCATACTCCCACAAACAGCATAGAGGGATGTTTTCATTCACAATGCCACATTGCGAAATTTTGATTCCTAAATTTAATGTAGCAGCAGATACCCTTATCCTCAGAATACAGAAAAAACAATGTGCTTCTATCTACTCAATTAGTTAATTATTTATATACTATGAGCCCGTGATCTCAAAGTAAATCAGTTTAGTGGTTATAACTCAGCATTATTTCAATTCAGCAATCTTAAAGTTCTGATATACCTTTCCCTCAAGGACGACAAATAGCGTTCAAGGCATCCTTGATGCACAGCATGTCCGCAAGATGAGAGGTAAATTCCATCACAATCAGAGGGCACAAATCCATCATATGCTGGGTTTGTCATACTGCTTCGAGATTGTGCTCTATTACTACTACGCGAGAGTAAATTTTCAGATCCGGATGGATTTTCCCTAATTTCTTTGGAAACAGAGGCCATATACTTGCAAAGCAAGAGATGTTGGCTGCTTCTATCTTGGGTGCCATTTATGTTCAAGAAGTCATCACCATGATTAAGGGAATCCTGCAAAAATTTACAGCGCATATCTTCCTGGACCAGGGAGTAAATATGTTCTTCCAGCTTCTCAATTGAAGTTGATGTCTTCATTGAAACATCATCGGCAACAGATGGGGAAGGGATGTCCCTTACTGAAGGAAAGTGAGCACTAATGAATTCGTGAAATGCACTTATCTCAGAAGACTGACCCTCCAACGCAAAACAATCTAATGCACTCTGAATTGAATGTAATAGCTCAGGTTCAGAAGGGCTTGAGATGCCGCTCATCAATGATGGAAGACTGGTTGTGCTATTTTTAGGAGATATTTGGCCCCTCTTTGACTGGTTTTTTTGATCCCATGAAATGGGTCCTCTGTCTAAAAAACTAAGGAGCCTGGATTTCTGATTCAGATAAATCAACCAAAAGTCAGAAATCCAACATAAAATCAGGCTAGTTGCAACAAAATCACTGTGCTAATCACAAAGAAGTAAAAGAAAATCAGCAGATGACCTCCAGATAATAGTACAAAGTGTATTTCATTCACAAACCTGAAGAAGAACTAAGAATGATACAGGACTATTTGAGTTGGGATCATGGCAAAGGGAGCAAACAACTTCTTCAGAATCTTTGGACTCATCCATAACATCAGAAACAGCCATGGCGTCTCCACATTCCGAATCATTGGCCCCATGGCCAGCAGTGGAATCAATGCTTTCCAGAAATTTAGATTGTTGGGCTTTCATCTTCTCCTGTAAATAAAACAAAATTAAACGAAATCCAAAGTAAAGGCAACATCAAACTCCTTCATCTTAAAAACAATATGTGCACAATGATTGAAACAAGTTCATAGGGAAAAGGAAAGAAAAATATTTTCAAAGAAATTTTCTTAGTGTGAGAAAACCCTGACATGTTTGGTATAAACAAGAAAAAAAGTATACACAGAACAAAAAAAATCTTGATGCATAATGGTGTTTGCCACCTGATTTCTTGTATCCCTGAGGGCTGGCTAGATTCCAGCAAGTAAATACAAAAATGGGAAGATAACTACTTGAAACGGGTAAATAACTTATCATACAAGGTTGGTGTTATGCAACAGCTAAAGAAAAAGAGCATACCATAAATGACACAACATTAAAAACCTCACCATTATAGCAGCTTGTCTCTCTCGAGCTTTTGCCTTGCGTTTGTCACTCTCAGAAGCAGAACCAGATACATCATCAGAACTTGAGTTGCCTTTTGATAGCTGATTGACCACTTCGGGAGCAATCTTTTGCAGTTTGATCAAACATTTTGGCTCAAACTCTGCAAACTTCTTCAATATATTTCCACATAAAGAAGACAGGTTAAAATGTGCAGCTTCCGCAAAGTTTTCAACTCTCTCTTTTTCGTGAAGCCTCATCAGAATAACAAGAAGGGATAATAAGCTCTGGTCACCATGCCCGTTTGACGAAATTTCTTCGCATGCAAATTCCAAAATGGGAATGACATTGCTTACGTTACACAAGCCCTGACGTGACTCTTGTTGCGCAGAACAGATATCTAGTGATAGTGACAGCAAATGCATTGCTGTCAAAAGGACACCATCTGGAGCACGACACGCCACTGACTTGTCTGAGAAAACAGCATAGAACAGAACCGAACGAACAATTTGTAGGACAGCTTTACAAGTAGCAATTCGCGCTACACCAATCAAAGGGTGATAAATTCTTGACCAACTGGGCAGCTGAGCTGTTACAGCAGAAACATTACAGAAGCGCAAGTATCTTTCTTCTGCTATCTGTAAGTCCCTCGAGTTCCAACGAGGATGATACAGATCTAGTTCTTTCCAACATTCTGACCGCAGTTTATACATTCCCTGGAGAAAACTTATTCATTGTCAAAAGAACGATATCTTATACAAAGTATAACATAAAAAAGGAGAAAAACACAGGGTGGACAAAGATGATCAAACAGAGATGGAAACGCAAACCTGATTTAAGCCGGACGGATTGGAATATATTGCCACCAAATCCAATATATTCTGGAGATTATCAATTTTAGATAGATCACGGGGAAGAGACTTCACCAATTGACTGTGAGTAGCATCCCCGATTGATAACTTGTATACAAATTCTCGTCGCAAACATTCAGCGTTTGTTAATCCACAAAATCTTCTTTCCTTCACTATCTGTATGATGAGAGTGAGCATTTCCTGCACTAGAAGTGGTTCATACCTGGCAGAAGAACAGGTGATTTAATTGATCAATAGGAAACAATTGACTAGTATACATCTAAAAGGAGAACAACTTTGACGAATAAAAAGAGACAAAACGTCGTGAACAAGCGGCAATCAATTTTAATAGTGGGAGGGGGAAGGAAATAGTCAATCAAGATCTCGATGGATCCTTATCTTTGGCTCAATCCACAGACTCCTATAGAGCCAAAGTAACAGAACACACAAGTTGGTACAGTCACATTTCATCAATTAAGAATTAATCAAAATCTAGATGAACTCATCCTAATCAATTTCTTTTCTCAAACTCAGAATCAAGAGCAAAGCATTTTGAACTGCCGCCTCTTCTAGGAGGTTTGGCTTAATTATTCATGATGAAAATCCATTTGGGAGATAATTAGCCCCAAAAAGCTTATTTAACCGAACAACTAGTACATATGAAGCATCTTTCCAAACTACATTTTAGTATTGCTCTTACACTGACTTTCCAAAAAACTTACACGCAGTAGGACCCAGAATAACCTCAAAGAAATATGATTTACCCCAATACAATGTTTGAACGCTAGCTCAATTGTTTACAAATGAATCCAGGAGGAACAAAGTAAAGTAGTCGCCCACAACGCAACACTACCAAAGCCTTTAATCCACTACGTGGAGATAATGTCACTTAGTTTTCCAGAACCACTACAAAATGTAAGCATATAAGCACACGTAACTAATACACACCAACACCAACAAGAATTATATGGATCATATGCGGACATCATGCTCCATCAATACACAATCATTCAAATTTAAATATTTCAAGTCATTTTTGATAGTTTCCCTCGAAGTTTTTTTTTTTTGGGTCTGTTCCTACCCCTTCTAATTAGAGTTAACGATTCTACAGTTTCTACCCTCCTAACCGGGGCATCCACAAGTCTCCTACGCACATGCCCAAACCATCTTAATTGCAATTCTCTCTTTTTCTTGTCTATCGGCACCAACCCTACTTTCTTTCTGCAACACTAATTTCTAAGCGAACAAAAGAAATCAAAAGGCCTAATACCTAAAGCAGTTATGAATATACAAGAGGGGAGGCAGTGAATTACATACTCACTAGATCGGTCAAGATTCAATAGAAGGTATTTTGATAGGCCATAACGCTCCAATATTCTCTTGACAAAAAGATCGGCTGGGGCAAGCGCGGCACAACATTGAAGAAGAAAGAGATCAAGCTCTAAACCTTGCTCAGACCTGAATTATGAAAGTCATTCAATATGAATAATGCATTGATACCCAAAGCATTTCACTGCCTCAAGGTACAGAAAAAATATGTAAAAGTTAAAAGGGATAAGAATTTCAAGTACCAGCGAACTGAGCGATACCATTCACAAGATAGTATGGAAGCATCCCCATTTCTACGCCATAACCCAGCCCTAACCTGGGCGCAGAACACTCGAATCCGAAGAGGATGCTCCATAACAAAGGCTGAAAACCCATGAGGATGACAACCTCCCAAAATATGGGCAAAGAAGTCCTCATAAGTAGTTGCTGACAGACCCCCACTTGTAGCAACTGGCACATATGGTACTGCAAATTCGCCATAGCATTTTTTCAAAGATCTCTGTAAAACCATAGATAATAGACGATGCAATGGGATGTGAACAGAAATATCCTGAGAACTAACATCATATACTATCTCTGGCCAATCAGTCAAGCTCAGAACTTTAAGGGCTTCAAATTCAGAGGTGCATTCTACCTCTGCAGTACTGTCCTCAAAACAACCGCGACCAGCTTCTTGTCCCATATGTCGGCTTGAATCTAAGTTAACTGCAGGAGTACCACCACCTTGCTTACCAAATACATCTATGGAACTCGTTATTTTACTGCTACTAGATGACCTGAAAAGGGTTCTTCCACTAAATTTGGACAATGTCCTCGTAAAAGCAGAGGTGTTGCCAGACATATTACCTAATCTAGATGATAAGGAGCTTAATGGATGACTTGAAGTCTTATCCAGTACTAACCAACCATCGATGGCCCTGAAGCACTCAAAAGTCAACCAGAAAACTGAGGAAGGAATAGATACATTGTCATGCTTTGTGCCAGCAACTTTTGATAAATGATCTGATATGTACCTCCCAGTTGCACTACTGACAGAGCATTCCTGTGATATCCTACCAATTTTGGCATGTCTAAGGCTATCTTGATCTTCAAAATCCTGCTTAGATTCTGTCTCCTCATAATTACCATCAGCAAATGCTCCAGTTACTAAAAGAGCATGTATGTTTGCAATAGAATGGCCTAAAACAAAAGGCAAGTGCATATTGTCATTTTCTTCTTCAATGTGTATGCCTGTCTCTCTCTTTTGCGGGTTCATCCCTTGCACAAACCCCAATAGTCTCATCCATGTTCTTGTTATGTCCTGCCTTTCACGAGTAACATAGATGGGTACAACAGGGTGGCTCATGACAAATCGTATATCTTCAACGACACGGAGGGTAGTTTCAAACAAATTTCCCCATTTAGTAATCTGATACAAAAGAAATGGCATTCATAAATAAGAGAAGTATACAACACTACGAGCAACAACCAAATGTGTACTGAGGAGCAAACTCTTTCGGGGGAAATAAAAGAATGGGCCCTCAGTCAAATACAAAGGGTTAACAGCAGCCAGCACAAAACAGAGTACCAGCAAAAGACTGGCCTCAAGCAAAGCGCAAATATATAATGATTCCAAAACCAAAAAACTTAAAAATTGCTAATTCAAAATTGCCACCTTGACATCAGAGAAATTTATTGCCAAGGAAATTGAGTCCCAAAATTAAAAGAAAAGGAAACACAAAAGAGAGAGAGAGAGAGAAACAACAAAAGCCCAACTCCACAAGTGCGAAAAATTTATCCATGTTAGAAGCATAAAGCTCTCTGGAATTTATTCTTCCGATCCCACTCAATATAAGTGCCTCCTCCTTTTCGGTTCATATCTAGTAGCGAAACTCAGCAGTCACTCGCTTCTAAGATCTTTTAATTGCAAAAGGATCTTCGAAATGAACAGATACTCATGGGACATAAAGTCACATGAAAATCAAAATACTACAGGCAGACTAAGCTTCAAGTTTATATGCACAGTAGATAAGCTACCAGCGAACAGGAAAGAAGCAATCACTGAAGAAGATAGGATTGGTGGCAAGAGTGCTCCCAATGCGAGTGCATATAAGAGTGCAAGCTCCAAAAACAGCCTGACGTTCGTTTACACCTCTTTGAAGACCATAGAAACTGATATAACCCCATGCATTATGCAAAAGTTGCATATAGATGAAAACAAACTAAAAACATGCAACATTATTCGTGTGCTTGTATGTAGACAATATATGAGATTACTTAAGTTTCTTCCCTAGATCAGTATCAGCACATGCAAACAATATCTTGGACATACATAAAGGTCCCAGTTAAACGAGAAAATAACAGAACGATAACCATACCTGCAGCCTACCATCTTCGCCAGCGCAAGAAACGTATATGTCTCCTAAACATTCCAGGAGCATAGGCAAGAGATTCATTTCCTCCACAAGTCGCGGAGTCAAGGTAGGTACCGTAAAGATTTGCACAGAGAATGTTGATACTAAAGGATACTTTTTAAATACCTCATCATTGCACTCCTTAATAGCTTCAGCCACAACGGCTGGATAATAACCTAAAAATACCTTTGCAAACTCATACTTAAATTGAGGTTCCCCGAGCAATTTCAACAGTAATTCGTGCAGTTTCCGAACGACATCACTAGGAAAAAAACGCTCCACCCTGACAAGAATTTCCAATAGACCAGGCGGAGATACAACTCTTCCAGAAATGAAAGAAAGAAGACTTTCACTGTGTCTACAGAACTCCAAAAGTAGCTCCACCAAAACAGATGTTAACTCTTCTGTGACCTGTTGAAGATTTTGATCATGTTTAGGACTCTCCTCAGACACATTTGAAGCAGATATTAGCCTCTTCCTCCAGTAACCAAACAACGAATCCAAAACAGGCCCCATCGGGTTAGCATATTCACTTGGTAAGGGTTTTATCTGTTCAGCACCTTTATGCTTTGAACAGAAACCATCACGCTTCCATGCAGTGACATCTCCACAATCGCAACAACCCCCACCAGTGTATATGATAGAATAGTCATGATCCTTGTGATTCCCATTCTGAAAACAAGGAACACAAATTGCACAAGTCGGATCATGCTCACACGTGCGGCAACGGTATGCAATATCATTATTTCCCCAAACAGCTCCACAGACACCACGTTGACCGACATTCAGCAGAGACAGTTTCTTAAGCGCTATTTCTGGATCACCCTCGAACATCAACCATTGCAGCCAAACGATACTTTCTTGGAATAATTCTTCAAGAGTAGGGCTATTCCTACTATCGGTTGCCCCAGATTCAGCTTCTGAAATAACTGCTTCAGCGTCTTCATCTGAAGGAAATATCGTAGTAATTAATTCTGATATGTCAACCTCATTATCCTTCACATAAGATACCAAACCACGCTGTTGATGATCCACGTATTCTTGAGGAATTCCTATCCGAGCAAGCCTCTACAATGAATTGACAACACATAAGGTCCATTACCATGTATAACAACTATCTCAATTAAACCTAATCTTTTGCTGACTGATTAAAACTCTCCGTAGGGCCTGTTAAATAGCGCACCACAGAAATCAGCAGCAATAAACTGCATACAATGTCTGGCTTTAAACTAGAAATCGAACTCAATTGTCTCCCCAAGCAAAAGTATTGAAGTAAACTGGTTTTATCTAAATCCCCTTTTGCGTTGTAGGGGGGAAGATTAAATAAAGAATACTAAGCGGAAAACCAATCATGGAACAGTGTTCAGCCATCAAAGTATATAAAGTCAAAAACTTTGATTGCTAATAGGATTAACAAAATCTTTTGAGTCTCCCGTTTTTCAGGCAAAAGCTAAATCACGGCAGAAAAATAATACAAAATCCGATATTCAAAATTGAAAAGCATAATTGGAGTACTGACCTCCATAATGCGAACTTCAGGAGACAAAGCAGGCCCGTTCTCGGCCGCCGGCGAGTCAATCTCCATCATCCTGAACATTGCTCGAAGCCAAGCGCAACAGCACTTGTCGTATCCTGAGCTTTCACTTCCCAGGGCTGCCAATTAACAAGTAAAAATAAAAAATAAATAAACACGCAGACACACAGTCGAGTAGGCCGCCAGCACACAAATTTTCGCATAAACCTAGAAAAAGAAAAAATAATTGTTCGTACGAATAAGAGAAACACAACTCAACAATTTAACAACACAGTGCGAAAGAGCTTCTAAATCATTCTCACTTGTAGTATCTGGCGGATGAAGGAGGAAGGATTAATTTGTCTTAGCCATTTGGATTGCTCTGGAATAATCTCCCTTATTATTAAAGAAGACGACTGTGCAAATGGAAGGTGTCAAATTCCTCTCCCTATCAACTAAAACGCCCCCCCTTACAGTAAAAATTTTCCTAACATGCCGCTCATGATTTGACGGTTTTATCACCGAGATTCTCCGGTATGGTGGTTAGAGAGTGAGGTTAGATTAGTCAATTGACTTAATGAAATAGATTTATTTCTCCGGAGATAATTGATGTGCTGGGTTTTGTATTAAGTCGGTGACAGGTTGTCGTATCGGAGAACTGTTCTGCTGGGTGTTGTGATCCTCTGCTCGTGGGATTAGATAAACTGCGGTGGACCTTTTCAGTACACGTGGGAGCTGCCGAGTTGGGCCGGCTTTGCCCAGGAGAGAGGCCCACGACGAGGCTCGGGCCCGCTGTTAATCAGGTAGTCCCATTTTCGGCAAAAGCTACACCCAGTTGGAAATGATCGTTTTCCAATTTGTACACATTTCGAAGGCAAAAATTGCATCAGAAATATGAAATGTGTGCATCAACGACTTCTCTAGGAAAAAGAACTGAACTATATTGCTGTCAGAACAAGCGGTGAATGTGAAAACCGAACCTCTGGGGGGTTCATTTATTCTTTACCAAGTTCCCCAAACTAAAAATACAATTCGCATTCCAGGAAACAATGATTTTCTAAGCAGAAAAAACAAAAATCTCTATCCAACCTTGTAAGTTTCTGTACAACTCAGTAGTAGATCGACCCCTTTCACGACAACTACTGATTTGGATTTTACGGCTATTTCTAATCTACAGTTCTACACGGGGCCAAAACTCAAAACTATGGACCTTCCTTTAGCATTGCTGTAAAGTGTAATCCGGACTTATCCGGGATGGTAACTGCTAAGACCAAGAAGAGAAAAAGAAGAAAATCTATACTTCAAGATTATCCATGGAGATTAGTCTGCAAAGGGCCTGCCTTCTTCAACAATCCGTCCAAAAAAATCATTTCCATATCTCGACATGTAAAACGAGCTTCATCCCTAAACCAAAACAAAAACCAACACACATCAGAGAGAATACAGCAAGCTTTGCGTCCTTGAACTAAAAAGTCGCAACCATTACATCAACGCCTCACACAAGAAACAGACATGAAATTGCTTAGAAACAACCACTTTCTCTGTGGGCTTAAAAGAGTAAAAAGAAACTGCCTAACCTAAAATATGAAAACTACGTGGAACCAGCTGAAGTCTCAAAAATGACAACTGAGTAACATCAAGAGGCCAAACATTTCGAACACAAAAGCACTGTGATTGAAAACCTTTCGACAATGGTTCAACTAATTATTTATATCATCCGTGCAGAAAATCATTCCAATAACAAGTGCCGTTCCAAATTGATTAGCAATAACAAGCAGAACAACAATGAGCAACATACTTCCCGCAGTCAGATACTTCAAATATACTTCCTCACAGTCAGATACTTCAAACATACACACAAGCACAAGAGAAAGGGAACATGAAAACAGTAAAAAGGCACTTTACAATCAGATAAGAGATTACCAAGATAGAGCACAAGGACAAGAACAAACTTACATATTTTATGTGACTCCCATATTTACCATCTGCAAATCATTTCTAGGAGTAGAGACCTCATTTCCCGCCAAATTACCAGGGTTTAAACTATTGTCGCACTGCTCGTCACTGAATGCAAACTTAAGCTGCTTTTCAATGGATCTCGACACACTGGATCGATTCGGCCTTAACCTGTACGGTGGAGACGCGTTGAATGATTTGCCAGTGCAGTCACTGTCAGTGCCATTTTGAGGAATGTCATGCAGATTTTCATCTTGCAACTCAGATTTCTGTGAACTGTCAGTTTCCCTACTCTCATCGGAGGCAAGTGCATCGTGGATATCACCTCGTACATTCCCAGCCTTGTTTGATGTTGCTGATAATCGAGATTCAATCTTTCTCTTTCTTAATATAGATGGGGTATGGGGGAAACTTCTTGCAGCGAGTCTCAGGATAGACTCTGGAGTTTGGGAGTACAATCCACTACTTCCACTAGATGGAGACAAGAATTTTATAGGGGACTGATACGGACTCCTGTCGCACTGCATCCAAGAAGTACTTTGGGGATCTGATTCCAAAGAAACATAATTCTCTAATCGTGGCGGCTCATAGCACAAGGTACCATATACTGGAATTTCAGTGCTTAATGTCTCTAACACTCTGTATTGAGCAATTTTATCATCCTCTCTACCTTTGTCAGTGAATGACCCAATGCTTGAATTCTGGACATGCCTTAGTTGGAATGAGTCAGCCTCATATCTGATCAAATCAGAATCAGCAGACTTGTTATGAGGAGCACTAGCAGTTGTACCAATTTCCTGAAATGAAGCACGGTTCTCCGGTTGATCGTTACTAAGTGCTTTATATTCAGCTGTGATTTCTGATGCAGCTAGGTTTGATCTATCATTGATATCACCCAAAGAACCCAATCCATTTAATTCAGTCGACCCATTTTGTGCACCATTCTTAGCGGCTGGGGGAAGATTGCCCGTGCGTAGATAGAAGTCCAACTTTTTCTTTAAAGAGCTATTCCAGTGATTCTTAATAGCATTGTCAGTCCTGCCATGCTAAAAGAGTTCAGAAATTGGCCAGTGCCAATGACTAGAGCTTTATGAAGTGGGCCGAATTTGTTCAATAATAAGCTAGCAGGCAACCAAGACTAATTCAGAAACTGAAAAAACCTTTCTCCTATAAATTGCAACAGCAAAGGAAATGCTGCGCTGTCTAAATTTTATCTGAAATCCAGGCTATATTCTATTTTATTGATTTTAAGTGATTCTATCAATTTCTATTGCAAAAACAATTAACGTTTTCAAGTCCTAGTCAACACAAAAAATTCAGGACAGTCATCCACAATAAGTAACAACAATTCAACGGTCCAATTGACTTCTTCACCAAGCACAAATCTTCAACCAGTTTGATTATGAATAGGCAAACTTTATCAGATCCAGGAAAAGTAGATGCATTTCTGGGGAAATCCTAATCTGTTTTTAACCAAAAACCAACATGTTACAATAATTTAATGCAACTTACCTTCCTGGTAAGAACTTAGCTATTTCTGCCCATTTGTTTCCATAAGTCCGATGAGCGTTCATGAGAGCCAGTTCCTCGTCCAATGACCATGCGTCTTTCTTAATGCTAGGATTCAAATGATTGTGCCACCTAGACATTTGAAATTTCATGATTAAGCACCACAATGACCAAGTTCATAAGATTTTGCCCCTAATAAGCTATAGTCATGGAAGAAGCAATAACCAAACTAAGAAAATCTTAACCCCTTAAAAGCTATCGTCTTTGTCCTCGAACAAGAAGAATAAAGCTGGGGTTATTCAGTTTGTGGCAATCAGAAAATAAAAAAGTGAAACAGAAATATGATTCTGTGTGGACTTTTGATATTTAAAGGAACATCCATAGACTTAAAGGAGCATACAAGCGGATAGAATGCAACTTGTGCATTTGTTGAATTAGTAATAACAATGGCACATAATGTAGCATTTCTAGAAAATCGATTGTACTGAGAATGACGACAAAATCAAATAGTAAAATTTAACACATTTGAAAGGAGCACTATAAAGTTCAAAATTTTTATAAACTAGACAAGTGATGAAATTGATGAAGGTGAATTCCTAGATAAGTTACCAAAATCACACCCCACAAACACCATGGACATTGAATTGCATTAAGAGAATATCTCAATTAGAATACTACCTCTCACGACATTGCTTCCCAATTCGACCAGGCAACGACTTTGCTATCACTGACCATTTTGTAGGCCCATATTTTGATACTAACTCAATGATTTTTTCATCTTCCTGCAAACCAAAATGAGTAAGGCGATATAAGTCATGACGATCATTAATAGTTCAAGCCCTAAACAAATTCACAGAAGAAACAATTTCAAAGAGAAGAAAAATAGAGCTTACCTCCTGAGTCCATGGTCCCTTAACAAGTTCTGGATTTAGAACTTTCTGCCATCTATGCAAACACTGAACCTCTGATCTATCTGGAAAGAACTCAGCTGCATAAATGAGAATATTAAATCTCCAACAAATGTTCTTTCTCATTTTTACATAAACAGAGAATCACATTAAGTACAGCATCTCTGCTGGAAATGCCTGTCTCTACTTTAATTCTAGAACATTTTTTCCTCACTTGTAGTTGGGTACAAATACAAGTTCAGGAAAAAGTAACAGCTACGAAAATATGGAATCCATAGTTAAGAAAGAAGTACCTATTTTCTTCCAGCACTTCCCCTTGTACACAGCAACTGCTCTTCTCAATGTATCATCCTAGTAACACAAAGAGTCGGTGAAAATCCAATAAAGATAAACCAGATGACAACCAACATCTAGCTAAGAATAAAATTTGCATACTACAACCAAAGCAAATAATGTTCTTTCTACAATCTTGAAGGGTTCATTCTTGTCATCTATCAAAAAAATTCGATCTTGGACAATGCTTACCTCCTCAGGTGTCCAACCCCCTTTTGCCCGCCTGATTGGCCCGGTGGTCCTCCTACAAAAGCAAAACATAAGTCAATAAATAGAGAGGGTGAATACAATTTCATTACTGTAGCAGATAAAGATAGATAATAACCAATAAAAAGTCACTGCAAAATCAAATTCCCGTGGAAAGAACAAAAAGACTAAATTTTGATCAAACAGTCGGGATTTGACATGTATTTAAGCAATGTTTCTCCTCTCTGAACTCCTGTTAAAACATTGAAAAGTTTAGCATTTATATGTTCTCTATACAAATCACAGTGCACGAAACGCACTATCCCTTTCCAGTAGCTTGGCAAGTAGTCTGAGATCAAATTCGCTAGTCTCTTTTGCAAAAGTGCTCAGTCCATTATAAGACAGTCCCAATAAGATGCCACAGGTATGATCTACTGAATATTGTGCATATCATCCAAATCCCAACAGGAAGTATAAGAGACAATACCTGTGAGATGGTGATGTAGCAGTAGGGCTACCGACTCCCGGAGACTTCAGAGTGATACTGCCGCTGTTTTCCGAAACAGAGGAACATGAACCAGCAGCTGACTGTTTATTCTCGAGACAATAACCCTCGCTTTTCAACTCAGACATCTTTCTATAACATCACCAAGCTTCAACTTCCTAAAATTTGTTGGAAGTCGTAATGAATCAGTAGAAGAGAATGAAGCCATCATCGAATTACACATACGAAGCAACTAAAAGAAACATGAATCAAGATGAAATCGCCCAAAAAAATCAATAAACCCACATCCGTATAAACCCTAAAAGTCCAAATACGAAAAAAGAATTCGACTTTCAGACCTTTCGGAACGAAATTAAACTGAAATCAGATCTCATGAATCAATATCAGATCAAAACATTCCAACAAAACCTCAATCAGACACTAGAACGACTGAATTAATCAATAACTAAATACCTTAGCAGGTGGAATTGAGGAAGAAAGAATCAATAGAAACTCAAATGAATCGCAAGTAGCTTAATCGATAGAAGCAAAGCAAAAAAAAAAAAAAAACCTATCACAACTCGCACGGCACTTGAATTATCGATAAAAGTAGAAGATAATCATCAAAAGGAAAAAATCACCTTATTATCAGAGAAGTGGCTGGAATTCAACATCAGCTCATGGAGCCCTGAAAAATTATAAAGAAGAGAAGATCTCAGTTTCCAGAAAGAAACCAGGATTGAAGCTTTTCTGTTCGAAACGAGGAGGAAAAAAAAAAAAAAAAACCTTGCCCGTTGAACAACGGAGAGAGGAAAAAGAAGAGACAGGATGTATATCTACATTTTTTATATTTTTGTATATAACGAATATCACCGACGGCCCCGTTTACTGGCCGTTAAATTTTTTGGGCCTATTATGCTTTCGGAATGTGTAAACGGTCTATTAGGGTTATGACGGCGGTTAGAGCTCCACGTGAACGTTGGATAGAAAGTTTGAACCTCAAACGGCACATTCGCTTTTGCGTAGGTAAATTGGGTTTAATGGACGTCTTTGAAGGAAGCAATTGTTCCCCGGGTGATTGTGGACCGTTGGATTCATGTTGATTGGCCTTTTGTCCTTTTATTTTTCTCAGTTATTAATTAGTAATTTTTCCAAAGGTTATAAATGGGCTTTACGTTTCAATTTCTGTTGATTAATTAAGACGCTTCCATTTTCATTATGGGCCGAATTGCCTCGCAAGTCCATATTTCTTTTCCGTTTTTCTATTTTTCAGTATAGACAATTATTAGCATTATTTTCGTTTCCACAACACGTTGGGAACTTTTTAAAATTAAACTTTATCCAAAACAAAAATGAATTAGTTGTAACAGATTAATGTTATCGAAACTATCAAACATTTAATTTCTAAAAATCTTTTCTATATTGAGCTTAAACATTGAGAGATAAACCTCACTATTTTGAGATATTAGATATATACAACTAAAAATCAATTTGAATTTCTGTCATTTTCCTCATAGCCGTAATCAATGGTGTATCTTTCATGATTAGTCTCTTCGCATATGCCTTGACTGAAGAGTGAAGACATGTAATGTCTTGCATTTTAGTTAATTATCTTTTTTACTTGTTTTCAATAGCAATAATTTCCAGTAACAGTTGTTTATTTATAAAATAGAGTGAATCACAAAACATGTCATTGAATTATGGGATAAGATTGGGTAATATCATCACCTGTTATCGATCAAATTTATTTATAAAACAAGACTCTTTACTAAACAAAAAATCCAATGAGGTCATTCTGTTATTTTTAGCCATTAAATCATGGCGGAAAGTTATTTTTCACATGCAAAACATGTGAGTTGGCTTTAGGGATAATTTCGTCATTTTATATTTTTAAAAAAATTACAATTATTCTTCTTTCCTAACTTGTATATGTTAATGTTAATATAATTACTAATTTTAATAATTAATTTACCTTCGGTATTTCAAATTCTAAGTTATATTAAATATTAAAAAATTACAATCTTAAAAAGTGTAAGCATTTATCATTGTCATGAAATTCAATTGCTTATATTATTTAGCCATTGAAAAATTAACATCAATAATTACAGTGAATAAAATAATTATTTTAAGATAAAATGAACAAAATTTGTATTTTGGTAACTAATTTATGTATTACAAGGAGTCAAGGAAAAATGATTTGTCTTAACAAATTCTTTAGGATACTATTAATTTTCTTGTTTACTTTAAATTGAATTTTTCCTCACTTTCTTTATTTTTTAAAAATTCTTTAATAATTTAGAAGTTGAAATACAAAAAGATAAATTAATTCCTAAAAATTAGTAAGTAATTATATCAACATATGTTATTCATAAAAGTTAGTAAGTAATTATACCAATATATGTTATTTAGGAGTATAAGAAGAATTGTAAAAAAAAATAATTTTTTTTAAAATACAACCTTAGCCAAATAAGAAAGATTACAAAATGATTAAGTCCGCCATCAATGATTTTATATAAGAAAATTGGGATCAACACCCTTAGTACTTCTTCTACATGGCTTTAAATTGGACTATCCCTACTTATAAAAATCAGGCTAGTCTCAATCACTCTTATCCCAAGAAAAATTTCACTTAATTAGTAAATTACCATATCTTCATCAGGATCACAACTATGTGTATCCAAGTAATAACAACATCTTATCCCAACCACCAGACTTATTAGCCTGTTATTATGAACTAAAGCAAGACAAAATAAACAGAAGCACTTACAAATATATCCACAAAGGAGTTGAGCTGTTTTTTCTTCAAACTTCAAACTTGAAATATATTACAGTGGGAGTGGGAGAAGAAACAGAAAGAATGCAAGAAAGTTGAACTGATCGATACCCCTATTACTTATGGCATCCTTATTTATAACATATTCTTCTGGTATTATTACGGACTCCAAAGTTTCATTTAGAGTTCTGTATAGTTTTAAACAGTACTGTGATATCATAATTAATAATTATATCAACATATATTATTTAGGAAGTATAAGAAGAATTGTTAAAAGATTATTTTTTTTAAATACAATCCAATTATTATTTTTCTGTATAATTTATATTTTACAATATAGATTATTTTCTTAGACAAAAAGAATATGTCTTTTATTTTATTTATGATTTTTATTTATTTCATGCTTTCTCAACAGAATGAATTTATATTGTAAAACATAGTATAACAGGAAAGTATCTCAGAGCATCCATAAATAGTACATAGTAGTATTATTGAAACACGAGGGTAAAATGTAGAGATGCCCATAGCTTGGGAGTAAAATGTAAATTGGAATAAAAAACAACTACAGAGAATCATATCACATGAGTATCATTTTCCTTTTGGAGAATTTAACTATATTAATAAATTTAACTATTTCTTTTTCTCTTTTTCTTCTCATTTTTTAAAGCTTTTTGCTACAACCGTTTTCTCTCTAATTTAGAGTAAATTTTTCCGTGTTGCTATTTCTTTTTCAAAAACTCAATTGAATAAAAAATTCGAATAGTGGAAGCAAGTTTTCGCTGAAAGAAGAGAACAATAGTAATGACAACGCGTAAAAGTTTTTTGATGACACCTTTGATTTGATTCGATACTTCTTTTTTTTTTTACAGTCTAGACTACAAGCAATGGGGTCACCTACTCTTGTAAATATCAGATCGTGTAAGAGAGAATTTGTTATCTTTTAATTTCTCTCAATTGTCATTTCAGACAATTTACTTCGATTTACTTTATACTATTCATTACAACTACTAGTATAGTATGACTATAGAATATATCTCAAAGACGACTAATTAGTTTAGCAAAAAGGCTCGGTTTTTTCTTTTTCTTTTTTTTAAAGTAATAATAATAAAAGATGGGGTTTTCAGTTTTCACTACAGAATTGTACTTACCTACTTATACCGTTATACGTGATGATGTAGTAACCATAAAATAACACTATAAAAAAAAAGGAAAGAAGAAAGAAAATAGTGGGGATTATATTCATGCATGGAAGATAGTGATTTAATATAATTAAATTAAAAATCCATTAAAATCCTTGCCTATAATAAGAAATTAACCAGTACTTGGAAAAGAAAAAAAGAAAAGAAAAAAAGAGCAAAGGAGCAACACAAACAGATACCATATGGTTCTTAACCGATCTTCAACAATTGAATATCAAATTTTCGAGAGTACAAAACATTCACAAGTTAGAGTAATATTTTATTATTCCATGAGTAATAAAACACAAACTCATATATTTACGTTGTGGCGGAAAAGGTATAAACACAACACACTGCGGAAACGAACCCCAAGAAAATCTCTTTTCCTACTACCAATAAAATAGGACAACCAACCAAACAAGCAACTAAAAAGGAACTGATAAATAAAAGAGGCACACAAATTTACGTGGAAACCCAAATCGAGAAAAACCACGGGACTGTAACAACAGTCAAATCTCCACTATCATAATAATGGGAAAACAGTCTTCACCAACCGGTGGATACACAGGACTTCACCCAAAGGTGGATTACAACAATACTCTTCCACACACACCTACCACAAAGTAGGACTGGAGGGATCTAACCAAAAGAGAGTTAAACCGAAAACTAAACCCTAGTTATCTTTCTTTTTCTCTCGTACAAAAACAATACACGGCTGTCCAAACTTTTCTTCTCTCTCGGCTGAAAAATACACATAAAAAATTATGCCAAAACCTTGCTTTTATAGAGCAAAAAAACCTAAAAACAAAAACCCAATTTGGCTTGGTTTTATTTGTTTCCTTGTTGACCCAATTGAGGGGAATACCGGGCCAACAATCTCCCCCTTCACCTCATTTGGGGGGTAAAACCAAACCCGCTTCCTGTCTACAGAACAGAAGCTTCTCTCTACTCACAGTCTTCGTCAACATATTGGCACTGTTAACATCCGTATGGATCTTCTCAAGAAACAACGCCTTGGAGTCCAACACATCCCGGATCCAATGATATCTCACATCAATATGTTTTGACCGTTAATAAAATGTGGAATTCTTAGCTAAGTGAATAGCGCTCTGGCTATCACAATACACCACATACCTCTCTTGCTTCATGCCAAGCTCGTGTAGAAACTTCTGCAACCAAAGTGCTTCCTTACAAGATTCAGTAGTTGCGATAAACTCTGCCTCTGTAGTAGACAAAGCAACACATTTCTGCAACCTACTTTGTCATGAAACTGCTCCCCATCCATAAGTCATCAAGTATCCAGATGTAGACTTCCGACCATCAAAGTCACCCACCATATCAGCATCTGTATATCCATCCAACATGGTTTTCCCATTGCCAAAGCAAAGACTCAATTTAGAAGTACCCCTAAGATACCTGAGAATCCATTTCACAGCATTCCAATGCTCCTTACCAGGATTAGAGAGAAACCGACTAATAACACCAACTGCATGAGCTATGTCTGGCCTTGTGCAAACCATCGCATACATCAGGCTGCCAACTGCCGAAGCATAAGGAACCTTTTTCATCTCTTCCTTATCTTTCTCACTTTTAGGACACTGCGTTTTGCTTAGCTTAAAATGCCCTGTCTATCTATTCCAAGCACAACTCATGTAAAACCTATCAAGAATCTTCTCGATATACTTCTCTTGAGATACACAAACCTTTCCATTCTGTCTGTCACGAGAAATCTTTATCCCAAGGATCTGTCTAGCTGGACCCAAATCCTTCATCGCAAAGGATTTATTCAACTCCTTTTTTAACCTGGCAATCTTTGCAGTATCATGACCAACAATCAACATGTCATTGACATAAAGCAAAAGAATTATAAAATCACCATCAGAGAATTTCTTCACAAACACACAGTGATCAGCTGTAGTCCTTTGGTATCCCTGCCCTATCATAAAGGCATCAAACTTCTTGTACCATTGCCTCGGAGCTTGCTTCAACCCATACAAGCTTTTGTTGAGACGACATACAAGCTTCTCTTTACCCTTCTCATGAAACCCATCCGGTTGCTCCATGTAAATCTCTTCTTCCAAATCACCATGCAGGAAGGCTGTCTTCACATCAAGCTGTTCAATCTCAAGATTCAAGCTGGCTGCTATTCCAAGCACAACTCGGATCGAAGACATCTTTATAACAGGAGAGAATATCTCATCAAAGTCTATGCCCTTTCTCTGATTGAATCCCTTCACAACCAATCTGGCTTTGTACCTAGGTTGTGAGCTGTTCTCACTTGTTTTTAGTCTAAACACCCATTTATTCTTGAGTGCTCTCTTGCCCTTAGGCAGCTTCACCAGGTTATACGTGTTATTCTCATGCAAGGATTTGATCTCATCTTGCATGGCTGCTAACCACTGATCTTTCTGCTCATGACTAAGAACCTCTTCATACGACTCTGGCTCTCCCCCATCAGTAAGCAACAAATACTCATGAGCACTATACCTGGTGGAAGGTCTCTTGTCTCTGGTGGATCTCCTAGGTTGAACAGGAGGTGATGAAACCAGTTGTGTCTCTGTTTCAGTAACAAGATCATCATTAAACTCACCATCTTGCTCTGTCTCAGCTCCCCCTTCAAGAGAATCATCTGATTGTGGAGGAACTAGATCTAAATCAACAGGAATCTCAGGTGAAGATTCTGGCATCTCGCCTTTTCCCATATCATCAATGGTCTAGTCTTCAAAGAAGATCACATTTATGCTTCTGAAAACTTTCTTCTCTACAGGATCCCAAAGTCTGTACCCAAAATCATCATTTCCATATCCCAACAATACACACTGCTTGGATTTCCTATCAAGCTTCGACCTTTCATCTTTGAGAATATGAACAAAGGCACGACAATCAAAAACTCGTAAATGCCTAAATGAGACATCTTTCCCTGTCCAAACTCGTTGTGGTAGATCACCATCCAACGGAACTGAGGCAGATAGGTTGATCAAATCAATTGCTGTCTGCATGGCTTCACCCCAAAAAGATTTAGGCACCTTTGCATTCGAGAGCATACAACTAACCTTTTCGGTATAGTTCTGTTCATTCTTTCTGCCACGCCATTCTGCTGCGGAGTCTTCGGAACACTCTTCTGAAGTTTAATGTCATGGTCTCGGCAATACTTCTCAAACGGACCCCTGTACTCACCACCATTATCTGCTCGAACACATTTCAACTTCTTGCCAGTCTCTCTTTCAACTCTAAGGTGAAAGTCTTTGAACACATCTAATACCTGGTCTTTAGATTTCAAAGAAAAACACCAAACCTTTCGAGCATAGTCATCAATGAAAGTAACAAAATACAATGCTCCACCCAACGACCTATCTTTCATGTAACATACATCTGTATGAACTAACTCTAGAGGACTGGACTTTTTAGATTGAGGAGAATTTTGAAACGAAACCCTATGTTGTTTACCATAGATGCGGTCAACACAAGGTTCTAGAGCAGTACCTTTCACCTCTGGGAGAAATTGCTTCTTACCAAGAATCTGCAACTCCTTAACACTCATGTGTCCAAGCCTTCTGTACCAGAGATCAATGGAGGCATTGTGAGTCGCATTCACCTCTCCATTCTTCAACTTTGTATTAAACACATACAAAGAGTTCAACTTCTTTCCTCTAGCAATAACAAGATTCCCTCTGGTACTTGTCCAACGGCCACCACCTTCAGTGCTATGATAACCCCCATCATCAAGTTTACCAACGGAAATAAGGTTCAGACGCATATCCGGAACATGTCTGACATTCTTCAAGACAAGAGTACAACCTGTATTCGTTACCAATGATACCTCTCCCATGCCGACAACATCGCATGAGACTTGGTTGCCCATTCTTACACGACCAAAATCTCCAGGTGTGTAAGAGGTAAAGAAGTGTCTGTGAGGCGTCACATGATAAGACGCACCTGAATCATCGAACCAATCACTGTCGTGACTCGCAACATTAATTGTATCATCATCACAGTACACAAATACATCACTGGTAGTTACTACTGCAGTAGTGTCATCATCACTTGATTCATCCTTCTTACCTTTACCATTTCTCGCTGCTAGTTCTCTCTTGAGAACCCTGCACTCTCTCTTAAAGTGCACATTCCCTTGACAATGGTAGCACACAACATATTTCTTGGATTTAGACCATCTCCTGGACTTGTCATTCTGATCACGTGGCCCTCTGCTTTTACTTCTCCCTCTTCTATCTGACTTTTCTGTCACCAAAGCCTGCGACTCAGACTCAATACTCTGCTCTTTTCTTCTGACTTCTTTATTCATCAAAGCCTCTTTGACCTGATCCAAGGTCAAGACACCATCCTGGGTTGAATTACTGATTGACACTATCAAAGTGTCCCAACTGTCTGGAAGAGAACTAAACAATAACAAAGCCTGCACCTCATCATCCAACTTTAAACCTACATTCACAGCTTGGTTCGACAAACCCTGAAACGAACTCAAGTGCTCATTCATGCTAGCACCATTTTTGTACCTCAACCTGGTAATCTGTTTCAGCGCACATGACTTATTGATGCCGGACTTCTTCCAGTACATATTCTGGATTTTCTCCCAAAGTTCATCAGCTTTTGTTTCTCCCCGAAAGTGATGAAACACACTTTGATCAACCCACTGTCGAATATTACCAACAGTCTTCCTGTACATATCAACCCACTTTTTATCAGTCATATTACTTAGCCTACCATCATCCCCTAGAACAGGATCAAACAAATCTTTGCAATACAACAAGTCTTCCATTCTAGGCTTCTACATATGATAATTGGATAAAGTCAATTTAATCATCGTACCAGTACCCGATGACTCTTCCATTTTATTGGTGTAACACCTCAACTATCGAACCGTAGCTCTGATGCCACTGTTGTGGCGGAAAGGGTATAAACACAATACACTGCGGAAGCGAACCCCAATAAAATCTTCTTTCCTACTACTAATAAAATAGGACAACCAACCAAACAAGCAACTAATTAAGGAACTGATAAAATAAAGGAGGCACACGAATTTACGTGGAAATCCAAATCGAGAAAAACCACGGGACTGTAACAACAGTCAAATCTCCACTATCACAATAATGGGAAAACAGTTTTCACCAACCGGTGGATACACAGGACTTCACCCAAAGGTGGATTACAACAATACTCTTCCACACACACCTATCACAAAGTAGGACTGGAAGGATCTAACCAAAAGAGAGTTAAACCGAAAACTAAACCCTAGTTCTCTTTCTTTTTCTCTCGTACAAAAACAATGCACGACTGCCCGAACTTTTCTTCTCTCTTGGCTGAAAAATACACATAAAAATTATGCCAAAACCTTGCTTTTATAGAGCAAAAAAAACCTAAAAAAAAAAATCCAATTGGAGTGGGTTTTGTAAAACCAAAGCCAAATTTGGCTTGGTTTTATTTATTTCCTTGTTGATACAATTGAGGGGAATATCGGGCCAACAATTTATTGGATTAAAATAACTTCAGCTTGTAAACAGCCTCCGTGAAAATTCAATTGTTCGGCTCTAGAATAGGATCACCCTTTGCTGCTTGCCTCTAATGCGAATTCCCGAATGCCTCTTCAAAAAAACAAAGAGAGAAAATTAAAATCCAGAAATGCTATAAACCCACCCTCACAAAAAAAAAAGAAAAAAAGAAAAAGAAGAACACAAAGAAACAATTGTGTGGTTAGATTAGTACCGGATTAAGTTTCGGGGGATGACTGAGTCGTTGAAGGTTTAGCAATGGATTTACCTTTGTCTTTGTTATCATATTTCAATATTGCCTGGTATAAAGAGAGTTCTTGGGGTTTGCCTTTGCCATTATTATCATCACCCTTCACATATCAAAACATAACGGAAATTATATTTAAAACCACAATATATGGTAAAAACACCACAAAGGAACAGGGTATAGCAGGAAAATGTTACAGATGATCTAGTGAGGTAGTATCTAGTAGTACCACTAAAACTTGAGGGGTAAAATGTAGATATAGTCATAGCTTGGGGGTAAAATGTAAATTGGAATAAAAAACTACTGCCACGTTGACTTTTGAGCCGTTTCTTTCCACTTGTCCAGTAGTTGAGGAGTGTGAATTCTGAAAAGAGAAGCCCACCCCAAGACAAAAGCGAGATGGTCCAGTCCAGAGTTCAAATCGTAAAGCGCAATTAAATTTGAACATTTGAAAGTTTTTGACCCATCTCCTTTTAACGTTCCAACAGTCCAATTTCTGTTACCCACAAATTTTAAAAAATTTCACAGAAAATTATACTCCTTTGAGCAATTCGGTTAAGATCACCTTCTGCTAATCGTTGTTGGAATCTCCTCCGATGGAAACTCAATTGAATTTCAATACTCCAGGAAAAGGAAACGAAGCGAGTAATTTGAAGCGAAAAACCTCACATTCCCAAACCACTTCGATTTCAAAGGTGAGAGTTGTTGTCAGGGTTAGGCCCTTCATCTCTCAAGAAATTTCCAGGAAAAATGGTCATCCTGTCTCCTGCGTTTCAATTCTCGACTCAGAAGAATTCAAGTCTCGCGATGATGTCACTGTCCACCTTAAAGATCAAGGATCTAGGTCGGTGCCTTTTCTTCTTCTTTTTTTTTTCTTGGCTCTATTTCCCAGAATTCTTCTGATGGTGGAATCTCAGGGTTGATTAATTGTTTTGGTGGATGATGTAGTCGGCAAGAATGTTACAAGTTGGATGGTTTTTTCGGGCAGCAAGACAACAACGTGTGTGACATTTTTGAGGATGAAGTGAAGCCACTGATCCCAGGTGTCTTTCAGGGTTGCAACGCCACCGTCTTTGCTTATGGTGCTACAGGTAGTGGCAAAACTTACACCATGCAGGTAAGTTTTTTTTTTTTTTTAATCCCGTGACTAAATATGTTCTAGGATCTCGCTCTGCCATTCGGTTTTTACAAATTTCCTGGTACTTGTTCAGCTTAAATAGAATTGCTTTGTTTGTCTAGTTGGGAGAATGATAGGCATTTTACCGTAAAACAGTGTAAAGCACAAGATTATAATTGCAGCAAACATTCGGCTACTTTGTAATGTCTTTTCGTCCAAAATATTATTCTTCCATCGGTAGAGACATTTTCTACTTCTCAGTAAAGAAAAACGCAAAAAATAACTACTCCCTCCGTCCCATAATTATTGTCCAGTTTGGGTTTTCATTTCTAATTCAAATTGTACTAAAAGTGAAATCTCAAACTGGACAATAATTTTGAGACAGAGGGAGACACTTATCAGTAAAAAAAATACACTATAGATTGAACCCAACTATTGATAGTTGTAGTGCAGACCAAGGGTTAAGATTCGTTTGTTGTGTTGCTGCTGCTGTTGTTTTTGTTGCATACGGGGGTAAATCTTTTGGGCAGTATCTCATTTGTTTACAGGGGTTGACTTACTGATCCAGTGGACCTTTATTCATGACATGAGATTTGGTTGAAACCTTGGTTAAGTTGATGTTGAAACCTTGGATATTTATGTTTTTATCTTTTTTGTCCTAATGCACCTTCCATGAATTGTTGTTATATTTAGCATCTCTATGCTTAGCTCAATTGACTCAGGAATAAAACTTTAAACTTGCATCACAAATGAATGATGCCATTGCAGGGGAGTGAGGAACAGCCAGGTCTAATGCAGCTAGCTATGGCCAATATTCTTTCTATATGCCATGGGACAGAAACTAGTGTAAAAATTTCATACTATGAGGTCTACATGGATAGATGTTACGATCTCTTGGAGCTTAAACAAAAGGAAATTGCAGTTTTGGACGATAAAGTTGGCCAAATTCATCTAAGGGGGCTGTCTCAGGTTGAAGTCAATTCAATATCCGAGTTCCAGGAGGTTTTCTCTTGTGCAATTCAGAGGCGCAAGGTAGCTCGCACAGGGCTGAATGATGTCTCCAGTAGAAGTCATGGTGTGCTGGTAATTTCAATTTGTATCCGTGATGGTAGCGGTAGATTTTGGTCTGGCAAGCTGAACCTCATCGACTTGGCAGGTTTTACTTTTACTATCATTAGTTTGCTATTTCAGTTTCACGTGACGGTTGCTGATTTTAGTGAAGCCAAAAATCTTAATCAGGAAGTGAAGATAACAGAAAGGCATGCAATGAAGGAATCCATCTCCAGGAGAGTTCGAAGATCAACCAGTCTTTGTTTGCGCTTTCCAATGTCATCTATGCTCTAAACAATAATAAACCCAGAATCCCTTATAGGGAAAGCAAATTGACGAGGATTTTGCAAGACTCACTTGGAGGAACAAGCCGTGCTCTAATGGTTGCTTGTCTGGTATGTCGTTTCCATTTCTGAAACTGAAAGTTGAAAACTCCATACCCAGTAGCATTTGTTCTCATCCATTTTCACTGAACAGAATCCAGGAGAATACCAAGAATCCGTGCACACGGTGAGTTTGGCATCTAGATCACGTCATGTATCCAATTTTGTATCTTCTGCGCCAAAAAGAGATACCCCAAAGGTTGACATGGAGGTAAAGCTTCGTGATTGGCTGGAATCTAAGGGAAAGACTACCAGCGCTCAAAGGATTGGTCTATTTGGATCTCCAATGGCCAGAAAAACTCCCAAGTCAATTTGTGACTTGAGAAAGTCTAATGCAGGTTGGAGCTCAGTAAAACATAAAATTCCGGGCAATAAAGGTTGCTCAAGTATATGTGAAAGGTAATGAGACAATTGTGTGAAAATATTGAATTGCTAAACCAAATCTTCTTATAAAAAGTAGTCATTGCCTCTGTAGGGATCCAAATGTGGCGTGCAGAAATTTGTTTGACCATGCAAGGCTTGTAGCCCCAGTAGTGGAGGTAAGCATCAGACCTGTTGGGAAAAAGATCTCACTCTTGTTACCTTTTAGTTTACTGTTAAGAGACATTCAGTTCTTTTAGTGAATTGTAGTCCTGCTTTGCTTTTTGAGAGCATTATTAGCAAGGTGGTCGTGATCAAAAGTTGCTTATTGAACATTCCTCTGGAGATGTTAATTGTCACCGCCATCTAAAGAACTGAAGCTGAGAAATGGTTTGGTACTGTCTTATTCATCATTTTGCACATTTCACAGGATATAGACCTTTCAGCCAGGAGAACCTTGGAGGAAAATTTTGAATTTTCCATTGAGGAGCCAAGTTCCTCTTTACCTGGTATTGCTCTCATCATAGTCTATGTTTTGAATTTAGGCTTTTAATGATAGGACTTACATCCTCTATTGCATTTGTTCCTCAGAACTGTCTCCAGGATATTCAAAAATCAAGAAGCTGAAACAGCTGGAAAGCCCCTCGAGAAAAGCTCTTTCTCCGATCAATTCCAACAAACTATCATCAAGAGATCAAGTGCAATTTGATCCTGACCCAAAAACTCCCAAGACACCATTTCTTTATAATGGTACTGATGACAACTGTGACAGAACTGGAGCCTCACTAAACAAGTTTCAATCGATAAGTTATAGTTTAAAGGTGAACATGTACAATTTCCCCTTATTTCTATGATTCTGTGGCATCCTGGATGTATTCTTATCCTTACCATCAAATGTCGCAGAACACTCTGGTCCAAGAATATGTCAAGTTCTTGAATACTGCAACCAGGTGAGTTCTCTTGTGTTGTATTTTTGTGATCCCTGAGTCAATTCTAATCTTGCATCCGGGAAACCTTGACATCGTTTATTTATTTCTGACCAGGGAGGAGCTGCTTGATTTAAAGGTAAACCACTATCTCACTTTTGCTTAATAGACATCCAATCACGTCATTTGGGTTTTCACATTCTTTTTTTCTTCTACAGGGAATCGGCCACAAAATGGCGGAGTATATTACCGAGCTGAGAGAAACTAGCCCTTTAAGATCAGTAAGGACCTTCTCACGTTGAAAAATGATTATAGATTCAACAGCAAAATGATAGATAATATGACTATTAACATCCCTCCTGTGACTTTTTGCAGCTAAAAGATTTGGAGAAAATAGGCCTTTCAGCAAAGCAGGTAATGCAGTTCTGCGAGCTCTTCCCCTTAAATGAAATACGGAGGTTGAATTTCCCTTTCATACTTAAGGTTGAAATTCTGTTACAGGTGCATAACATGTTCAGCAAAGCTGCAGTTGGAATTCTTGGATGAAATGTAAGTAATTTGTTAAAGCCGAAGATCACAGTGAATGTTGTTGTAGTGCAAATGTACGCCAACTGTAACAGTTGTAGTCTTCTAAGTTAGATATCGTGTAGCTTGAATGTAATTCACATGTAAAATCGATGCAACAGTGTGCCAGACTGTTGTTTAGCTTCAAGGTTATCTCACCTTTTTAACAGTGGTTTTGATGGATTTTGCCTCCCTCGGCATTCCATTATTTTTTCAGTTAGAACCTTTGTTGCATTGGTTATTCCATCTTCTAAATGTTAGGCTTTTAGTGTACCCAAAATCATCAGCACAATCGTAAGCTTCTGAGGTTGAAAAGATCATTTCGGACAGCTTATCCTACAACCCTACAAGTTTGACCAAATTTATGGATTAGATTATAGCGACAAGTGAAGTTTTGCCGTTCAGAAACGTATCGAAAGTATACATAGTGAAGTTTTCTTCACAACCTTGCAAATTCTCCGGTTTCACTTCCAGTTACGTGTCATCCATTGCCGACTCAAAGAAACCGAGATATATTTCAAGTTCTAAAAAACATCATTCGACCAAGTTGAAGTGAGTGATAGTGATATCGTACCAACTCTTAAACCAAACAAAATCATAGCAGAAAAGAGTTCTTCAATTCATCAAAATACACACCCATAGCATAACTCTCTTCTTTCACAAACCCAAGCAGAGACACGATCCTAACATAGACCACAAATAAAACAGACTCCAAAAGCAACCAAAGGCAGAGAACACACCGCCCATGGCTTGCTTTATTTTTGTTTTCTTTATCAGAATTAATAAATTACAACAACTCTCATCAAATGATGAGAGTCATGCACTACAAGACCTGACACGACACACTTTACTAGTAGTAATTCCGGAGTGAAAGGGTATCTAATTCCCCGCCTCCAATTACACAAAGTCACCATCGTCTCTGCTTTTTTTTTTTGGTTATATTCTTCATGAAACCATTCATTTGCAGGTGCAAGGATCGCAGGTGCAATTGGCTCCGCACTTGCATCCATTCTCAGCCACGGCAGACTCTCCCACACCTTCATACACACTGTCACATTCAACAAAAGACACAAATTGCCACAATTCAGTCTCCGATCGCCGGAAATAAGAAATTTAAGGAGTGACAGTAAAACTTGAAAAAAAATAAAAAAAAAAAAATAATACATACGTCTTCTGGGGAGCAACTCCCATGATGATGGTCTCGGAGGTGGAGCTCTCCACATAGCTCATCTCTGGGTACATCTTGCAACTGTGATGAACACAAACCCGTTAATCCCAGATCACCAAAAATTTTTTTAAAAAAATTACTGATATTTATGTAAATCCCAGATCCTGACGATTCAACCCAAAAAAACAAGAACACATCAGACACGAACAAAACGGACCCCATAACAAAACCGGCAACAATTAGGATGGATCAGGAAACCCGAAACTCACTCATGCAGCAAAACAGAAAATACAAAAGGAATTTTAACGGGAAAAAATAAATAAATAAGAAAAAAAAAAAAAACTCACCCGCCACAGCCGTTGCCGCATTTGCAGCTAGAGCCGCATCCACAGTTTCCTCCACAGCAAGACATGATGATGATGTTAAAGGAAAAAGTCTTGAAATTGGATTTCTAAATATGTTTTTGGGGAAAATTTTGTGATCAAACTATGAAACCTTAACAACCGAATGAGAAAGTGAGGGGATGAAGGGCCGGTTTTTATAGTGAAGTGAGGTTGGTGATCGGCCGTCAACGTGGCATGATCGTGTGGCAAACTGTTATCCCTTGAAAGGCGGTCCGTAGTCCCCACATCAGTATCCCTCCCGTCCACGTATCTGTCATTTTCTACGGTCTGTCTAATAATAATATATTAAATTTAACTGCTTCCTTCTTGTTCAGATTTTTCTTTATTTTAATATTTTTTAATTTCTACTCCCTCCATTCCAAAATAAGTGTCGTCCTACATTTTGCACATAGTTTAAGAAACTCTTAAATATGGTAATAAAATTACTTGAATATCCTCAACCAACCCCATTATAAAATTGTCCACCAATAACATGAAATCTTTTTATGGTAATTTTGGAAATTTTTGACAAAAAGTGCATTAAAATGTGAAAACTACACTTTTTTTGAAATTTTTCTATTTTGCTAAAACAACACTTATTTTGGAATGGAAGGAGTATCTCCCAACAAAATCCAAACGAGGTATGCTAGTATGTTCTAGAGTGTACGTTTAACCTGCTACAACTCGTGTATCTCCACCGTTGGGGTTTCCAATGATCATAACAATATCTGATTTTATGATATTTATTCATGGAGATCGCGTAATCACCTCTATGGAATATTTATTATAGATATATTGTGTAGCTTTTAATAAGGAAATTACGCCCATAAAAACGTAAGACCATTTATGATTTCCAAATTTGTAATAGCATTAGCAGCAACATTGTACATTTATAAAACTGGAGTATAGCATAATCGTCTCCCTTAATTATTCAAAAATAAAATAAAATTTTTGTTGATGATTTTGTTTATTATTAGAAAAATAATATGTATTAATAAGTGTCACATGAACATACAAAACGATAACTATAATATAATGATTTTTTTTTTTTGTGAAAATTTTTTATGCATGGAACACCTGTTTCAAACATTATTTACAAAAATTGAAATAATGACTTAGTATATTTTAAATAAAGTAATGTAAAAAATGAAATAAATCCCTTGCTCTACATGGCCCTTAGGGGTGGATGAATATTTTATTAATTAATGAATTTCGTTGACATAACTGATGATGTTTATCCGTAAGAAAGCCATGTTTAGCTCATCTTTTATTTATTTATTTTTTAATGACTAAATTCCCAGAATACTAGCATTCTTCTGATAAAAACATATTTATTAAATACCAGTTTATATCAATCCAATACTACAATTTTCGTCAACCAAAACATTTCCCTATTGTTTTATGCTATTTCCCAATAAACAGTTTTATTATATTGTTTTCATCCAACAATTCTAAAAATACAGTGTTGTGTTGTGTTCTTCCACAATGGTTGTATGATGCATACATCGAACTGTCGAAGTAATTATGCCTCGATGCTGTTTCTATTTTCTATTTTCCTTCAATTTTTTTTACATTAAATGTCTGCAAATAATTATCTCACAAAAATGATAATATGATTTAAAATTTACAATATGAATTGGAAGTGATGGAGAATTTTTTTTCTTTTTTTTTTTATCCACCATCATCAACAATAACCACTGGAAAATTTTTAAGTTTGGTTACATACCACACCACATTCACGTTACGCACGATTTTTACTTTTTGAGGAGGCAGGTAAAAAGTACTAGTTAGTAAAAAAAAGCAAAAGTTGCATCAGCGACAACAATGAATGCGGTGATCTCTCTTTGAAGGACTCTGCATACTTTGGTGCATCATCATCGTTGTAAAATTGCCATCTGGAAACTACCTGATTGTTTATCCTTTCTATTTTATTCGCCTTCATCAAAATTGTTTATCCTTTAAGCAGGAAATGTAATCAAGATTTCATGTTTCTTTTTTTCTTTTCTTTTCTTTTTTTTTTGGGAAAAAAATATCTCAACTACTCCCTCCGTCCCATAATTATTGTCCAATTTGAGTTTTCATTTTTAGTTCAAATTGTACTAAAAGTGAAATCTCAAACTGAACAATAATTTTGGGACAGAGGGAGTATAACTTATAAGGTTTGAGTCACTTTTTATTACAACATTTTTTTTTAATTATAAAAATCTCAATTCTTACGATCTTATCATACTATCTAACCCCCCTCTCACCTATGACCTGCGCTCCATCAGAACCTTTCAATTTCTTTGTTTATTTATTTCTTTTGAGCACCCTTTCAAATTTCTTGTTCGAAAGATTAAAATGGAATGGGAATATCTTTTGGAACCATTATTTCTTCTTTTTTCTTCTCCCTTTTTTTTTTTATGATATCTCTCGGACTCAAAAGAAAGCTGACTTTTGCTAATATAAAAAGCTGTTTATTTCGCTAAGACGAACCGGATTATGTTTTAAAATAGTTGGTTATTCAAAGAAAGATAAAGACTTTCCCTTACCTGTTCTTCTTCTTATTCGTACCAATACAATAATGTATAATCCAAGATTAGGAAGTGACAGAGTATAAACTAAACACAATTTGGCATAATTTTATTCAAGATTCTGTACCATTCAAGTTCATAATTAAGTATTTAAGTGGGTTGTACTGCTCTAACCTTAAGAACTCATCATCATGAGATAGGAGTTGTACTTCTCCAACCTTAAAAGCAGTTTAAGCTCATTAGCATCTCCGAAACTCAAAACTCCATAACTGAGTTGAGTTGTACTTCTTCTTCAACCAAAAACTCTAGCCTTTTGTTTTCTTGTACTACTTCTTTTTCCAAAACCTTCTTCGCAACCACATACAATAAAAATAACTGTGTTTAGTGGACTACTTTATTAACATAATCACCATGTACAGAAAAGATTAAAAACTTAAGCAGTACAACTGTACAACAAACAAACAGATGAAACGGGGGCCATATTTGAGTGCCTTTCATGGTAAAGGACTAAGGACAATGATCAAAAGTTGCGACAATTTATGTCCTTGTCATAACGCTCCGATCAATCAAATCAAATACTCTCTTTACTCTCGTTAATCAAATCATTAGTCTACAAAATGACACTTTAATTATACTTTTCTGAACGTTTTTTAGGTTCACTTTTTTTTTTTCTGCGAAGAAAGGAGCAATGAGGAATAATCTTTTGGGCTAGCTTCAAAGAAAACCATTCTTTTTGAAGATGGCATAAGCACCATTCTTTTACAAAGAAACTCATGCGTAGGAAACAATTACACCACTACTGGTGTTCCATACATATTCTCATATCCAAATCGCTTACCGTTCGCAGCATATCCGCCATATCATAATCAACGAAAATTTCTTCAGTTTTAAAAATCCATACTCTTGAAAGAACAATTCAACTTTCACGTCATGCCATCACATGGGGTGTCCATAGTCAAGCAAAGAACCAACCACAAAAAAATAAAATAAAATCGTTTCTGTTGCTGAAACGACCCTTATTTTTTTCTTCGATACAATTATAAACGAAGCAACATGCCTAAACGAAATTAAATTAAAATGTTCCGATAGTAGGAGGTCCGCCACGGCTTCACCCTAGACGTGGATGATTGTCCAATCCTGCAAACCCATTGGATAATTAGTAACCGAGAATGCTAAATAACGTCACCATTAATATAAGAATGAAACGACAAGAAGCTATAGAGGTGAAAGAGACTCTGCGGAGATTCCCGATTGATTAATATAAATGATGGGGGTGCAAATTCCCGATTGAATCCCTTCCTTTTTTTTTTTCCTGGAAATAAAATAGAACTAAAAATGTTTGTTTGATTTACAAACTGACGATTTCAACCCGTCTTGCAAAATTTAATCAGCTACAACCTATCTTGATTTTTGACAAGCAAACCAGTATAGTGCTAACACAATGATACTGTTTAGTTATTAGCAGAAAGATGATAGTAATATTTATAGATTTTTGTTCTTGTTTTTTTCCGGCCATGATATTTTTTCATATCCTGAATTCTTTGGGACTTGATCATGGCGATGGAGTAATAGTGCTTAGTGCTTACTGCCAAAATCCCAACGGGCCGGCTACGGTAAAGTTGAATTGGCGAGATCCGTGGAATAGAGCCAAACTCAATAAAGCTAAAAGAAGAAAAAAAAAAGAATGGTCTACATGTTCGTGAATTTTTGCTACACTTTGTTTGTTGATAGTGGAAACAGTACTCCAAAGTTGAAAGTCGGAAATATATTCCAATGTTATCTCTTTTTCTTTTCTGATCAATTATTGAGTTGGGATTGGAAAAAAATCCCACTTGATACGGTCACCATCCATGTATTGGAGCAGGCATCAGACATCAGAGTGATCGTCGTGAAGACAGTTATGGGCTGAAACCAGTGGAACATGTTTCTCCATAAGTACAACAAAAGGGCCATTTGAGTATTATTATTGATTGATCGTTCGTAGGATATATATGAGATTAAGCAGATGAACCATTTCACATTCTTCATTTTTTTTTTTTTGTTTGCAAAATCTACGTCCTACGTGCGACAACAAACAAAATATGAACTAGTAATCCCTTCGCTCTCTAATGCTGTAATTTTTTACCTAGAATGCTCTGCATTACTCTGTTTTTGAAAGACTTTTTCAGCAAAGAGAGGATAACGATTTTTGGCTCCTTCTCGTTGACAAATCATTCTTGATGAAACTTGGAGTGACTTGGCTAAACATTCACGAATTATTCTTACCGTGACCCTTGGACTGATATAGTGAAGGCCATCTTTCTCAGCTCCATTGCATAAACCATTAGTCTTGGAGAAGCACTTGATGAAACTTGACGAATAATGGCCTTAATTACTTATTCTCAACTAATTCTTACTAGCATGATGCCATCTGATTGATTTAAAGTTAAATACTCTCTTATCTTGAATGTGATATTTCTATATAACCTTGAGATATTCATACAGCTGGTTGGGACTAATTCATTGATTCTTCTAGAACGTGAACTTCATTTGGATTGATGTTTCGTAGGCTTGATAGAGAGTCGAATTTTCCGACCAATTTTCTTATGTCGTCGGCATCATTAGTCCCGGAGAGTTCAAAGATTATATGATCAGTCATATTTTCTGAGATCATGAGCATCAATTAGTTGTGGCTGTACAATCCGGCTTCTTCAATCTCCAAGGGAGACTCTTTCTCAGCTGTTGGTGGGTTAGCCCGCAAGTTATCGATGAGTCCTCAGCAAGCA